TAAAACATAAGGATTTTCTCCCCAGTTGGATCAATTCCATTCATACTACTGTAACATTTGCTTTTCAGTGCAAAGTGTACAGCATCTCTTTTTGAATACAGTGATTTAGAGAGATCTAGAAAATGTATCCATGCAGGTCATTGTAAAACCAACAATGACAAAAACTTTCCTATGCTTCCTTCATTCCATTCTTTGCAACTAAATAAAAACATGCTCTTTGGACAGTTTCTTAAATTAAAAAGGAATTTCTAGTTTGAAAGGCTACATCACCTGAAAGCAGAGATTTAGGTGACAAATACAGAAGTTAGCCTTGAAATACGATCGCACCATGAGAGAACTGTGCCGCTTCGGGCACAAGAGGGCACTAGGGGCTTATCCAACAACATTTGTGCTTCGTTTGAGTGTTCTTATTTTTCCTCTACAATTACTAAAATAATGTGTAAGCATTGGCACAGAATGACTATGCCTAATCTGCAGTGCTGATGGTTGTGCCCCTCCTTGCATTGGCTTTAGAAGGACTGGGACTTTAAGAGGCTATCTAGTACACTTGCACATTGATCCCACACCAACTGGAATTTGATTCAAGGTCATTTTAATTGTAGCCTTTATTCAGGTCATTCTTTATCTAGGAAGACTGCTTTTTTTGAGCCCCCACCCCTTCCCACCCCACCCCTGGTACACTGCATGTTTCATCTATACTACTTGTTAAACTGTGGTGCAAAATGTGTGATTTATATTCTATACCACTGTGGGTTACATATAGCACCTTGGTAAGACCTCCTGCACATACCAGGGAACATTGCTGTAAGCATTAAATTATCATTGGGGTGCACTTGAATGAACCATTGCATCAAATGCTCCCATGAATATACTGATTTCAAATTCTTGGTTATTAGCAAAGTATATTTTTTACAATTTATTGTTGTAAGCCGCCCCGAGGCTTCAGCGAATGGGACGGCATAAAAATGTTTTAATAAAAATAAATAAAATAATATTTTTATCAGTGTGAACAACAGGTTCTTCCTTCTGGTGTTTTCCTTACTGTAAGAGTGTTTTGCTTTCCATTAGTATAAATTCCAATAAAGCTTGTAATTTGGAGGGGCAATGTTGTTACTTAGCAGTCCAAAGGGATTCTCCGTATATCGTTTTCTGTTTCATTCGGGAAGTAGTTTGCCAAGGGCGACTGTATTTTTAGCAGGACAGGTTATCGGAGCGCTCGCTTCACGCCAATACACTCAGCCACTCAACCAAGGGAAGGCCGCAGCCCCCACTGATCATTCGCTGTCCCCCTATAAGATGATCTGGCATAAAACAAACCTAAGTGGATTTTATTTTATTTCTGAGTTACTCCTCCATATTTGATCTTCAGATTAGCATGAAAAACAGAAACAGCTGACAGAGCTGGCCCAGGAGGAGAAAAAACATTGTACCAAATTGGCCTTCTCAAATTTTGAATTGTGGGCAAGTTTATCATCAGAAGCAGGTATCATCTTGACAAAAATTTGTGTGTGGACAGGGGAAGAAAATAGTTTGAGCAAGGGTGGATTGGAGAAGAAATTTTAAAAGCATGCCATCTAAGTTGGAAAATAATTTTTAAATATTTTGAAATATGTATTTTGAACTCTTATATGTGGATTACTAATTCATAGAACCTAAACTGTTGGCTTGATTATGAAATCACAGCCTGACCAGAGAAAGAACTCATGTTCCCACTGCTATAGACTGTCAAAACCACTACATCAGTGTCTGTGAATTCTCAGATGGATTCATCTTTGAATGGGCATTTGTATGCGTATTTTGAAATTTAATCCAATTTCTTTCCTTGTTCTTTTGTGTGCAGGATCTCTAGCTCTGTATTTTACAGCTGAAATTTCACCTTTTATACTACAAATCACACATTTGCTTCTTAGATAGAGCTTTTTTACTTACCAATAATTAAGGAAATTAAGGAAATTAAGGATATCTATACTGCTCTCATTTCCTTGAAAACAGTTATTGATGGTGTAAACTTATAATTTGATTCTGAATTCATTTTATTCTGATTTATTATAATGCTTCATAAAATGTGTTAACATCGATTCCATGAGCCTGCTAATTCAGAACTAGAGAAATTGGAAGAAAACCCAAGACATGATCCCATTACGGTTCTCACACCGCTCCTTGATGCAATGCCAATAGCTGTGCTGAGTGAGTATCCACTGGTAGATGTTTTCCTGTGTGTGGGAGAGAAAGGATATAGTACAGTAGAGGCCAAGTGAATATATAACTCCAACTTTTCAACAGAAAAGTTATTTTCTCTGAAGAGCCCGTTAAGCAGAGCAAGGCAAGAATCCGAACTGAGCCCTAAGCCTGCATCACCTGTTTTCTCAATAGGCCTGTACTGAGGCGGAAATTCAGATCAGCGCTGCCAGGATCAGCATCGCCAGCCACTACTTCACAATCTGGCAGGCCTATAAATTCCGTCTTCTGCCATTTGGACAGCAAGACAGGCATACCAAAATTTGATGCCCATGTCTAAAGGCAAGAGTTTCTGTCAGCTCCACCCCTACCTATCAAGCTCTGTTCAGATTCCACATCCGCCCTGGCTTCACCTCCCAGCCCCACGCAGGAGGCTAGCTATTCTGAAAACAAAGACCCCAGCCAGGGCTTCATTTAGTCCTGCTTCTAGTGGTGGCTAGTGCTTATTGGGACCTGTGAGGCTGAGGACAAAGTGGCCAATGGTAAGCAGAGCCAACTAAATCACCATCAAATTGCAGATCAGTTTTGTGGACACAGAAGTGACTTATGACTTGTTCTTGGGCGATCCCTTGAAAACAGAACAAAAACAAAACAAGAATTTCCATAAGGATCTGTTTACACTTCACAACACATGCTAGAAAGCACAAAATCAGAGATTCTTCCTTTTCATCTACAGACACCAATGTAGTTGTTAATTTTGATGGTAGCTTTGGCAATGGGGCATCCCATGTAAAAAGCATGCAAATAAGAGGCTGTTTTAATTTGACTGGATACAACTTTTGCCTATAAGCCATTGAAAAGCAAAGAGCCAGAATTAACAGAGCAAAGCAGGAAATGCAAACCCCAACTCAAACTGCGAGGTTTACTGGCCAGAGACCCTAGCACAGCCCAATACATACCTATGTCACAGGAATGGAAAAGCTTCCACACCAAGGCCCTCCATTTCTGACTCTTCTCATCCTGGCCAATCCATTTTGAATTTACCCCCTGCCATGCTATTTGTTTCTCCTGCCCGGCACTGGACCTTCCAATTGAACCTCTCGTTATGACAGCTTCACAAGAAAACAAGTCTACCTACATGCATGCACACTCATCGCTTCTCCCCTGCCTTCATATTCAGTCCTTTTTTGCCCCATATTTTCCATTTCTGCTCTTATCCTAGCCCATGCTTGCTTCTTCCCCCCATAATATACCTGCGGTCAAATGAAACCCTTCCAAGTAGAAGGGTTTGGTTCCTCTGCTCCGCCTCAGTAAGCCCGGTTGGCCTAAGCCATGCCCATCTGCTTGGACCAGGCACAAGGTCCCCAGAGCCCCTTCTCGATTGCCCAAGGGGTCCTATGAGAATCCACTGTCAATGTTTCCATCGCTGCTTCTATAACCTGTTGTGCTGTCATGGTTGAAGGCTACCACTGCTCATCAGGATCCTCCTGTACCCTGTGTGAGAGCTTTCGCTGGGAAAGAACTGCCTGCCAGGTTCCACAAGGGCAAGATTCACTGAGCCTGACTGAAGACGATAGCAGCCCCAGGGCCCACCCTGGACTGCCTGCAATGAGCAGGGAGGCCTGGGGGCAGCCTTGCCCAAGCTTGGTGGGCATAGGGTCATTTGCTCTAATGCCTCAGCTTCCCCTGCCTTCTGTGGACGTGCTCACTGTGACTGACAAATTGCTTCCGAGGGCCAGTATTTATATTTTGTACTAACGTGTTACAATACCACACCTAACAAATGGAGAGGGAATGCATTTTTGCTAAGAGTAAAAAATGGTCCCTCCATCCAGGGACCCAACAGTCCACTTCCATATTCTTAAAGCAGAATGTTGTTTAAAACCACATCCATCCATCTTATTTGACTCTATCTGATACATATTTTGTGCACAAATGATACGGCAAGGAGGTATGACAAGAGTTGCGTATCTGATTTTTGCAGCCCCTCCCATTTTTGCCCTGCTATGCCTCCTCCTGATATCTAGGTGAACCTCTTTTAACACTTGCATGGAAGATGCATAACATGTTTTAAATTAAATTGAAAGGGGATGTCCATTTAGGTAGGTTCAACTGACACATAGCATAGGAGGGCTATACTAAATCCCTTTGACAAGGACTATCAAGTAACTAAAAGCCACATAATCATCCATAATTGCAATCAATGCACTGATTGATTCCTTTTAGCCCAAATTTGTATAGCTCTGTCATGCCATACAGAGGCTTATGGGTTTCCCTGCAGCTCTGACATGCCATACAGAGGCTTATGGCTGGCAGCAAGCCTGGGCACTCCACTCCGGGTTGCGATCGCGGAGCTGCAAGTGGTTTCACGTTTAGAGATGCACTGATGAGACAAAGGCACACAGCAGGAAGTAACGCATGAAATCCTAATCACAATTTACCAGGGAAGAAGGCCCACTGAGCACAGTGGGAATTACTTCTGAATAAGCAGGCATGGAATTGCCCTGTTATTTAACTCACAGGATGATAGGCTAGCATGTCAATAAACAGATCAAGATACCCAGAACTGATTAACAGCAGGGAGTTCAGAGGCCCCCAAAACAGAACCAAGCTTATAAGCCCTGCAGATCGCAGTCTGAATCAGGAAAGACTATTTTGCCCTTTCATTGCTTCGCTCTGCTCCGCAGGTGCAGGGAAACACATTTCAGAATCGGTGCAGCTTCACACCAGAGATTCTGAACTGCACGTGCAGCAATCTACTGGAAAGGGAGAGTAACTTTAAATAAATATATACACACACATGCAATCACGTCAGCACCGGATTACTGTGAGGACTGTACATTTGTTTTAATAGCTGGGGATATTTACACTGTTAACTGTAGAAACATCTGGGTCATGAAACATTTTAAAACAGTCTAATAAAAATCAATTCAAGTGTAACATGAAACACACAAAGGCTATTTTAGACCCAAGCAGGAGCTGAGATTCACATCAACAAAACAAAACCTGAACAGAAAGGGGGGGGAAGTCCCACCCTATATGCTGAGGGGAGTTTGCTGCAGTCTGTTTGTTGTTTTTTTAACTGTGTTCTGCTGTTGTAACAAAATGTGAAGAAATGTACAGCACATAAGTCCTTACAACAACAACGTCCTTGTATGTGAGAGCAATTCAGACATGAAATACAGATAGAAATCAGTAAAAACCTAGTTGAAAGAACAGCATGGGAGGCAATGAATGAGCTGTTATGGGCTTGCAAGGCACCAAGTACTGCTTGCAAGGGTCAATAAGAAATTAAGCCTTAGGGCAGTTACAAGAGATCCTGTCACTTCATTTGGCTCTGTTCAAAAACCCAGAAATTTATACAAAAGATACCATCTTCATATATAGCTAAAACCACCTCTAACTCCTGTCAAGTACATTGGACCTGCTCTTTCCAAGGCCACAATTTCAATTTTCCACTTCTAATCAAGTCAGAAGGAGCAACTGGATTTTGTTTTCTGAAACCATTTCCAGTTTTTTTTTCTTCCACAACCCATCTTAAGTTCTGTGTAAAAGTTAGAACAGGTGTCCAAAGTTTGCTCAGGCTCTGCTCTTGGTGGAGGTAGCACTGTTTTGAGTTTCTGTCCTTTCTTTGACTGAGCAAAGGGGAACCTCACACCATCCCATGCACAAGCCTTGTGGACTTCACTGCATTTTGCCTCTAGCTCAGCACAGGAAGGACTCCATGTGCGCGCGCGTGCGTGTGCACAAGCGTGTGTGCAGCATGTGCAAAAGCAATGCTCCCAGAGGTGGGGGAATTTAATTCCTAAACTCAAAGGGCTTGGTGGATGACTACATGAGGATGAACAAGATGCAAATTGACACAAGATACACACACAGTCTATGAGATCAATGTACACTCCAAATTGCCTTGTTAGTTCTGTCATCCCTGAACGCTGCCGCCATTTGCAGTGAGAGGGGGAAGTCACGTGCGCCTGCCTGAGGCAAACTGCCAGTCTGTCCCCCTGTGCAGAGATGAAAATTCCAGGAGCTTTCCGAGCCACACCAGAAATCCATTCCGCTCTCTCTTCCGAACCCTTCATCTTCCACAGAAACGGATCCTGGTCAGTGTTCCCCCTTGAGCACGAGTGCATCACCTGAAGAGGGCTAGTGAGGCATGGCTGTTATCCTCATGCTCTGGGATGCTATGGGGTAAGTCACCATGGGTGTGGTGGCATGGCTCATGGTGATGCCCCCCAGCGGCTGAGCCATCGACACAGCCACAGGCGCCACCGACACGGCCACTGGCGCCATGGAGACGGGCGGGGCCATGCCCTGGGCAATGGTCTGAGCCAGGGCGGCCGACAGGGGCGTGATTTCAGGGTTCATGGGGGGCGCTGCATTGCTTGGAGGGGCTGCCTGAGCTCCAGCTGGAGCCACCAGGTCCTGCTGGGAGACAGGCCGTGGCTGCAGAGCTTGGCTGCTCAGGGTGGTGTGAGTCTGGGCAATGCTGTGATTGTAGTTGGTGACGGTGCCCACAGTGGGTGCCAGAGTCTGCTCAGTGGCCGTTGCTGTTGAGCTGAGAGTCATCACCTTGGCCTGGTTGCGGAACTGGGCGTTCTGCTCCAAGAGGACCTCGTTGGTGGCGAGGAGGTTGTTGACCTGCTTCTTGAGGTCTTCCACACGCTTGCGGAGCATGATGTTCTCCTCTTCCAGGAGCCGGTATTCCACTGTGCGTGGACTGGTGAAGTTGTACTCGTAGGTCTCAAAGTGGAGCCCATCTACCCGCCGCCGCTTGAGCACAGGGTCATGGTCATCGTAGCATCGGTCAGTGTCATACATGGAATCATAGGGGTCGTAGCGACGCACGGGAGTGGTGATTCCTTGCTCCCGGGTGGCCAGGCCCCGGGCATCATACTCATAATCCCGCTGCAGGTGCTGGAATTTACACTTGGCCCCACGCTGGCAGTCTCCCTTGAGGAAATCCCTACAAATGGGAACCTCCTCCTTGCTATTGGGGAGATCAGCTGGGGAAAGGCCCAGCCCAGCTGCCACCTTCTGGCGAAGGCGTGGAGGGAGCTCCCCAGTCTTCTTGTAACAGTCCTCATCCTCCTTGGTGCCATGGATGAAGCGGCAGTTGATACGGACACATTCCTTGTTCTGAAAGTCGTGGCAGAAGATGAACTCATTCTTGCTGACTCCCAGGTTGGTCACCTCATTGATGTCAGGGTGCCGGAAACGACAGCGTTTGCCTCGTTTGCAGACATTGCGCAGGAAGTCTCGGCAGATGTCATCCGAGTTGGCACTCGCCTCATCGCTGCCACTACCATTATAGGTGTTGTCACGATCAGGCATTTTTTCTTGGGGCCAAAATCAGGCTACTGTACAAGACCAAGAGATATAGAAGAAACATAAATAGGAAGTGTTCAGTTAGCAGATCTAAGAAACTGTGCATCAGATTCAAGTATTTTGTACTCTCTGCATATGACTTCTCAACCACCAGAGAATTGGTGCAGTAGACAGTATAATCTTACAGCATTTACATGAATGAAACAGCATTAATATAACTAATCTATTTTTCTCCATTTCTACCAGTTGAAAGGGGCAACCAGGACACAGGAGCTACACAACTGGCTTATTTTCTATCCTTTCATCATAGATCTCTATTTCAAGTTGCCTTTCTTATTATGTAGTTCTGTAAATGGTATTTACAGATGTGAAACCAAATATTACTGTTTGTAAATCCATGGCTGCAGGATGAGGGCTAAAAACAAGCAAACTATAAAAAATGACATACAGCCACCTAAAATTTAGAACTCACTCTTATATTTATTATATACATACTATATAAATGTCTTTGAGCTAAAATATAGAGGAAATTCAAGTACTTCCTCCTTCCCTCTCTAATAAACATTAAGCCTCCAGTCTGCTGACCATCACTAAAATTACTGCCTAGCATTGATGTGTGCAAAGGCCAATGCCCACATTGCTAAACTGAAACCTCATTCCCTCAAACTGAATACAGTCTTTAAACTCTAAGAAAGGGGTAGGAATAATTCCCACAAATGAAGGAAAAACATAGGAGAGAAAACTCAACCAAATCCTGCCAATATGCAAGAAAGGGGTTCAGAATTGGGTGCCCCTCCCCCACAGTCTTCATGGTGCCTTTAGTAGGGACATCACTTCTCTGCCATGGAACCTTTGCCAATGGATCCCCTAGAGTCAGGAAGGTGCATAGATTTTGCTCCAAGAATTTTATATCCATGTGAATAGTGTTTCAGGAACATAGGAAGCTTCCTTATACCAAAGCAAACAACTGACTTCCCTGTATTGGCTACAGTATCTGGCAGTGGCACTGTCAGACAATGGCATTTTAGATAGGTTTCTTTTCCAGTCCTACCTGGAGATGGGAAGAATTAAGCCTGGGCCTTCATGGACACAAGCATACATTCTGTCACTGAATTATGGCCCCACACAAAATCATTGGCTTTTACTTTTATCCATAGGAATGAATGCCAGCCATTCTTGCATATGGGAAGAAAATAAGGGATACACTCTGGGACACCATTAAAATAGGGACTATAGATGCTCTCTTGCCCCAATACTACATATCTGGACTGTGCAGGTTTTGTCCCATTTTAACCATGTCCTAGATAGAGTTCTATATGCAAATTGCCTACAATACAAATTGAACTATTCCCCTATCTCCATGGCCCACTTTTAGGCTCTGTTAGTTAGGCCTAGGTCTCACTAAGGCGGCAAACCTGTGTGCCAGCAGATCTATCACAAACTGCAGGTTGAATACTCCCCATTCAAAGAACCAGAATCCTCCTCTCATTCAGTTATCTAAACAGAGAGAATCTTTTTTTATGGAATATTCAGTCACATGAGCCCTCAAGATGAAGTCTGAGATGGCACAGCCCAGACCCAGGTATGCCACCTTACTGATTAATACTAAATATAAATGAAGTGTTTTATGTATAATTACTTTTTGCACAAAGGCCCTTAAGATCAAGCAAAGACAACAGAATGTTTGTGATTCTCTCATTTTGAAAATCAACAGTATTCTGTGATGTGGACACACAAACTGACCTGACATTCCTAGCAGAGTGTAGAAGCATGCCTGAAAACCCAGATCTTAAAGACTGGCAGTTAGACTCTTCAAGTATTTCACAGAAGTGAAAATAAGTAATTGTTCAGTTAACATAGAGCACAAATGAACAAGCACCTATGTTGAACCAGATAGTGTTCAAGCTGCTATCAACAACTGGACAAATGCATCAGATAAATTATATCACAAAAAGGAACCCCCCCCCCCCCAGTTATCTATCTCCCTTCTGACATAGAAACAACATGGCTAAAAATTAAGAATTGTGGGACTGGGAGGGCACCCATTCTGCAAATTCTTGCATTTGCAGACAGACATAAAATCTACATTGAACTTTCAGCCAAAATTAGACAGAGCATGGTGGGTGACAGCTCCAGCTGAATATGCTTAGTTCACAGAGCCCTGGCTAATTTAAACTGAAAATGCACATAATGCTTCCCTGTAGTTGCACAATGCTGAGGAAAAAAGTCCTTATGGAAGCTTGTCTACCATTATTGATCTTACCAAGGAATCCACAATAGTCTTCTGAGAAAACCTAGCACTCCTGAATCCAACCTTTAAAATCTACCAGGGAATCTGAGCACCAAATAAAGGTAAGATAAACATTTGATGAAAAATCACACCTGCCCATCTTAGCATGTTTTCTTATACAGTGTGTGACACTACATTTTAAAAGCTGCTTGAGCATTCCCTGCTCAGAAGCAGCAACTCCACTTCCAAACTTTGCAAGCGCTAGAACTAAAATTACTAGAAATAGTCACAAGATTGCATCAACTAACTTTTCCCACTGAATCTCTATTTCAGCAGTCCATTCTGTAGTACTTCGACAGCAAGTTATGTTTGTAGAAAGCAAGACTAAGAACAAACCTCTTTGATCGGTGGTGAGGATGCACATCCCGATTAGTGCAGTGAGAGCGTTGCTCATCACTGGTGAAAGGTCCCGAGCAGCCCTGCCCTACTTCATAGTTCATCTGTGCCGCTCTCCAACTACCCCAGGAACATCCAAACGCTACAAGCTCCCCGTAACCCCGAAGGACAATCAAGTCTTTCAACACACGCACCCTGCTTCGTGAGAGTGGAAGGTCCAAGGCAGAGCTCAGCGAGGCGCCATGAGGTCAGCGAGGGGAAGGAGGAAGAGCGCCAAGCAAGGAAAAAGGAAGGGAAGCGGGGCGCTCCTGTGGAAGGCCCAGCGAAAGGATTCCTGGGGTCGGGGCCTAAGGACCTCCAGGGATGGACCGTTCATTCCTAAGGGGATGGGGCGAGACACCTGAGGCGGAGCAGGGAGCGCCAAGGCCAGACCAGCCAGTCCCCGCTCCGCCACTTCCACCCACTCACCCTCACTCCGACCTCCTCCGGTCCAAACAAAGCGCAACCCCTTCCGGCGTGAACTCCCCCGCTCTTGCCGCTGCCGCCGGAAGTACTCTATGCTCCTTCCTCCGCGCGCAATGGCGGGGGAATGCAAGGCACTACTGTCGCCGTGGCAACGCGACGCTTTTGCCCCTCCCTCTTCCACCGCTGTTAGATATACGGGCGGCGCCGTGCGGGCGAGGGAGCGCGCGACTCTGCGCTGCGGGGCTGTGCGGAGCACGAGGCCTGTCTCGCTTTCGCTGACAGGTCACGTGGCGCTCGCACGGCGCTCCGGTAAGCCTATCACTTTTCTCGCCGTCCGCCTCCGCCCCACGGGGCTCTCCGGGCGACTTGCAGCCAAAGGTGGGACGCAAGTAGGAGGGCCTCGAAACGTCCTACTAGCAGCCTTTCGGCTACTCTCCGAAGTTGCCATTTTTTCGTACCTCCACTGGAACTGGCAGCAGTTCGTAATAGACCAGATTACACAGCCAAGTACTGAATACCTTTTGGAGAAAGTGTCTCATCTGTGCAAATACATTTCCAGCATTAGACTTCTAGGAAGGTCCACTTCACACTTGAATGCTTTCTAGAGGAATGCAGCTTCCTCACACCTCTAAATTTCATCACCCTAGGGAGCTCTACAACCATGTTTATGAGCAGTGTTTAATTTTTTAGGTTGTACTATTCATAGATCATGCTGATGTACAAATCAATAGATATTCATAGGTAAAATCATTCAATAATTGACATACCTGGACCAGAGAAACACCCTTTTCTAGACATCAGCATGTGTGCATCCTTGAAATGTAGCAACCAGGCACCATTCCAGAGGCGGCTAGTTGGCATTTGACAGCAGCTCAATCCAAGGGCAATTCACACCAACCCACTCCATCCTTCCTTTTCTTCAGAGCAGCTTCTTTCTGCTTTGGTATGCAAGCAGGAAAGCACATGCCAGTGTAACTTTTTCAGGTGTTACCTATTGGAAAGTGTTAACTGTGCTACAATGTAACCCTTTAATGATCGATGTATCAAAGGGCCAACTAAGGACTGGGCAAGTGCACAACCTGGAACAATTTGTTAGCAACCAGTTATTCTCCACAAAACTTAAGAAAACCGGGGAAGGTTGTGTATTTTGGGCACAGGCAGGCAAACCAGGACAGACCATTTAGTCAACCATGCTACCCACTAGTTCACAAACATCTAAGAACAAGAGTACAATCAGCTATGTTTTTCAGGGAAGCATAGGCATATGCTCCTTTCTCATTTAATACAAGTGCACCCTTTCCTTGCAAATTGAATCCAATGTAAAGAAAATCTTCCGTCATAAGACTGCACACTATAGAAGAGGCACTAAGCAGCTGTAGTGCAGCCTTCCCCCAACAGGCTATTTGAGGGCTGCTCTGAACAGCAGTCCAATGGATCCAGAGTGCGTAAAGTTAGGGAAAGCTGACACAATGGAGGGTAAGTTATCTGTACTGCAGCTTCTATCTGTGCTTTGTTTCTAGTATTAGACTGCTTATCAACCTGCATGTTACTTAATAAGTATAGAAAATGAATCCTACACTGGGACAGAACATTGATTCTTACAACAGTTATTTTCTAGAATTTATTATTAACCCAGTGAAGAAAACAAGCCACTGGCAGATGCAAATCACTTGCAACTTCAATTCACTTCCAAAGCAGCACAACCTAGCTAGAAGCATTCTGTTGAGTATCTTGAACCCAGAAGCAAAGCCCTTGCAATGACAATGAAAACCTTTTGCTAGCTTGGTAATCCAGTTACACACATAGGCATTGTGCTCTTGCCAGAGTAGCTTGACTGGGAGGAAGCCTGCCTTCAGAAGTTGCTGCAATACCTGTCAAATGGAGAGCCACAACAACCTCTTGCTAGTTTATTCTATTTTGGGCAGAAGCAAAATAGTTCCAAGCAAAATAGTTTTTAGAAAATTAAACTAAAATGCTTTTATTTCAAGAAAGTTCTGTAGCATACCTGTAGAGGGCTGGATCCTACCCCACCCAAGAATGTTTAGAATGCTAAACAGCAATGTTGGTAGTTGTGTATAAATGTGTGTGCAAGACCACCATAGATTACCAACAACAAAATACAAGCCAATATTATACATTAAATTTAAGCCACCTGGAAACCGTATCTAGGTTACTAACTTTTACTGAAAATTCAACATTTGGTGGAGGAAACACAGTTCAGAATTCTTCCCAAAAGGGGCTTTATTTTACACAGTTGCCACATCACGCCACAAAGAACAGGATCAGTCCAAGATAGTAAAGCTCAGGGGCAACACCCTTGAAGGATCACAGCTCCTAGGCTTTTAAGATGGAACCTCATGAAGATTGGCTAAGAGTCTTCTAAAAGCAGCAGCAAATAGAAGGCATTATCTGGAAGTCAGCTTCCCAAGCTCCACCTTTCCATGCTGTTTTGCAGCTTCAGTAGCACTGTGAGTTATGTTTACTTGGACCTCTGCCTCATCTTTCTCCTTTTGCGCTTCAGCCTGTAAGAGATAATATTCTTTAACAGTCAATACTACTGTAACATTATGCTAATATGACAGTTCAATTAATGAAGCTTTCCAAGCACCAGTCCTCTTCCAATGGGCATACCTACCACATTTGTTCATAATTCCTACAATTTGTCCATTCCCAATTCATATCTAGTAATCAGGCTAAAACAGCAACTTTCTGGGAGCACCAACTAGAAAGTCAAGAGTAAATGCACTAACCAAGCAAATTATAGCCCTGCAACTGCCATTAGACTCCCCCTGCCCCACCAGTCTTTAGGAAGTAGAAGATGCACTAGAATACCAAATCTAGTCTCAAATTTTAGTTTCCACTTAGCAAGCAAGAGGTTCAGTGAAGCTCTACAAAGACAAGTGAAGACACTTGCACGTTCATAATTCTAAATGCAAAAGGCAAGCAGTTGGCAGTAAGTAATCCTCAGCCAAAGAACCTACTCCCTTCATGGCTGCTACATATGCCATACAGAATGCAGAACTTGTACTGGGGCATGAAAAGTGACACTAGGAGTTTCATTCACTGGAGCTGCCTGAAGCATTCGATCCTGTAGTCAAACTAAGGACTTATTTCTCTACCTCTGTATACTGGCAATTTGCTAATGACTTCCTACTGAACCTAATTAAAGTAACACTGAAAATTCTTCCCCTAGACTTTCTAAAAGGCAATACAGATGATCCTGATATAGTATCTTCGACATATACTATGTTAAGAATGCACTTCTCAGAAACACAATCCTTCACATTTTGGCTTAATAAGCCACTACATTCAGGGATTTGGGGTGGGCAGGGAGATTAAAGGACAGTACAAGAAAAGCAAACAATGAAACTTATGGAAGGGCAAGTGAGACACCAGTTTGATAAAGTAAATAACTTGACCAAAGGATATCCTATCTTTGGTGAAATTCTCATTTAACAGAAATGCAGTACAAGTCTATTATGTCTGTCAAGTACCACTTGATTAACATGGTTTACACTCCAACTATATTCAGGATTGTAGCCTTAATGTCTCAAGTATAAATGTGTCTATGCACACTGCAGAGGAACAGGACAGCACTGAATAGTTGCTAAGTGAAGCATTCACAACCACGAATTCTCATGTTCTTCGATTTATGACCCCTAGGGAGCACAAAGCTTGCTTTTGAAGAAAACAGGAGCCAGCAGGACTGAGGAATAAATGCAGCAAGATTTAAAAGGGAATAATGTTTGAGAGAAAATCTATGGCCCAATGCTCTACTTTGGTTAAAATTCATTTAATCTTCCTCCCTATACATTGGATCCCTTCCTTAGCATTGGGACAACGTTCGTTTCCAAGTAAGGAGAATTTGTGTCTCAAGTTTTGTTAAGTTTATGGAGATACAAAGGTGAAGGAGGATAGATCTCAAAGCATATGTGTGGCCCTTTGTAGTCATCCTTGTTGTGTATACCCTATTACATTAAAAGTAGTGGCAGTCTTACAACACAGCTACCATTTGTCTCCACTCAAAATCAATATAAGCTAGGCCTTCCACAGTTCAGCAGCATCTGCATTGCCTAGTTTTCATCAGTGTGGACTTCTGGCTACATTAAGAAATATCCCTTGCACCCAAGGCCACTTAGCTGCAATTCTAACTTAGAAGGGAGCAAGCCTCACTGAGCTCATTGGAGCTTTCTAAGTAAGCCCCAATCTAAGTTAGCATGCTTAGAAGTACATTTCAATTCCCTGTAAACACCAGATCAATTTTAAGATTACAGACACAGGGGTTTTGTATTTTGTCACCATCAAGTTTTATGATGCCTTAGTTTACAAGTAGATTAAATGTATTTTTAAAATTCTGATTAAGGCTCTCCCACAGTAAATTTTTGCAGAAGAAGCAATTATGCAGCAGAGTACAATAAAAACACATGCTCACATACCTGCGCATTCGCTTCTTTCGCCACTAGAAAAAAGTGGGGGGGGGAGAAGAGAGGAAAAGTCAGTTTTGCATAATAAATCACAGATCAGGTAAGTTAGACCTCAAAACGTACTATGTTATTAAAATATTAGGCACAGAATATCCATCTACTTTTAAAAGTTACTTTGTGTGAGCTCTGTCAAAGCTTATTGCCATTCTTTAAAAATTGCAACAGCCAACTTCAGGAATAAACTATAAGAACCTCCCATAAGTTCAATACCAAGTGCATACAGAAACTGGAACAAGGCATCCATGTTTACTCAATTAAAGGGGAGCTGATATTTTGCCCATGCCACAAATCAACAATCCCCAATATCCGTCAAACTCCTGTTCTTCTCATTTCTCGAGGGCTCGTAACAATACAATCCTATGTATTCTTATTCAGAACTAACTTTCACGGAGCTTAATGGGGATTCAGCCCAAGAAAGAAAACCTGTGTGTTCCTAGGGTAAGAGCCACAGGATCAGATCAGGGGCTTGTCTGGCCCAGCCTTCCGTTCAGAATGTGAAACAACTCCTAGCAGTAGCGAGCTAATTCAGCTGTGGCCTAGAAAAACACGAGGCTTCCACAAATACCAGATTTTTATATTGCCCCCGTGATTCTACAGCTGCTCTTCCATGAAATCTACACCACGCGCGATACGGCCCTTCTTACACTATCTACGTACTCTAATACAACCCAGGCCTCGATGCACTTCCTTCTCGCCCTATCGGCCCAGCGCGTCAAGAAAATCGTGTTTAGTTCAAAGTCTCAAACATGCCTTCCAATTCTTCACCTCATGTCCCTCGCCCTCTGTTATTAGGATCCAGTAACGCATCTCCGGCCCACCAACCTCCCGGTGCCAGAAGGCGATGCACAGGCCTCAAATCCAACTACATCTACATGGAAGCACAGCATCCAGCCTGACCCCCGCTCACCTTCGCTCGCATGCTGGGGCGCGCCCCCCGGGCTCAGTTCCCGAGCACAGGCAACAAGGCTGTAGTCGGATGGCGACGGATACTCAAAACAGCGCCAGCCCGCAATTAGCAGCACACACCAAAGATGGCGAAGGCTGCAACAGTAGAAAGACCCAGGAAAGCCGTCGGTTGCTATTTATAGCTCACGTTGTGCGCGGGAAATTTACGTCACAGAAGTAGCCTTCGCGTTGGATGACGGGAGATATAGTCTTCATGTTGAGGACTTACACTGTATTTCTTCCAGCCCGAAGCTATCGTTCGCCGCCATTTTAAACGTAAAATGAGTCCTATTCGGCTGCCAATCATCTGAACGACGGGACGCAGAGGGGGTGCCAGCTAAGTCCCCGTTCTTGCAGAGCAACCGCCTCTTAACTTTACAAAGATTGTATACGCCAACGGTGGAACATACTGTAAATAGTGTATTTGTCTATATGCAGAGAGCATTTATTAAACTACTTTGTAAATAAAATCTATCTGCATAGGCACATAGTTAAGAGTAAAACGTCGAGGTCAGAAGGCTTTAAGCAACAGTCCTTAACTTTCAACCAGAAAATGTAGCTTTCACAAGAACATGTCTAACTTTAGCAAGTTCCCACAAGAGGATAATAAAGCTAAAGACTGAACTAGGGTCTACTAAATGACTGAAGCACAAGAAACATGCAGGCTAATCCTATGAATATTTCTGCAGAAACAAGTCCCATTTAGTTCAGTGGAACTAAACCCATGTACTTAGACATAGGATTGTAACCATAATCCTATGCAAAGGGATGTACCCAGATTTGGGAGACTAGATTGGACCAAACAGGTTTTAAACCCACTTTGCCTGTTGTGTCTGCCCAGCCAGTTAAGCCATTTTGCAAAGGAGCAGCTAAATCAGTATTAACACTTTTTCATATGCCAAATGGTGGATTACACGTTTACTGTACTAACATATGCCAGATGCATACATAGAATGGAGCACTAACCAATCACAAGATGGCAAAGGAATATTTTTACAGTAATTTGCTTTTTATAAAAACTTTGAAGTTTTACCTTAACATGTAAATACTGACCATCTTACAAGTTTCTAGCAGCCAGGCTTACTCAACCATGTGTACCCAATGGTGTTTACACCCAGATACAGGACCTTTACATAACTTGCAGTTAGCTTACCAGTGTTGACCTATTAATGGAAAAGATACTGACACCCTCATTCAGCCTCTTATACCTCAAGTCACGCACCTTGTCAAACACAAGTAGGCAAGATTACCTGTGTGCCAATTAGACAATAAAACCCATTGGTCCAGGGAGTTCCACTACTTGCTGTCTACCTCACGTATATTATCTTCAAAATACAGGATGTAGACTAGCTCAGAAACATTCGTAGTAATTGATTTTCCTTCCCCGGCCCTTACAAGTTGTGATAATTTATTTATTTATTTACTTATTAAAACATTTTTATGCCGCCCCATTCGCCGAAGCCTCGGGGCGGCTTACAACATAGATAAAACAAGTTAAAATCCATATAAAATAATCTTAATTAAAACTCACATTATAAAATAAGCCGCCCTGGCCAGATAAAATTCAATTGTATTTAGCATTTAAAATGTTGCTTAAATAAAAAGGTCTTAGCCTGGCGCCGAAAAACAAATAACGACGGCGCCAGGCGGACCTCTCTGGGGAGCGCATTCCATAACTTAGGCGCCACCGCTGAGAAAGCCCTTCTCCGAGTAACCACCCTCCTAATTTCTCTCACGGAGGGCTCCCGGAGAAGGGCCTCTCCCGCCGATCTCAGGGGGCGACTGGGCAAATATGGATGTAATGAGGTTGTAGTAACTTACTTCTGTGCAGCATGGCCTTCTTGCTTTGCCCATTCCAGAGGCTGGCAGGAACCAACTTTAGCTTTCTGTTCTGAGTTTAACACTAAATAGAACCATGATGTATGCACTCCTGCCTCCCTTCAGGTCAACCAGACCCCCACTGCAAGGAGTGTTCTGACAATGGCAGGAAAGAGATGGCTCCCTGCCTTCAGAGCAAGCTGCACTTGTCTTAGTAGATTTATATCCCACACTTTTTCCTTTCAAGGAACAAAAGGCAGATTACCTAATTCTCCTCCCCTTCCCCATCTTAGCCTCACAACCACCCTGAGAATTGAGCTGAGAGTCTGTGACGGGCCCAAGATCACCCAGTGAGCTCCATGACCAAGTGGAGACTAGGACCCAGATCTCCCAAGCCACAGTCCAGCACACTTAACCACTGCATCACACTGGCTCTCATTTTCTTAGGAATGCCAAGCTGTATTAGGGCCCGTCCACTTGGATAAATATGGCTGGCCAGTGGAAGACATAACCTATTGTCAAAAGCATCTCCATTCTAGCTTTAGAGCTAGATGCTCCACACAGATTTTCCTGTGTTGCGCACATACTCAGGACTATGAAGATGCAATGCAGAGCTTAGTCTGGCCCTCAGTGGTGGCAGAATGTGTTGCCTTCAGTCAGCTGGGCCCACTGTGTTAAGAGCACTTTTATTGTACCAAAGCTGCAGTATGAGGATTTATATAGCTGGCAAACCTAGGACAGGAGGAAGAGTCAATGCCATTTAGAAGATAACTGGCTAATAAAAATTTAGCATGGGTCATCAGTCAAGTATGTCTTAAAAACTGGCAGTTTCATATATAGGAGCCCAAAGAAGTTGAAAATGCATTCCCCTTAGGCATTTGCCTAAGCTTACATTCTGTATAAGGGTAAGAATTTTTTTTTTCCAAGAACCAGGTAACATTACACACACCTAAGATTCTGCTTTTCTGAAGAGGAAATTGAGGAGGGATGACCACATGCCCCCCATGAAGTATATCAGGGATTTATTTCCAATTTTATTTTAGGGTTCTCAAAATGTTATAGTCATGTCATATTTTGATGTGTGCTTTTTAACCTAAAAATAAGGGTCTGAAATAATGTTGTCTGTGCAAGTAAGGCAGAATCCATCAACCCACATTATTAAAAAGATGGATCATTTCATTCAACACTATGTATAAACCTTCTACTGATACCGAGACAACATTCCTTGGATTTCTTTAAAAAAGTAAAAGCAGAGGCTTTAATTACAGAACATTGCGGTGTACCAGTCTCCCTCAAAGGCAATGCCAATCAGTACAAGATATATCAGAATACATCAGTTGCATAAACCTAGCAAAAAGTTCCGAGTTCTGATCATAGTGGGTCCCACTTAATAAAAGAATTGACTCAAGGGTCAATATCAGTCTTACACAATATTGGGTCACCTGGAAGTGTTCATGATGAAGCCATTGTATCTATTCTTTTATAGATCATAGAAATGGAATAGAGCCAAGAAGCAATTCCTGCATCCTTTATATCATTGGCTAAGGCCTAATGACAAAAAAGTGCATTATACAAATGTAGCATGTTCATTTCTAGTCCACACCAGTTGAAAAGAACCTGAAAATATAAATACTAGTCACAAAGCTAACAAAAACACAGTAAGGTTGATCTGAGACTCCAGAACTCATTTTGAGAGCTAATGCATATCCTTCACAATTTGTACTCCTTCACTAAATGGCATCATGTCCAAGAGTCATAGAAGCACCGTAACTTTTTATCTTCCCAGAGCTACTAATACATATCTAACAAGGCTGTCTGATTAATCCAATGTACATTAACAGCCGTTTGAGTAGCTCTACAGTGCATTGCTAAACTCAACTGTGGGCAGGACTAGATCAGAGAAGACTGTTGCACAGGTAAACATTAGCTCTGACAAAGAAACATGTTGTCTTCACCAAGCTAGTGGTGAAGTATTGTTTTGATCAAGTGTTCAGAAAAGAAGTGGCAACATTATTTTCACCTTAGCACCTAGCAAATGTTACGACAGATTTAACAATTCCATTGCATTCCCTTGCCTGGTACAGCTGTATCTGGGCCAATGTAGAACACAGCTCCCATCTATTCTGGAAATGCAGCGCTTGTCTTGTTTTAATGCTGTATGGCAATTCATAGAGTCAAGACAGAGAAATATTTTGTAAATAAACTAGACAAAGATCCAATCCCACTGAACACAATCTCACACTGGTTCCATTCTAACCATACCCGATTAATGCCAAAATTCGAAGAGCCGTCCAAATACCAAGATGTTTCTGAACTTCAAAATGGACAAGGTGCCACATTGCCAAGATGCAAATGCCAACAGAAGCTATCTTGTAATTTCACCTTTCTAAAAAATGGTGAAGAAAGCTAAGGGTTTTTTATTGCCTGTAAAGTTCTAAGGCTTCATTCATCCTACAAGGATGTTAAATGAAGAACACGAGTTAAAATTTCTTCCTGAGTTTCTCATTACTAGGGACATATTAAGGGATTCACTAGCCAGAAATGCAGCACTCTAAGTAGGTATTTGGAAATGGAAGAAATTCATTAAACTTTCATAAAATTTCTCCTCATTCACCATTTCTATTAAACGCATAAGTTGTACACATTTCTTCTTTTATACATTTACAATGGCAAAACTGTCCAAGATTTCATTATGCGTCCACCCCTTCAACATAGTAGAACCATTCATCTATCCATAGGTGTCACTAATCAATTTTATTTGGAAAAAAATCAAGTTACATAACAATTTTTGGGAGTTTTCTTTCAAAATTTTGAACTGCATTTTTTAAATCAAGAGATACAATTGCTTTGAAGTTTCAAAATAAAGATAGAAAATTAAATAAACTGCCAGCAAATCTTAGTGGTTTATAAACTGATAATGTGGCTGAACTTAGCCTTTCCGTTATGGAAGGGCACTAAGAAAACATATTACTTATAAATGCTAAAATGTTCCTTGTTAGGAACAAGTTGTGTTTTCCCCCTCATTTTCCTTAAGTTCATGGTTAACAATTGGGAGCAGCTGAAAACTAAACTGGCAGTTAACTGCAAGTCTTGTGCATGATCCTTCAAGCTCATTACTTCCATATGATTCAACCTTCACTCAACATGTTCCCCATTTTACTTCCCTGTTGAAAGCGACCTTTACAAAAGAGCAAGAGAACAAACTAGAAATTAAAGTAGAAAGTTTACAAAGAGTGATGGAAAATATTTTTCAGAAAAAATGACACTTTTTTATTTCCTTTTACAGACTTAAACTTTGGTAATAACTGTAGTATTTTTAAATATTAAACTCCAGATATATTGGTCAGAAAGACTTTGTCTACCAGAGAGCACAAATGCTCTCCCTCCTTACAAGGCAGTTTTACAGGCATCAATTCAGCTACATTAAGTGCCTGGACAGGGCCTGGTTTAGAATACAATAGAAAAAAAATCCCACACAATCATATACAATTCAATTGGACAATTTAAAAAGATGTACTATAGAAAAGACATTCCCACAAATGAAGTTTATTCCAGGTCCAACCACTTTTGTAGCATTTCATTCATCCATGTAAAAAAGATGTATGGAGGGGATTCTTCTGAAAAATCCTGCGTTACACAGTGTATCAACCAGGGTAGTGGCAAGCTGGAGTCCATGGAAAGCAAGTGCATGCAGGATAGGTAAATACAAATGAATAAAATGTCATAAAGCTCCAACTGAGAGTGTATGGACTCCTGCAGAGATCAGTTTTATTGCCTCTGGCCTTTGGAAAAGTTTTAACATATCTTTGCCCTAGAGGGGTAATTTTTTTAAAAAGAAGGATCACATAAACGGATTAAAAGAAAAGGTTTGTCAAAACAAATTGACATCACCTACATAGGAATAATCTTTAAACCAGCTTCCTGCCAAATTTAAAAATGAGTTGAGGGTTTAAAATGACAAACACAAAAAAGCCTAAATAATGTGCTACAAGTTAAGCAGAGGGAAAATGACTGAAGATCAGAACAATGAAGGGCATGCAAGTTATGCCAACGCATATGATGCAATTCTAAACCCAAGATGGATTTCTGCGTGTCTAAACAGCTGTGAAAATATGCCAAAGGATTTTTCAGAGAAATCAGAGTACCTGTAAAAAGGAATGAAAGGGGGCAGGGGGAGCTAGAAGAAAGCTCCCTCTCTTGCTCACAACTTTACTTGCTCACCTTTAATGAGCACAAGTAGTATCAAAGGCTAGAAAGATTGGATATAGACTAGTTTTTACTCCTGATTTTATTATTTCACACTTTTGAGTATTCTGAAGTGGCCAAGAGAAGCCTCCCTCAGTGGCAAAGTCAGTCACAGATGGTTGCTCTCTGTGGGAAGTCCAGGCCATTTGTCATTTGGTCCTATGTGACAAACAGCCATTAAGGGATACTTGTTTCTCTTGTTTTGAGTGGGGGCATGTGAGAGAAAGAATCAGGTGCTATGCAGAGGAAGTGAGAGCCTTTCAGTCGCCAGTCTCATTCTCTTCTGCTGTTTCTCCTGTTGTGGCATTCTCAGCATTCTTGGAAGCCTAGAGGAACAAAGGGAGTCAGTGACATTGCCCAGGTGTTTGAAACAGCAAGTTACATACTTTAGCACAGAGAGAAAGTAATCATTTATGTTCTTAGATTAAGCACTAAGTTTCCTGGTTAAGTTTTAAAAAACAATTTCATCTTTCAAAGACAACCTGAAACTATATGGTTAGGGTTTTCCTTGTATCATTGGCATTTAAATTCTACAGATCAAAGTCTCTTATATAAAGAGCTTCACTTATATAAAGCTCATGATCAGGCAGAGATCAGGAGATCTATCCGAGATCATTTTCTTTTGGTGTGAACATCAATATCAAATGACAGCACACAGTTATCCTGCAGATATCAATTTCCTGATGATCTCCAGGTCATCCTGACAAATTAAGCACTATACTATATATTAAGCACTATATTATATACTAAGTAATATAATATTACTATTATATACTTCAATTACACTGCATTTTGGCCTAAATGAAAGAATCACATTCTCTTTAGGAAGCTCTAAGATGTAAATATAATGATTAGGGGTCTCACTGACTTCAGAAGATAGCCACAACCACAAAAAGTTACCTTCTTTTTCTTCTTTTTCTGAGCCTTACGACTTGCTGAGCTCTGTAGAAGTGCCTGAAAGTGGAGGGAAAAAAAGGTACCTAGAATGCAAGTATTGTCTGCTCCAAGAAAAAACAAGTACAAAATCACTGCCAGCCATAGAATTCTTGGCATGTGCTGGGATTGACACTTGGCATCAAACAGAGCTGAGTTGTGCATCCTTTCCAGCCAATTACTTCAATTTTCACCTGTCTGCAAGAATTACTCAATGGCAGCTGGAACCAAGCAACTCTGGGAGACTCACAGTGTCTCCATATAAAACACAGTGTACTACTGCTTATAAAATTGCACAGCTTAAACTAGTCTGAGAAAAAAGGGCTGCTTAACACAAATATGTATACCCCTAAGTAAAGGCTTTAAAAATGGTTTGGATTTAGTTTCAAACTGTTTTCTAGGAATTTAAGTATCCTGTTCTTGTATCTTATTACAATTCACAGCTGAAGAAAACCTTTACCAGTTCAGTAGGAGACACTGACACTACAGGAAGGAGCCAACACCTAAACAGATGTCTCAAGCATTTACACTCACACAAAAATAATTTGTTTGAAATAGATGTGAATTCTCTTCAAGGGCTTTGTCCCATCATCTCTCAATATTAATTCCACTACAATGCAGATATAATTGCTGCACTCCATTTATATTCCTAGCAATATTAGTTTAACAATTTTTCTGCTTCTTTTTAAACCATCTTCTGACACCTTGAGATGTCAAAATATGATCCTCTTGTCTTAGATCTGCTTTCTTGTTTCAGATGATGGATGGGCAGCATGTGGCCCTCCAGATGATGCTGGAATGCAATTTCCATCATTCCTAACTATTGGCTATACCAACGGTTCCCAAACTGTGTTCCACAGAACCCTAGAGTTCCACAAAAGCCTCATAGGGGTTCTGCAAAAAAAATCTCAAAAATCAAATTTAAAACAGATTTTAAAATTAAACCACATGAGGCCAAGTATTCAATTGTCAGTTGGCACTGAAGCAGCAAACAAGGAAATGCATCACATCATTTGGTTCCTAGCACTCTATTGCACAGTGTTGGAAATACTTGAAATAATTCATTTGGGACATTATCATATAATGGCTTTATTTATTATATTTAAAGTGTATTCTCTTTATTTCCAAACTAACTATGTTATGCAAAGCACTTAGGCAATAGGAGCAGATGAAAGAAGGAAGAACACTGTGGATTCACAACGCTTAGTACAAATCAGGGATAGTGTTAGGGTTCTGCAGAAAAAAAATGTCTTCAGAAAAGTTCCATGACCAAAAAAGTTTGGGAATTACTGGGATATACAGGCTAGGATTGATAAGAATTGTGGTTCAACAACATCTGGAGGGCCAAAATTTGCCCATCCTTAGACAAATATTAGAAGTAACTATTAATTTCTATTGCACTGCATCCAGACTAGGAATTTCTCTCAACTATGAAAAACACTGTTTCTGTAACTTTGATGTATAAAAATACTGTCACAGACTGACCTTCAGTTCTACATCTTGCACTTCAAATTCTGATTTGTAGAGTTCAGGCTCAAAGGGCCCACTGGTTATCCTCATGGGACCATTGGGCATTAGAAGCACCGTGAACTTAAACTGGGCAACAAACTCTCCTAGAGGGGAAAAAAGATGAGTAATATTAGCTAAGTGTTAGATAACTGCCTGTACTCAGTCTCTGCAAAGCTGCTTCTTATACTGCATTACAATCCAGCATCTGAATGGCTAGTTTCTTACATCTGCTTTGAAAGCATAATAACAGACAGCAACTAGTCCTAGAAGCTAATTGTGTAGCCCCAAAATCAAAACCAAAAATTCTCTGTTATTTATCTACACATGCTCACCTTCCTTCTCATAAAGGACATTAAAAGGCTGGAGCAGCTCATGTTTGGCACATTCTACTACCCCCATCCTGGCCTTTTTTTCATCCTCAAATGCCCTGTAGAGAAGAGAAATATCGATGAAGAACCCATGAGTAGGTCTTCTAGCATTCTTTTCAAAACTAAACAGCTTTTTACAAGTTTTGTAACAGTAGTGGTCTTATTACCAGAGTATAATTGCACCTGCACAAGATATACATGAAATATACTGTACTTGGTACCAAGTTCAATTTCCAAGGAATCTCAGCTTTTCTAACTATTGTGGCAGCAAAAAACAGCTTGAAGAGTGTATAGGTGAGGCTGGAAGAAACACACAAGCTAAACAAGTAACTAAATTAAAACTTACAGTGTCCTGTATAGCACTTTCCTCTCCACACAGTTAGCAGAACTTGGTTTATACAAAATAAGTCAAACACATGAAAATGTGCTTAACATTCAAGATTTAACAAGGTTGCAGAGTTCAGTTTCTCTCTACTAAAGAATAAGACTTCTCTGGCAGGGCATATATACAGTCCTCTTCATTAGCTAAAAATGATGGCTAGGAATCCACACACGTTAAACTAGGAAAAGCAAGGAAACCCAGAATATTCCCTTCCCAATACCTGCAATTACCTACTGCATTAGTAAGAACCATTCAACAGTTTGTACAAATACATCAGAAAGCACAGAATACCTGAGTGTGAATGGCATAGCATCAAAACGTCTTTCCACCTCACTGAAAAAGGCACGGGAAGTTTTCATTTTCAAACCATACTGCTTGGAAGGGTCCCTTTTGTAAATTGTAGTTCTCTGCCCTGCATCCTTTGCCTGAAGACATGTAAGTTATTTAACATTATTTTCCCAGGATAATACATTCACATGATGAAAAGTCACAGGACAGGGAAGTTTACAATCTAAGGAAAAGGGGACAAAGGTTTTGGAATATGACTGTGGTTATATAAAAAATTCCCCAGCCTTAGTTGCTTTTTTGAGACACCACACTGAGTGGCATTACCTGAATGGGAATATTCTGCCCGCCCCCCCACCGCCATCAATCATTGGGTTAGATCAAGTTGCCAATCTTGTAGGGTCCCCACTTACAGAACAAATATGAAACAAGCACTTACTTTTCCTTCTCCAGTGCTAACGAGAACATCAATGGCGTAAACTTCATGGACCTCAAATTCCGCTTTTTCATGGTCCTTTCTAGATTGACACATATACAAAAAACATGAAACAGAAGGACACCTCTGCTTGGGAGTCTATATGAAAAAGTTAGTAATTCAAAATCCTGACGTTCATCTTGTATTACAATAAATTTTGCTCCCATGGCACAATTCCATGACTGCCAATCTGCACACCACCATCTCTTATTCAGCCGTTTGCCATCAATTCCAGACATGTGAGTGTATGCGCACACATGAACATAGATACCTTTGCTGGTCTGTGGGGTTCTGGATTATGGTCTTCTCTCCATCTATCACATGCTGTTTTAGCTGGTGTGATAGCATCCCTGTCAAAGAAAAGATAATTATTAGCTGTTGGTGAACTGCAGCTGATATTCCAAAGCCCTGTAATTTTTAAAAAGTAAAATACCGAGATCAGATATACTTCTTGTCCTTTCCTTTAGAAACAAAACCTTCAAGACTGAATTTGATGTAGAAAAATGTGATATTGTTACTATGTTCCTCCAAACTGTTTGACCAGCAACTCCCATCATTCTTCCAGGACTGATGGGAATTGTAGATCAAAATGTGAGCAGTCCCAAACTACCCACCCCTATGTTAAAAGAACATCTAAAAATGCAGCATAGAATTCTGTCTCAGGGTCTCAATCAAGGGCAAACAGACTGCAAAAACTGGTGTCAACCCCAGTGTGTGCCTCTGAATCCAGAGAGAGGAGAAGCAACACAGAACACACTGCAGGCATTTTAATTTTTTTTAACATAGTACACAAGTACACAAAAAGGATGCGAAACAGAACAAGCTAAAATGAACATGGTAAACAAAGTTGCCAAGGGAATTCTTTAGGTATGCAACCTATAAATTCAGCCACCCAAATCTATCTTCCTGTCTTTCAACATGAGAGTTTAACAAAAAAGAAATCATTAATCTATACAACAATTCTTCCAATCACCTCAAATTCTCTACTGATGGAAATTTTGCATTCTGATGGATATTTATTCCCCTCCTCATACCACTAGTTCAGTGTACTGTTAAGCATCTCTTTCTCCTTTGCTGCATTTCTTCTGCTTTTTAAATTGATCCCAGATAAAACCATCTATCATCCAACATCCAAATAAGAAAGGAAATACCACTTTTTTACTTAGGAGGCAGCTACTGGTGTGTTTGTAGGGGACAATAAAGTTTGACCAGCACAGACAGAAGAGAGATCTGTTTAGTCCTCTAATTTTTCACATTATCACCAGTGAGTGGATGGTGGTGGTATCTGAATAGTTTCCAAAAGAGGGTTGATTAAGATACCCTTGACACCAAGAGCACCTACCTTCTACTGTATTGCTGACATTTTTTTCTACATAGGGATACACACGGGAATAGCCTACCCTTGAAAATGAATTATTTGCAGTGAGCTGACAGACTAGCCCAGCAGAACTATATCAAAAGTTAAGTGATTGATGGTCAGTAACACTTTTGTCACATTCCTATCACCCCTCCCAATACCCTTTCTACACAAACATTACCAGCATGGAACTAATGATAAAAATCTACTCCTTTTTTGATAGCCCCACCACCCTGGACTTGTTTTGGTGACTGGATGCATTGGTGATTTTTAGCATTCAGCTAAGGGCAGTGACACACAGAAAACAGAATTAGCCAATTGAATGGATTCAGCTTAAACCTACACCTATCTATTGCAGTTCCTAAGAAAGCTTCTCAAAGCATTTCACAAGCATTCCCAAGTCTGACCAGTGATCCACAAGCAGTCCTCCTCTCCAAAGGAGAAGAGATGAAGCACAGAAGTCATTTGCAGTGACTGAAAGGTCATTTTATGAGCTCAAATAAACTAGATTTTTTTTTTTTTTTGCAAATATTACATCAGAGCAATCAAGGCCCCTCAAGCCAGCAAGTTGCTACTCACAGTATTAACACTTCCAATAATTTTTTTGGATTAATTAATGGTTTCATCAGCCAGTGCTTACCTTCAATTGGTGTGCAGTTAAATGAGTGAGCAATCTTGTTCCAGGCATCTGTCACTTGTGAATTCTGTAGGATGGAAGTCAATGCAGTCAATTAATTGTAATTTGATCTCCCCCAGCTGAGACCTGTGTTATTACTAAGATCATCGGAGGAGCACTTGCTGGATGTATTGCAACTTGAAGACTGCCATCAAGGAGCAATCAGGAAGCAGATGTTCTCTGCGCTATCACCCACCTTAAGGAATCCTCACCCCTCCTCCATTTGGGAGCCACCAACTGTGGTACACTGTTAAAGTCCATCTCCTCCCTCAAGTTTTCCTTGCACACTTGTGCTGCCCAATCAGTTTGCTCGCTAATACTTGTGTTTTTAGCTTTGGTTTAAATAGTTTAGACAAATTAACTTATAATTGTATTTATGATGTATTTTGTTTCCTTAAATGGTTCAAAGATACCTTTTGATATGGTAGCATAGGAAACACATCCTTTCATAAGGAGCCTTCAGAGTAGTATCTGAAGTAGTCGTTATTTGTTTTTTGGCGCCAGGCCAAGACCTTTTCATTCAAACAGTATTTTAATAAACTTTAATATTTATAGTTTTAATTGTGCAGCCAGTGTGTTTCCAAGTTTTAACTGTAATTGTAATTGTTTTATTTATTTGTTGATGTGAGCCATCCCGAGACTATGTAGCAATGGGGACGGCATATAAAAACTTTAAATAAATAAATAAATAGTAGAAAGAAATTGAAAAAAATAATTGCAAAGAGAACGATTATATAATGATGAATGACGCCAAAGTCAGAAAAAAAATTAAACCTAGAATTTCCAGTTTCCAGAAGCTAACCACTGAACCATTGGCCTGGTCTGCACAACTGCCACAGGGAATTTCAGCTCATTCGACCAGCCATTGTAAATATTTAAGATGAAGCTGGCAGCACTGCTTGTCTTAGACACACCATCAACCCACCTCAGCTGGGCTCAAGTACTTTATGCAGCAACTGTCCACTGCAGCTTGAATAATCACAGTGACTGTTGGCACATGTCATAACCTACCAGTAATCGTGGAAACTGACTCACTGCCTAAGATCACCATAAATTAGGAAACAAGGATGGACTTATTAGATGGGAGGAAGAAATCTTCAATCCAACATTTTCATGGGGAAGTGTATGAATATTTGAGTAGCTGCCAGATATTTGTACCACATTTTGAAGAACACATAAAAGAATCATCAGTCATTTACAGAAGGACTAGTGACAATCTTTCAGTAGCTACTATGTTTTCATAAACACAGGCTCCAATGTGGTCTGACTTCGAAAATCCTTTAAAGCCATCACAATACAGTCCAGAAGAATGTTTCACTACTGATTTGAGGGAGTAGCTCTAACTTCTAAGGCCAGGTGCCTGCAGATTCGCCAGCTAAGAAATGTTCATGCATACATTTCAGAGTAAGTGCAGGCTTTGATTTATCCCCATGATCCTTTGTCACCTCCTTCAATCGGAGGCAACCAATTCATATGAAAGTAACCTTCTATCACCACCTGATTTCCAGGCTTCACTAAGCGCAGAGCAGCTTCAGCACAGAGGTGGGCGGCTCTGATGACATCAGCTTTGCGACCTGTCACTGGAGTTTCCTAAAAAGGACGTAAAGTAGTTAAAATTGAACACTTTTATTCCCCTGATTTCAAAGACAATTTTAAGACATGCCTAAATCTTTCATACTGGACTAGAGAATATTTGTGTATTTACCTGAGCAGATTATGCTCCAAGTATTTTGCCATATGGGTTCTACACTTTCCAGCATCCATTATTTTCTCTAGTCTGCCTTTGGTACTAAATTATTACTGGCAAGTTAAAGAAACCCAACTGACAAGTAGCAGAGTAATCCACACTGTAGTTAATCAGCATCAGATTGTTTAGAGAGAGATCAGAGAAACATAAACATCTACCTAGGTGGAGACCCAAAAGATTTGTTTTTAAAAGTGTATCACCTAAAATTTAATGTTCTTTTATTCACTGATACATTTTGCCTTGCTTACTTTGACAAGTCATCATTTTAATAACATTTTGCTAAGATGACAATCTTAGTCAAGCTGAACAGGAAATGTTTTCTGAAACATATACATTCAAGTACAGTACCCAATGAGATTAACCAATAGGGTTGTCTACCATACTTTGCAATGGTATGGATCGCCACGATACAACAAATCCATTTGTTCCTGTGGATAAATGTAGCCATCTACTCAGAATAAACATCCTCAGCACTAAGTGAGAAATAAAAATACTAGTGAGAAAAAAAGTCCTTAAACCAGTATGAAAGTTTGGCAAACCCAAATTTGAAACAAATTTATTTTACATCCCTAGAACAGTGTTAATTCATGCATGGACTGGTTTCAGAAGACATGTGCTCAGTTTTGCCATTGTATTTTCTTAAGTGTTTCAAGTAGCAATAACCAGTACTTGAAGCAGTTAACTTTCACTGAATAATCTTAAGATATAAGACATCCATGGGCCTGTTTTGGGGAGGGGGCTGCATTACATTGTTTCAAAAACTTTTGCAAGCTGGTTCCTACTTAAGGGCTGTTTATATAAATTGTGCAGTGCCAGGGAGTCTTGTCAGTCGCCCCTCGGGCCTGACGGTGCTGTTGTTTAATGCCAGGTCGGCCAATAACAAATCTGCCCTCATCCATGACTTGATTGTGGATGAGGGGGCCGACCTGGCCTGTATAACGGAGACCTGGGCGGGAGAGGGGGGGGGATGTCGCCCTCTCCCAATTGTGCCCGCGCGGGTATATGGACCAGCACTGTTCACGGCCGGAGGGGAGGGGGAGGGTCACTTTGGTTTACCGAGCCTCCATCTCTCTCACGGGGCTTCCTGTCCCTTCGAGACCAGGGCTGGAGTGTCTCTACTTGGTGCTGGGCGACCGAGACAGATTGGGGATTCTGTTGGTGTACCATGCACCCTTCTGCCCAACAGTCTCCCTGCCTGAGCTGACGGAAACTGTCTCGGACCTGGTGTTGAGGACCCCCAGGATGTTGGTCCTGGGGGACTTCAATCTCCATGCCGAGGCTAGTTTGACCGGGGCGGCTCAGGACTTCATGGCCTCCATGACGGCCATGGGGCTGTCTCAACATGTCACCGGCCCGACCCATGAACGTGGACACACTCTGGACCTGGTTTTCTCGACGGGGCAGGAAGAGGGTGGTCTGAGGGTGAGGAATTTATGCTTGACTCCCCTGTCATAGTCAGATCACTTCCTAGTGAGGTTTGTGCTCGAGAGTGACATCTCCCTCTGTAAGGGTGCGGACCCGATTGTGTGGGTCCGCCCCCGGAGCCGGATGGATCCGGAAGGATTCCTGAAGGCCCTGGGGGAGTTTCCGGCTGACAAGACGGGTGCTCCTGTCGAGGCTCTGGTCGAACTGTGGAATGGGGAGATGACCAGGGCTGTAGACACGATCGCTCCTAAGCGTCCTCTCCCACCGGGCAGAGCCCGCTCTTCCCCTTGGTATACCCCAGAATTGAGGGCGATGAAGCAGGTTGGGAGACGGCTAGAGCGTAGGTGGAGGAAATCACGGGATGAATCTGACCGAACACACTTAAGAGCCCACTATCGGGCCTATGCTGTGGCGGTGAGGGCGGCGAAAAAGAGATTCTTCTCCGCTTCCATTGCCTCCTCACAATGCCGTCCGGCGGAGCTCTTTCGAGTGGTGCAAGGCCTGGTTCGTCCAGGTCCGAAGGAAGAGCTGATTCCACCCTCAAAGGCCCGCTGTGACGACTTTGCCGGGCATTTCAGGGAGAAAATCGCTCAGATTCGCCACGAGCTGGATTCCACTATTGATTCAGAGGTTTTAAGGGAGACACCAATGCTACCGTCTGGTCCAGAATTATTGGATGAATTTCAGTTATTGCGGCCCGATGATGTGGACAAGGTGCTTGGACGAGTACGTCCTACCACTTGCCTTTTGGACCCTTGCCCGTCTTGGTTAATAAAGGATTCCAAGCACGGGACTGGAACCTGGATCTTGGAAGTGGTTAACGCTTCCCTGAGGGAGGGTCGGGTGCCTGCCCCTTTAAAGGAGGCGGTAGTCCGACCAGTCCTGAAGAAGGCGTCACTGGATCCAGGGATGGTCACTAATTATAGACCAGTGGCCAACATCCCGTTTCTGGGCAAGGTGTTAGAGCGAGTGGTGGCGGGACAACTCCAAGCGCTCTTGGATCAAACTGATTATCTGGACCCATTTCAGTCCAGCTTCAGACCCGGGTACGGTACTGAATCTGCCTTGGTCGCCCTGTACGATGACCTGTGCAGGGAGAAGGACAGGGGGAGTGCGTCCCTGTTGGTTCTCCTGGACCTCTCAGCGGCTTTCGATACCATCGACCATGGTATCCTTCTGGATAGGCTTGCGGGATTGGGGGTCGGAGGCACCACTTTGCGGTGGTTCCGCTCTTATCTCAACGACCGATTCCAGAAGGTGGTGCTGGGGGACTATGGCTCTGCGCCATGGCAGCTTTGCCATGGAGTACCGCAGGGGTCCATTTTGTCCCCTTTGCTGTTTAACATCTACATGAAACCGCTGGGAGAGGTCATCAGGAGGTGTGGGCTGCGGAACCATCAGTACGCTGATGATACCCAGCTCTACCTCTCGTTTTCCACCAATCCAGGTGAGGCAGTGGCTGTACTGAACCGGTGCCTGGCCGAGGTAACGGGCTGGATGAGGGCCAATAAACTGAAGCTCAATCCAGACAAGACGGAGGTCCTGTTGGTTGGCGGTTCGGGCTTCGGAGAAGGTGAATTGAACCTTGTCCTGAATGGGGTTGCACTCCCTCCTAGGGACAAGGTCCGCAGCTTGGGAGTGCTCCTCGACCCGGAGCTTTCACTCGAAGCTCAGGTGACAACAGCGGCGAGGAGCGCTTTCCTCCAGCTTCGGCTGATTCATCAGCTGCGTCCCTACCTGGAGTACGACTGCCTTGCAACAGTGACTCATGCGCTGGTGACTTCCCGTCTTGACTTCTGTAACGCGCTCTATGTGGGGTTACCCCTGAAGACGGTCCGGATACTTCAATTGGTGCAGAATAGAGCTGCCAGGCTGCTGACGGGGACTGGACGTTATGTTCACATGACTCCAGTTCTCCGTCAGCTTCACTGGCTCCCCATTGAAGTCTGGGCCCAATTCAAGGTGTTGGTAATGACCTATAAGGCCCTAAACGGCTTGGGTCCTGGTTACCTGAAGGAGCGCTTACATCCATATATGCCCAGTCGCCCCCTGAGATCGGCGGGAGAGGCCCTTCTCCGGGAGCCCCCCGTGAGAGAAATTAGGAGGGTGGCTACTCGGAGGAGGGCTTTCTCAGTGGTGGCGCCTAAGTTATGGAATGCGCTCCCCAGAGAGGTCCGCCTGGCGCCGTCGTTATTTGTTTTTCGGCGCCAGGTGAAGACCTTTTTATTTAAGCAACATTTTAAATGGTAATACCACTGAATTTTATCTGGCCAGGGCGGCTTATTTTATATTGTGTGTTTTAAATTATTATGATTATCTATATGTATATTTTAACTTATTGGTTTTATTTATTGTTGTAAGCCGCCCCGAGACTTCGGCGAATGGGGCGGCATAAAAATGTTTTAATAAATAAATAAATAAAATAAATTCCCTGTACTCGACTAGATGAACCTTAAAAGAAGCATATACACATCATTTCTTAAAGCCACATCCAAAAGATTTACCTTCGATGCATCAGTGACAAAACTGTGTGCTACATTTGCTATGAAGCCATCAACATGGACTCCCAGGTCACTGCAACACAAAGCAAGGCAGCATGTTTAATCCACAAATAGCAACACAGAAGCCTTTGGAACTTCCAAGGCTTTAAATACTTTGCTTGCAAGATCTTTGATTCCCAACCCTATAAAACCACTATGGTTAAAGTTGTTTGCACCACAGCATCTAAAGCAATCCTGGCAAGCAGGGCAGAACCATCTAACTTTTTCTTGTTTGCTAAGAGAAACCCAGACTCCATCAAAAAACAGATCCATCCCCTGTACCTATAGCAGTGTGAATTTCATTTAAATCGTGATTTAACTCACTGGTAAGCCTGGAATTAGATCCTGGTTTTCTACATAATTTGCACACACATCTGCCATACCTGTAGGTAGAGGAACTTCATTAAAATATTCCCAATTTGGGTCCCTTTTACAGCCTGCTACCATTATAGATTTTCTTCTCCAGGAAAATAACAGACTATACCTCAGGCTATACACAAAAAGATCCAAAGACTTGTGCAGTATTCTGCTCAAAATATTTTATTTTATTTTAACTGCTTGCTCCTCCCTCCTCACACTTAGTTTCTTGTGCAGATCTATTCCACTCCCAACTACCTTCTTCTATTCATTGAATTTTATGAAACTTAGCACTAAAGAGGTAAGGGGTTTATTCTGTGTACATAGATTTGCAAAGGAACAATGAGATTAAGAGCTTTTTCTCAACTCTGCATGTTTATTTTATAGCATTTTTGCTGTGAAGAAGAGGCATGTGATTTCTGTATTCACAGTTCTGAGAACTGTAAAGCCAAGCATCTGTGATATTATCTCCTACACAGAAAAATTGCTCAGTAATCTTACAGAAACCTCTGGAAGAGCATGACATTGTGAATGGATTAATGGAATTCATTTACCCAAAAATGTAAACATTGCATGAATATACAGCCTCATGCTACAAAATTAATAATTAATTCTTATTTCATGATGAATAAACTTTGGACTATAATATATCTTAGATAGGAAACTACCTTTAAATAGATTTTTTTCTTCAAAGCATTATATTTGTTTTAAAAATCCAATTTAAGTCAAAAATCAATTTAAATAAAAAATGTATTTAAATGTTTAAAATCTGGTTATTTTATTTTAACTCACTGATTTTTATCCATCCTACTATGCTCTAGAGTATAAACTAGTTTAAGGTGTGCAGCTGAGAGGTGAAATTAGCAGGCCAATAGATAACCAAAAAAAAAAAAAAAACTCGTGGATACTTACATTTTAACCAAATCACCATCTTTGAGGATGTAATCCTGGTCACTCTTCAAGGGGGAGAAGTGACAGACACAGTTATTTACCGATATACTTGTAGGGAAGGCAATACCTACATGGAAAAAGAAACAGTGGTGAGAACTTACTAACCCAGTAGCAGTTATCCAACCACTTCAAATTTTACTGTGTATTTTCTTGTTTTAATGTGACTAGATGCACTTACTATATAAATTTATAAGTACATGATATAGTCTCTAGGCAGGAAGGCCATTAATCCAAGACACAAAAGCAGCACTTCAGATTTAGAATACAGGTTACCCTATATAATTCAAAACTACTTCAGTTTCAAACCTTCCAGTTTGGATTGCCATGCTTCTTTTGGCATGTATGATCATTGTGGTGTCTCCCAGGCACCTTCTGCCAAGTCACCTACTCAGTTGTCGCTTGTCATATCTTTTAAAATCAGCTGGCATAGCTTTTTGGAGGGGGAACAACCCTCAAATAACTCACAAACTATGAGCATACAATGACTGCTACAGCTGCACGAACCTGTCTTGTAACTTTCACAGCTTCCCCAATTTAGAATGACTTGGGCTTGGTTAGTGATGAGAGGGAAACACCTAAGGTACGACATGGAATAGCTTATGGAATATTATCATTTCCCAAAGATTACAATGCTGCTGACAGAACCACCTCTCAGTCAAGAGGTAAAGCAAATTCAAATTTGACAATACAGATTTACTCAGAAGGAAGTCCCACTGTGTTCAATAGACCTTACTCTCAGGTAAGTGGGTGTATGACTGCAACCTAAGTGTCTAAAGATTGCAGCAGATCATCAGATTTCTTCTTGTACTGTGAAGCACCAAGTATACTAGACCACCCACCTTCAACTGTCATACCTGGCAACTATGCATTGCAAAATATAACCCCAAACAAAATGTTTTTGCATTCCCAACATCACGTCCTTACAATCCAAAAGGACTGTGAACAATAAAAAGCTGAGAATTTAACAACAACCCTAAATCAGTATCTAGCCCTTTCTTTTTCCTTTGGCAAACCCGATTGCCATTTTACTCCTCTGAATAGTAGACTCTAATCCTTGCAGATGAAACGTTGTGAAACATGGAAAACATAATGCTTAAAGCTTATGTTGGAATTTGAATTTAAGAGGTAATCTTCTTGTGAAAATACAGAAAAAATTTATACCAGGTTCTGGTTACAGTCAAGAAACCATGAACTTCATTTATGTTTACCATGTAAGAATGATTTCGACAAAAAGAAACTGAACAAATAAAAAATTAATGTATGCCTCCAAAACTGATATTTTAAACTATTACCTATTTTATACTATTATTAAGCTATTTTATTTTTTAAAAATTCCAAAGCTAATCAAAGTGGGTTCATTTTTATATTAACATAAAAAAATTCTCCAGGACTTCAGATACATCAATCCCAAGAAGACAGGAGGAAAGAAAATATTATGTTGGTACCTCAGTATCAAATCAGTCCCACTGGGGACAGAACCAAAATAATTTTAATTCTCATATATCAGTAAACAAGATATGAGCTCCCAGAAATACAATCAAGGTTTGCATGACACATTCCATTCTGTTATAGATCAGACTTGATAACAAGTTCTAGGCTGGCAAAAATGGAATGCCTCATGTTCAAAAGTATAATTTTTCAGCATGAATGGGAATGATAATTCTACTCTGAAATCCAAGCCAACTAGTACAAGCCTGTAAGAAGCTAAGAACCATCTCCAGCAATTCACAGTATAAAAATGGGTTGGATTTCTTAGGGCAATAGGTTTGTTTTGCTGCATCTCTGTGATTTCTTCATCTACATCTTTGTATTTTTAAACACATTCAATAATTAACACATTTTAAACAGTGAATTATGATGTCGTGTATTACAATAGAGTTGCAAAGCTGTATGTTACCTTTCTTCATATCTTTTTCTTTCTTAAAGATTTTGCCGGTCTCTTCCATAATCATGACGTCCCCTTTCTCACATAAGCTGAGGACAGAAACTCCGGATTTGGCTGCCTCTACCACAGTACGCAGGACTCCTAAAGTTCAGTACAAAATTTCAAATTGAGTATTTTAATACACTTTCAAGTTGGAAAAACTCATGTCACTCTATGTAGGACAGAAAGAATGCCATTACAGAAACACTTTGGTGGTGTGTGTGGGGGTTTTTTGTTGTTGTTTTTTGGCCCATCTTGAAGTAAGCAGGGGCAACACGTGTTTTCTTTTAAGTTTTCAGATAATTATGCACCAGATTTTATCAAGTCAGTCATTATGACAGGCACACACACAAAATGTGTTGAGCCGAAGGGGCTCTTACACTGTCAGCCACCTGCCTATTTTTGCATGCACATAGTACAGGGGCTGTTTCAAAATGAAATCAGGGGAACTGACATTTTCTTCCTACTTTTATATCTGCCTAAACTTGGCTAAGAACGAACTGAAAAGAAAGAATACTTGTGAAAACTGTAATATATCACTGAATATTATCTTTGAGCTAAAGTCCACAACCATTTGACCTTAAGGAACAATATCCCTGCTTTTTTCCACTCCTAAAAAATGATTTGATAGCTTACATTAGGAATTTTACAGAAGTTATTAATGTTTGACAATTTTACAGAGTATGTTTGAATGGACTAGTGGAAGAGCTACAGGGCACTCTGTCCTCAGCACAGAAACAAAGCAGGATGACAGAGGAAGGAGGCCACTTCCTCCACACCCAGCATAGAAATGCTGCTCTCCATCCCTCCTCTGCCAGTCCCTAGCAATCTAGTAATTTTTTGCAGGCTAGTAATGTTTGTATGCTTATTTACAAGGCTGCTCTAGTTGTAGCCCCATTATTAGGTCTTTTTATTTGTCCTACAAAAAAGTCATCTCACCTAAGATTAAAAGCACATAGTTTATATAGATGTTCAATTTATGTAATATCATAAGACAGCCAAACAGAAACATAGATGTTTTATCTAATTAAGATGTCTTCCCCACAATTACAGAGTTAATTTCTCTGCAGGTTCATCCAAGCCTGAGAAGTTTCTAGAACTAGCATAAGACCTTTTAGTTTCAGAAGGCCTTTAATGGAAAGGGGATAAACTGCATAAGATAATTTTAATTTGAAATACTAATTTATAGTGACTGAGTACTTATATGCCAAACTGTAATTGTCTCTTGTGATAAGTACTTCATTCCAAGTTATCACTTAGCTTGCAAACTCAGTGGATTACCACATAGATGGTAAACATTAACTTTAGTTTTATAATCCCAAATCACATTTATAAAAATATTTAGCTTCACCCTTTAGAGCAGTTTCATGATCCACCTTATCTTATCCAAATAGGTCTGCTAAGAAAAGGACTGGATTGTTAACCCCATTCATTGGGGGAGCTGAGTAGGAGCAAAGATACTTTTGTCCCTCATTCACTCTACAAGCCCATATGAAGCCAGCAATTAAGTTTCCTACCTCTTTAACCTCTTAATTTAACAGGAAACATTCTTCTTAGAAAGGACTCAACATAAATTCCAAACAGAATAAAGCACTGATATTTCTCAGTTATGGAGCCATACATTACAACACCCCCACGCATACACTGCCTGTTAGCCAGTCAACTGAGCTAGCATATTCTTAAACAAGATGCTCTCCGGTGCAACTGGCAGCCATCACCCTTGATAGAGCATTTTTAAAAACATTTTAAACTTCATTCAGCATTTTATAATCTAATAGAGCAGGTTAAGGTACTTGATTACCCAGTCTGTTTGCTCACATATAGGAACTACTCAGGCCTAGGGCTCAACTGTGTACTCTCGCTCTCTATATATATGGTTTGTTGAAGGGAAAACCTCCTCCACTGAACTCCCCAAATACAAGCTAGTTATGGCTGAAGAGCAAAACAGAATTCCTTTTCACTAGCTCCTTGCATACCTCATCAGCAACTTCCTAGAAAACAGTGGATTTTTTTTAAAGGTGATCTGATCCGTAGCAGAAATTCTTCCTTAAACAAAAGGGAGAATCTGGGAGGAAGCCAGGACGTCGGAAACTAGTGAACGAGAGAGAGCGCCAGCAGCACATGGCAAGTCGCAGACCATGTGCCTCACAGTTCCTGGAGGACGGCGTCTTCATTCCTCAGGGGAGTCATGGAAAACCAACCCCCCCCCCCAATCAAAACACGAACGAAAAGCGTTTTCCTCTTTTTCAAAAGAAAGGGGGCTGAATTTGTTAATGAATGTCCTCCTCCTCCTGATCCTCCAATCTCAATGCTGGGTAATATACTAATAAGGCTCCTAAGACTATTTAATTTTTCGTAAAAAATCTTAGTTTATTGGGGCAATTTTTTTTTTTTTTTTGCGGGGGAGAGAAAATACTGAAGAGTGCACCATGTGCGGGGGCGACTATCCCCTCTTCCTATCAAGGACAACTCGGCTCTCATACAAGACTCCCCCGTCTCCAAGGACTGAAGGGGAGGGGGGAGACCCTAAAAACTATGGTCTCCCCCCTCCCCACCAAACAGCTGCTCAACTTCAGTTCAGGGTAGGCACTGAAGATCTCGAGCCGGTTCCTCCCCCTCCCCGCCAGCCCTCTTTCAGCCATGCCTTGACGACCGGCGAGTCAACTCTCTCGCCCCTCGCCGTTCTGGGGAGTCCAGAGACGGCACGAGAGACCTCCCCTCCTCTCCCCGGCGGTCCGAATGCGCTCCCCCCACGCCGCCCGCCTTCACAGGCGCCTGCCCCGCGTGACACCATGCCCAGTCGCGCCCGGGAGGCTCCGCGGACGGCGCGCGCAAACAGGCCCCGGACCCGGCTCGCCCGCCAGCGGGCCACAACACTCACGGTTGGCGATTTCTCCCCCCATCTTGTACTTGTTCACGACCACGTCTTCCGCGATCGTCAGCTCGGCCGCCTCCTCCTCGCCCGACATGGTCGGACTGAGCCGCCCCTCCGCGCTGCCTCGTCTCAAGTCCTTCTCCCACCGCGCGAGCGGGTCGTCGCGGCCGCTGTCGTCGTCGCTGCTACTCCTCTTGGGGCCGCCGCCGCCGCCGCCTCACTAAGACCGACTGCGAGACAGGCTGGAGGCGAGCGCGCGGGCTTTGCGCGCGGCACGCTGGGAAGCGAGTCCACCACCGCCTCCTTCAGCCGTAGAGAACTACAACTCCCACAAGGTGCTGTAGCCGGGCCTAGTCAGACCTCGACGCTGCGTGAGGTACGATGGGAAAACCATAATGGCAAAGCAAAGTCCCGCGCCCCACCTGGCGTCATCTAATGGTTGCAGGTGGAATTGCAGGCGCTTCGCTCTTGTTCAAAGCGGGCCCGTCGCTTGTTCGGCTTGATTAACTGGGCCTGTTCCGCCACAGGCCCGGGTTGGGAGTTGGCGTTTCACAGAGTTAATACAGGATAGTACTACATCCTGATTCCACAGCCACAAACATAACCGTTGCTTAAAATTCCCAGCTCATTCATAACTATGAAATGAAATGGTGAGAAGTTTAGGGTTTACTTAGACTGTTAGCTACACAGGTTGTCAACGTAGGATAGGAAGAATAACTAGTTAGTAATTTTGAAGTACTTTAATGACACCCTTGTGCAGAAGAGAAAATGAACAAAAGCATGCAGCAAAAAGCTAAATTCTTGCAACTATATAGAATCTGCATAGATTTCTTATAAGGCATTCTAGTATGCCTAGTCATAGATAGGAAAAGTAAAGATCTTTGCAAGACACTAACAATATAAGTCTACTGATGGCAATTCAGACATCGAATTCTGTGAGATTTACTGCTGGCCTGTACTATATTATGACATTGCAACAAAACGGGATTACAATGAAAAGTTCTTCCTGGCACAGAAAATTCTAGTTTATCTCAGGATTCTTCACATTAATCAAGCATAAGTTTGCCTACACATTTATAAGCTTGTTTGGGCTGGGAATCTACTCTTAAAATATAAAATAAAATACACTATCCTCAGCGATTCTGTGGCCATAACCAAATTTGACACTTAGGCAGTGTGATGGTGAAATTGCAACAGGCATTGTTAACTGGTTAAGAAGGAAATATATGTGAATATTAACTCTGCATGTTGTATTCTGGCACAGGGTATTAACAAAGACTTGTTAATATACTAGCCAGACTCAAAAGTTTTCAGCTTCCCTTTGCCCCACTTCTAGCTCTGCCAGAGAACTGTAGATAACTTTAAAAATAAAGCTACTGGAATACCAACACCTCTTTGGCAGTTGAATGCAGTATTCACCTTTCAAGAAACAACACACTTGGAGAAAAGAAACTAGGAAGAAAGGAGGTGCTACAAGCTTCCCAGACAATGTATTGCATAGGTGAATAATTAGGAACTTGCTAAGGATTAACTAAGCAATGTCCCAGGAAACATTTACCACCACTATGTGAGTGGACCATCTACTGCCCTTTATGTCTGTTTGGGTAGGTGTGAGAGAGTCCAAACAGCAGGAGAGAAAATTCAAAAAAGGCAGGAAAATCACAGACATGCCTCTCGCTGTAACTCCATGGCAATCCTGCCCAATGACACAATGAATGGATGTAGCCACTGATGTCTCTGCAGTGTTAGCACACCTTCCAGTGTCACAACACACATCACACAACAACACCTTCATTCTGAGAGTCACAGTGGCATACTCCATAAGTCAAGAGACTGCAAAAATGGAGTCAGGAGTTTGAACTCCACGGGGGAAAAGGGCAGGAATGTTTTCTCGTGTACCCAGCAATGAACAAAGCATACCACTGATAGTGGAGGCTGCATACAACCGTCATCACTGATAGCCTTCTCTGTGAGCTGGATTGATCCCTTTTTAGGCCATCCAAACTTGAGATGTGTGATAACAAATTCCATCGCTTAGTAGACCTACTATGGGGGAGCAACTTGATATGTTGGGGATCCCTAGGCTGGATTGCAGGGACCACCCCAACATAAGGGGAAGGGAGCATTCATTGAACACACTCAGGGATGGAAGTGGTCCTCAGAGGGTTTTCCCACCACTCCCTCCAGCAGGACTTTGGTGTCTTAAGTGGTGGCTTGACAGTGACAGGGTAGCAGGTGCAATGTACCTTATGACACCAGCTCCAAGCTGGGAGCAGCATCTCTTCTTGTCTATTATGGGCCATGCAAGGGTACAGGAGCATGTCTGAAGCAAGCAAGCCAATACCCCTGTGCAGGGGAGAGAACAATAAACAATAGGCAGCAGCAGCTGGAGCAGGTGGCCTCTGATCCTGCAATCTGCAACTCAGTCTCAAAGTCAATGCACCTGCACTGGTAGGCCAACATTCAGGTGGCAAGTGGCATGGCGTGGAACAATATCTCTCTGGCCTCATCATGTCATGCCCCCTTTGAGCTCCAGTGATGGAAAACAGTGGCAGTAGCACAACATAAAAGCATGCTTCATACTCGTACTGAGGACAGTGCAAAAGAAAAGCCCTTCTCATCATGCAAGTGGCAGCCAAACCGTCCTGCTAACATCTCTCTGTCTAGAACACCTGGAGGACGACATTCTCAGGACTTCAGCCACAGGTGCCAAACACCCCCTCCAGAGAATGGGGCTGCTTGCCTACTGCAACTTACCCAGGGAAGCCATGGAAAGGGGTAGGGAGTAAATACTCTCTGTGCTCAAAGGGCTCTTCTTTTCTTCCTCTGCAACCCCTGGCTGTGTCAGTACTATTGCCTAAAGCATGTGGCCCCAAGTGCAGGGCTGTAATGCATTTCCTTTGCACCATCAGCCAGGAGCAGGCACAGGTAACCTCAACCATCTCTTTAACATGGGAGGACAAGATGGAGACCATGCTCCGGTAACTGGTGGGAGGACAGTGTCTGGCTAAAGGCTGAAAACACTGCCTGCTTTTTCCCATGATGATGGTGTTGAATTTCAGTTTGCTAAAATCATGTGATGTGCATGTTTATTATCTTGTTAATCCACACCATCGTAAACATTCTGAGTGAACTGGTCCTCTTTGCCTGAATCCTGTGACCCAGTGTTCCATGTTGGTGGGAGGGCACGCAGGGCGCATGCCTCCTACTTTCTCAGGGGTGCTAGTGGTGTTGGGCTACGTACTCGGATGCCCATGCTGAGCTTCTCATGTTCCTGCTTGTCCCGCTGCAGTCTCATGGGCCCATCATGCTCCTCCCCAGGGGCCGGGTTCTCTGAGGGCCAGGACTCTGGATGGGAATTTGCCAAGCAGCTGCAACTCATGAGCCAAACTGGCAAGCAGGGGCCAGTGCACTCCTTGGGGGTCCTAGGATGGTCCTTTGCCCTCACGAAAGAGCATGAAGCCCAGCGGTTCCAGGCAGCCAGTGAGGCCAGCGCCTTGGGCATCACCGGCACCAGCTGCCACCCCCTAGACACAGAGGAATGATCTACCCGCAGGGGGTTGGAAGACAGCAGGAAGCATTTGGGCTTTGCAGCAAGGTGCTGCTGTCCAAGGAAGTGGAGGGGCCATCCCTTGTGCCCCCTACAGCTACGCAGCAGCCGGAATGGGCTCCCTGAGCCACGGCGGGCCCTCCTGCTGGCACTGTGGAGGCAAGGCAAGGCAAGGCAGGGCTGGGCCCTCGGGGCCTTCTTCACACACCAGGTGCACTTCTGCTGCCACACTGAGGACTCCGCACCTGCCTGCCCATGCCCCTGTGCTCGTGTCCTGGCAAGGCCGAGGAGGAGAACAGCCTGGAACTGGGAATGGCTTGGGTGGTAGGTGCTGAGTTGCTTCTCTGCCTGACCAGTCCCAGCTGTTCGCAAGCAGCAGGCACTGCCTGGCACAGCACAGAGCAGGCCAGGCATCCTTGAAGAGGGAGGGCTGCTCTTTCTGCCTCTGTGACCAGAAGGCGGGTGTGACGATCCTTGCTTCTGGATGGGGGCGGCAAGAGAGGTGGAAGGGCTACCTTTTCCAGGATTGCAACTGGGAGCTGCCCAGCACACTGGTGCTGCCTACCACCTCGTCTCCCACCCAAACAGGCACCTCTGCAGATGAAGGATCTGCTGCTGTTGGGCACACTGGAAGCTGCCTCCCCAGCAGACACCTCATGGCTCATTTTCCCTTCAGTATTTTGACTGTCAAGCCACCTTTCATCATTCTCATGCTGGCATCCCCAAGCAGTCCCTCCAAGGGTTCCCAGCAGCACTTGTCTGCCCAGCATTTTGTAAAAGTTTACACAGTTGTGTGCAAAAAAAAGAATCCCATTTGCACAAATGTGACTGTTCATGTAAGTGTGAATGGGAGGATCACAAGCCTCTGTCAGAGCAATGTCCATGGGGGGGGGGAGGGGGGGAAGGAGGCACCCATCCTGGATATTGCCCCAACAGAGGGGTAAGGTCTCTCTCCCACTGCTTCCTTTAGTTTCCTTTCACAGCTCTCTGTAGGCAAACCCTCAAGAGAAAAACAAGTCATGAGAAGAAGTATTTTAGACTTACCCTCCTTTCTCAGCAAGATACTTTTCTTTTTTCATTTGTCCCCTTTGGTCTCCACAGTAATGCAATGGTCTTGTTTTTAAGGTGGAACTGCTAGGCAGTGAAAAGTGTCTTGTTGGGTATGAAATGACGCAGGTGCATCGAGCCTTCTTCCTTTGTGTGCCTTGGCTCAAAGTCCCTGGGCCTGCCTGATCTGTGTTCTTTCTTTTAGTGAACTAATTGTAGTGACTTTATATTGCATCTTCAAATATGCATAGCGATTTACAATGAAATGTATTAATCCTCACCACAGCCCAGGCAGCTCATGATTAATCCTACTGTATAGATGGGAAACTGAGATAATTTGTTCCAGGCCACTCAGTACATGTTCACCTACTGCTAACCAGGGATTTTAATCAAAGTCTCCCAGATCAAACTCCATTACTCTATTCAGCTTTGCCCATTTTACGATTAGGCTTTGCCTAATCTATTCAGATGGTCATGTAGAGCCAACTGAGATTAGAAACAGAAAGAAAAAGACTGCACAATCTATTGTCTCTGTATGTCTTAACTGAAGGAGGTTCTCTCCCCACGCTTTTTTTTAACCGAACTAGTTTCTGTTGGTGAGCTATGTAGTCCAATTTCTCCAGGAAAATCACATTTGAACGCCGTTAACATGGATCCTGCTTTACCATTCTTACGCTATGAGAACACTCAGCTTTCCTGGATAAGAAGCAGCAGAGACATCCATCACTGTCTTGTACTTTTCTGCCCTCAGTAGAGTTCTTTGAAGTTTGAAACAGCACCTCCCTCATGCTGAACAACAAAGTATAGTGCTCCAATTCGTGTCCCTCCATGTGTTTTCACCTACTGCAGCCCATCCCTGGTTATGCTGGTGACAGCTGATGGGAGCTGCAGACCAAAAGATATGGAGGGACACACGTTGCCCACTCCTGTATCAAAGTCACCTACTTAAGACTAATTGACAAATTATTCTGGTTCTTGGTTGGTTCACCACTTGAGACTAGGGTGATAGGGCAGTTGAAGCTGTGATAATATGCACACTTGCTTAGCAATAATACCTCCTGAACACAGTGGGACTTACTTCCAAGTAACTCTGAATGGGATTTGGGCTAGAAGAGCACGAGCTGTAAATGTGCAAGTCTCCGCTTCCAGTCTAACCTTGGTTGTGACGTCAGTGTCTGACCTTATATAAGCCACTAGTTCTATGTGAAGAACATTTACCACCTGGAAAATCTCTATTAGATCTGTATATTTAAAGCCTAGCACATTGTCATCTTTGAAAAGAAGTTAAACCTGACTGTGCCTGCAGCAGATGTTGACGTGATAAAAGGAGGTACCATTGTTCAAAGCATGCTTAGGTGGCCACTTTTGTGAGGATCCCTTCTGCCTTGAGCTGGCACCGATCCATCCTCATCCCTTGAGAGACTCATTAATGCTGGAACTTGAAACTAATGAACACTAGGGGGGTCCACACTCACTACACAGATGTAACACTCAGTGCATACTTTCCTGTGGGTATGATACTGTCCCACCATCTACAGCTCCCTGAATCTTTTCTTGCATTTCTTGCTGCACTGGGAGAGTTACGGAAGAACAGCTCGGTCTCAGCAGCAAGAGGACAGAGAGCCATATGGATGCATGACACTGACCTATGTGCCTAGCATTAGCGTCTGCCTTCTCTTTGGCAAAGAGCCTGTGCCTTAAACAGCTGTATAGCAGGCAGAAAACGTATTGCAGCTTTTCCCAACATGAAAATGAAATGAAAAGCTGCCTGTCACATCACTTCATAAAGAAACTCTTCATAAAGAAACATAGAAACAGAGAGAGTCAAAAGGGGCTTCCCGGGCCATCTAGTCTGACCCCCGGCTCCAGCCGGCTCCGGTCACGACATGCCCACCATGTGCATGTCCAGCCTATCTTTGAACACCCTCACTGATGGGACCTCAACCACCTCCCGTGGAAGCCCATTTTTGTCCAAAAAGTAAAACCCACCCTGCAAAAACCTGTGGCAATCCTATTTGATTATATCTCCAAAAACCTAAGTGCTGTCAGGTGGTAGTAAGCCTTCGCCCCCTTTGCAGCTTATTTTTGCTGAGATAATGTGTATGGCTGTACATTGAAGATTAGGAAAAGTAAATGTTGGATGTTGAGTAATACTGTGTTTCTCACCCACACCAGTAGTCAGACAGACATGGGTATCAATGCCACTTTTTATTTTCTGTTTAAAACATGCACACACAAAGCTTCTGTGAGGCCTTCAGCAAAGGAAGTGCCTTTGTCAGGAAGAACTGGTCATCTTCAGAGCTGGTTCATGCCCAGCACTTGCCCTGCAAGGACATAAACAAGCCCACTGGCACACACTCTTGCAAGGAAATGCCCCCATGCAGTCTCTCACTGACTGCGAGTGAGAAAGGATGAAGAGTATGTCCACCCTACACCCTTTTGCTGGTTAAACAGGCATCGCCTTCTCAAGGGAATCTTGGGAACTGTACTTCAGCGGGAGATGGGGGAAGTTGCTAAAAATCTCCAAATCCAATTCCCATCAGTTCCTCACCAAACTACAATTTCCAGGATTCTTTGTGGAACTAAAACTATTATGGGTGTGTTACTAGGGCCTTCAAAGACAACTTCAGCACCTCTGAATAAGTTATATTTGAAATAAATCGATCCTTTAGAAGAGTAGTTGCAATGTTCTTTTTAAAATTTGGCTTAGGGAAAGATGCTGTGTCATCCCAAAGGTTGCATCCCTTTAGCACTAGAGGCATAGCCAATAAAATACAGGCATTTAAAAAGTTACAATTCATACCAGCATATTTTATCATAGGATTTTCCTCTAATGAGGTTACCCATCAGTGTTTGTTTTTTTACTGGTCTTGTTCCTCTGTCTTTCACAATACCCTGACATATATAAATTAAATAGGTAAATTTTATATATAGGTTTATGGCAAAAACAGTAGACATTTATCTGGAAGTGAGCCTCACTGTTTCTAAAGTCGCAGAAATTGGGCCAGAAAAAATGTGGAAATGTTATGCCACCTCTGTGACCATTTCCTGCCTACTAGATTCAGCTTTCTTAACCACATATATTTAATCAAGTAGAAAAAATGAGTAAGACCTGAACTCATCTGAGTGCATCTCCTTGCATCAAGTTTGCTCACCATCCTTCCAATTTGTTTATGTCTTGGCACAGGAGTACTTGGTTGTCCTTGCTCATAACAACAGAGATGTCACATTTTTTGTTTTTTTTTAAACACCACCATTATTCCCCGTGACACTGAAGCGGGGACATTGTACAAAGCAATTCAAAGTGTGTAAACATTGGGATTCCTTCCAGTTCAGATTTTTTTTAAAAAAAAGACAAAAACCTTCATTTCACCATTTTCATGTCAAAAAGACAAAACGCTGCAACACGATTTTTATGACAGACAATATACACATTCAGCTTTGGGGTACACATTATCAAATGTGACACTATTACCCTACAAATATAAAAATGCAAACAAAAAACGCCAGAGCTAAGCTAAACCATTGAGGTTGCTTTCATGCTTGTTCATCACTGCATATAACAATTGGCATTTGTTAGTTGTTCCCCAGTTTAATTGTCCCAGTCCTAATGTTCCTTAGTTTGGCTGCTTCCCTCAAGCCATTCATACCGCGCATAGATCAAGGAGCTGGAACACCTCCCTCTCATAACTTTGCTAACTCAGAACTGCTCATTTTGAACTAACTCTGATTTTTCACCTTCCTGTCTCCACTGGACTCTGACTCTCTCTTTCACAGTCAAAATATGGAGCTGGAGAGAAAGTGTGCCCCTTTTATTCACACCTTGCAGCATATCAGCTCTGACTTAAGTGTGGCCCGGTCTCATTCTCAAGAGCCTCTGGTAACTGTAGGGCTCCAAACCTTATTCACGTAAGTGAAGCTCATTTGTTCAAATAGACATGGATGCAGGAGGGGGCTAGAACAATTACACAGAAGAGAGTTGCAGCAAATGTGACCATTCCCAGAACAGAGCCGTAGCTGAAACTTATGGCACATTCTAGAGAGTCTGGTGTGCTGGACCTCAACACTATTTTATATGCAACTTGTAAAAGTACTTTGATAGTTATGAGCATCAAGATAACACTGAATTTTTATTCTTGGTACTTTCTGAATTCAATACATGCCTGCAGTTTGACTCAGAATGAGCTCCTTGGAACAATCAAGCTTTGTTTGTTGAATGACTGCCATGCAATGCTTGGTGTTGTTCTAGGGCTCTGGTCCTTAATAAATTCTTGGGGCCAGGAGTGTTTGCAGGAAGGCGGGATGTCGGTCCAATCAAAATTAAGCAGTAACTACCACAACCACAAAGGATTCCATTGAGCAGGTCTTAATTGCTGCGAAGTTTTGAAGAAAGGAAAAGAAACCTTGAGAGGTGGCTTGGAGGATATTTCCTGGCTCTAGAAGTAAAGCTAAGAACTCTTCCATGATATCACCCAATTCTGAAGTGATGCTGCTTTTTGTAGACCCTGATGGTGTAATCATATGCAGGTATACTCAAAACTGGAACGTTCTACTATGTGCGATGGGGCATTCTCTCATTTTGGCTGAGCATGTACGGCCTACTCAAAGATTACTTGCATGGCTATTGGTTATGCTGGATATCTGTCATCTCCTGTATCGGAGGCATGATGTCTCTCAATACGGTTTGCTGGGCAGTACAAGCAAGAGGGTATTCTTGCACCCCAGCCTACTTGCTGGCTTCCCACAGGCATCTGATTGGCCACAGTGGGAACTAAATGCTGCACTAGATAAGCCTCGGCTCTCATCTACGAGTGCTCTTATTTTAAGTACTGCAGTGATTTTGCCATATTTGTCCTGTAGTATGACAACAGGATAGGGTGGCTTCATTTCTGTGGGAAGAGAACAATTTTCTATTTCCTTCTCCCCTGAAACCCTTCTAGGACCCATGACACTTAGCTTTGGAAGTTTCTCTCCGATCTAGGCCTTGCGCTGCGTTACAAAGCCCACATGTGTGATACGCAGAGACCACGACGAAGAACCCTTCCCTTCCTTCCTTCCTTGATTTATATCCAACCTTCTTTTTTAAAGAAGTCAAAGCTGCTTACATCATTCTCATTCTCCTGCTCCCGGTCTTATCCCCTGTGAGGTATGTTGGGCTGAGTCTGTGAATGGCCCAAAGTCACCCAGTTGACTCCATGGCTGAGTGAGGACTAGAACCTGGATCGCCTGGGTCCCAGACCTGTGCTCTTAACCGCTACACCACACTGGCTCTCAATTCTTTAGTGAATTTGTAGTGGAATCAGTAGGCGAATTAAAAAGCAGTAAGTTTTTACTCAAAAAGACTCTAGGGGGCAGTCTAACAGCACACCTAGCTCCCTGCTCTTACATTATCCAGCACCTCTTGGGTTGGAATTGCTGAGAAATGCCTCATGTAGAGAAGCCCAGTACTATTGATAGAAGCCAGGAAAACTTGGCTGCCTTTCAGCTGTTGATATTTCACCACACCCTGTAAAGCTCTGATCTGAAATGGAAACTCATTTGTTTTATCAACTCCTGGTGTTTCTCACAGTGGGCAGGAGAGAAGGAACACATAGTGGACAGAGTATACCATAACCACAAAGTCTAAGAACTTGCAAGGCAAAATCTGATTGCTCCTTCAGGCTGTTTAATTACCAAACAAGCTTGGTAAGGAGGAAAACCTGGGCCTGTGCAGCCATGGTCTGATAGAAAGTGGAATTCCTCTCATACACAGCACACTCCTCCTCCTCCTCCTCCTCCTCCTCCTCCTCTCTACCCCCATTTGTTTGGACTGGAGAGGTTGGAGAAAGGATGGAAATACATTCATATTCTCTACAAACCTTGATTTTTGTTGTTGATTACATAACTGGTACAAAAATGCATTACATTTTGAAAAATCTCCTTTCAGCCACCTATTAGCAATTCAAAGGGGAGCCTGGAGAGCAACATAGAGGACTGTAGAACAATCTGGATGTTTTTTCCCCTCACCTAACAGCGCTCTGCAATGCAAATTATGAACCAATCCAGAATGCAGACCACGTTAGAACCAGATTACAGAGACCATTTTCAGGACTCAAGACACGATATGAAGACCAAATTCAGAGCTTTACTTAAAGCCTTCGTCTCTCCCTGATTCGATTTGAGTTTCTCCCTTTTGTAAATATCCTTTATATGATGCAATCCCAAACGTGTGGGAACAAAGTCAAGGCTATGTACAATATGACTGGCCTTCAGGGAAGGGTGGGAAGGTGGTGATGAAAGGGAGAGATCTGTTCCCCAACCATACTCCCATGTAAAGAAATCTGATTCGGAAGAATCAGGAATAACATTATTAAGGCCCATAATGCACCTTTGCAGCCTCCTGGGTAGAGGTAGAGTCTTCAGCAGTAAAACATCTCCCCTCACTTGTTCACTGATTGCAGCAAGCACTTTGTGATTGGTGCTGTTTTTACACATCCCGTCCTGTGACGCAGCATCCCATAAACCATCTCATTCCAGAAGGAAGTAAGAAGAATGTCGCCTCACAGGAGAACTCTCTGCTCCAAACTCTTTCTGCCTGCCAGTCTCTCTTCTTCAGAGCAGTCTGCGCTCGCTCTTTCTCTTGCTCTTCATTCTGAGATGCCGGAGATTACTACGGGATCTTCCACAGGTGAGACACAGAGCGAGAGAGAGGATTCCAGCTGCCTAGGGCAGAGATTCACGTTGAGGACTCTCACATGTTCGCCCCACTTCTCAAGCATCTCCATCCAGAGAGGAGCTGGTAAGGCACAAGGGTTGCTAATGGCACGCTGAAGCAGCACTAGCAGAGATGAAGGCAGGACGGTGGAGGTTCAGGGTGTGAAAGCATCTTTTCTAAGTGACGTGTCTGACTGAGAGGTAGGATCAAAAGGCACAAGTCCTAACTTGCCCATCCCTGGGCACATTGTTCCCCTACATGAGGTTGTAATAGACAGGCTTTCAGAAAAAGCACATCCTTCATATCCACCCTGATAACGAATCCTCTCTTCCTCTATTGCATACATGGTCGGGATGGGGCACAGCAAGCAAAGGGCACCCCCTTCTTCACCAAGAAGCCCTTCCCCAAATCTTTCGGTCACCTACACGGCTCAGCAGAGTTGGCTTGTGCTTGGGGCCCCCTGTCACTGATGGCAGAGGGCTGTCTTTGCGAAGGCTGCACGCCAAGCACCTCAAGGCTCGGACCGGTGCAGGGCGCAGTAACACCTCTTGGGCCTTGTCACACAGGATTCTGCCTGGCATCACAAACTGGCCCTGCTGCCAGGAGAGTTGGTGTCACCCATCTGGGCACCGGCTCCCCAGATTCAAGGAAGCCGCCGGCACATCTCCTCCTCCTCCATGCAGAAGCCCTACCTTGCAAAAGCGGGCCTCCCTCTGTGTTTGGACAGGAATGGATCCTGCAGTTTAGACAGGTCACCTGAAAATGGTTCTGTTTACCCGCGGGGTCCAGAGCATTTGAACTGCTGAGGTCAAACCGCAGGGCAAGGCAGGGAGCTCTGATGCAACCCCAGGGGAGCCTGCCATTGGCAGGTCTTGCTACACTTGCTCTTTATGGCCAGTGCCACAGTGCTTGCTTAGGAGCATCAGAAAGTCCTTCCTTTCGGCCCACAAGCACAACAAGAGCGTGGTTTTGGCTCTGGGTGCCCCAGAAAGGGACAGCGAAGCAGCCACCCATGGGCTTAAGTCCTCTGAGCATTGGCCTTGCTGAACAGCCGGCTGTGCCAGTAATCCGGATTGTCGAAAGCACAGTCTGAGGCCTCCAGCGTGCGCAGGGGCTTCATGAATCCGTTTGCTGGACAGGGTGGACTCTGGCAGCCCAGGCACTGGACTGGGGGCAAGACAGCATCCATCTCCTCATAGCCCTGCTCGTCTGGGGAGCCCTGGGTGATGCCGGAGTCCATGTCAGTATAGTCTCCCCGAGAGCTGCGAATGCTGCTCAGGGACTTGCTGAGTTTGGGCTGCTTGTTCATGTACTCATAGTCCTCTTCATCTTCCTCATCCTCCCGGCAGGGTGTGGTTAGTTGGGAGCTCGGCACACTGCCCAAGGATGCGCTCAGCTCTGAGCCCAGATCCATGTACTCATAGCCCAGTTCCTCCAGAGAGGCAGGCCGTGGTTGCGGAGGCTGCGGAGCGCGCCGGTTCATGTACTCATACTCTTCATCCACTTCATGCACAGGAAGTGAGCTGTGGGCCACGGAGGCAACGATGCCGGCAGCACGTCCTGCACAGGGGAAGAGAAGAGAAGAGAAGAGAAGAGAAGAGAAGAGAAGAGAAGAGAAGAGAGAAGCTTTTGAATGTTGCCATCACCCGCAGAGAGCAGCAGCAATTGCCAAGGGACCAGGCACTGAAGCGAGGGTACAGGTACGTGTTTTTGGCATTTATCGGCCACAGGGCTGTATTTACGAGGTGGAAGAGCATGGAGGTTATACATGGGGCTCTCGCATTCCTGCCCCTAGCCTTACAGCATGGGTTTCTGAGGCTCCAAGGGAGAAACCACACATGCGCTGCCACAGATGAAAGAAGGCACTGCTAGGAAATCTGTATGCATGGCCAGCGCAATCGCCGATCTAGCTTACGAACCGTTTGTACGAAGGCTGAAGGGCAGACAAAGGCAGCCCAGACTGTAGCCTCGACAGCACTGCTTTGTTTCACATAAGGCAACGCTGCAGCCGAGGGCAGGGGAGCTGTGGCTTTACTGTGTGGCCATTCCCAGTGCCAGGGACCTGGGATAACTCTGCAGCAGCAAGAAAGGAGGGAGGGTAAGGTGTCAGTTCTAACCTCTGCATGTGAGGTAAAGGTTTTACTGCTATAGTCATCAGTTCCCAAACTGCGATACTTCAGGCCCCTGGCACTCAAACCACCCAGCAAGCCTATAGGGTAAGGGTCTCAGTGGGAGGAAACAAGGGTTGCTGCACCCTGGCCCCTCTGGCCTCCTCACCCCATTCTAGAGAGCTTGTGGCTGGAGCCACCTGCTCTTGCTAGTCTGCTCTACAAAGAGCCCTTTCCTTGTGGCTGCCAGCACCCCGACCCCAACCTAGGAAGCCAGGAAGCAGTAAACTCCCTCATGATTCTTAATGTATTTTTTTTCCTACTGTACTAGGGCTGCATTCAGTTAGGCCACCAAGTTTCAGCTGCCACACAAAGCTAAACCTACAAAGAACGTGCTGCTGCAAATCAGAAAATTTAACTACCGGGGCAAACCTTGAACCAGGGAGAGTCAGACTGTGTTTGCTGCCCCTGCAGGCCAGGGCCACGACTACCCCGCCTCTTCCACCTGGGCACTGGGGCAATCCACCCCAGAGAGCAGGACACCTACTCTGACCCCGCAGCCCCTCCCTGGTGCTGCTCCCACCTCTGCCATTTCGATCCGGCATGACGTAGCCGTTGGCATCTTCCTCTCCATCTGTACTTCCAATGGGGAGCATCAGGCTCTCCCGCTGGGACACGTAGGCGCTGTCTCCCCGGGACCGCAGGCTGCGGCACAGGCTGCCCGACAATGACAGATCCTCCGTGAGGTCGTACTCGGAGGCAGTGCCCCGGCCCTCTGACGACTCTGACACGGTGCGGCCCATTGACTCCTGCCGTACACGCAAAGTCTGCCGTGAGCCCAGTCCAGTGCTCTGGATCACAAGGAGTCGGAGATTAACACACGGTTGACGCTTCACAAGATCCACCAACTGTTGACCCGACCCTGGGCATGCTGGGAAAGAGTGACTACACCCCTCTGTGGTTTCAGTCTTGAGGAGTGAGACTAAGTGTCACACAGTCTTGGTCTGTCCTGGACTTACACAACTTGTGGCCCGCTAAGTGGAACGCACCCTCGGACCATGCTTGCCAGCCCACCGAAGGCTCAACAGCCATCCCACTTTTCTGCCCGGCAACAGCAGGGTTGTCAAGTGCACAGCAGGCTGCATTTGATTCGCTGGTTCACACGCTGTGCAGGCCCCTTTCATGGCTGACTGGCATTGGCACGGCCAGGTCACCAGCCAATGTCTGCCCAGCTCCTTTAACAGGAGATGCAGGGACTGAACACACAGGGCAGGCAGTCCAGCACCCAGCCCTCTGTCCGTGTGCCAGCCAGCAGCAACCTCTCAAGTATCCCCTGTCAGGCTGCCCCCAAAGCCCGTTCTGATGAGGATCTAATTGGGCGCACAGCCCTCATTCTACACCGGCTCTCAGCTCCAGACAGCTTTTGAGGGAACTGGTACCTGGTAACTTCCAGTGAGGCTGCTCTGATTCATGGGGATGTATCCAGTTGAGGGATTCAAAAGATTTGGACTCTAGAGAAAGCAAGTAAGAGAAGATGTCAGTAGCAGGGCCAGTTTCAAACTTTTAAACAAATCATTTGTGAGCTTTGCCTTCCCTGACCTAGTGCCTTCCAGATCTGTTAGACTGCAACTCCCATTGTTCCCTGCTTTGCCAGCTGGGAGGGATGGGAGTGGAAGTCTAACACATCTGAAGGCTTCCTAGCAAGGATAGTCTGGTTTAGAGATTGGAATAATCATAGATCGCTTTTCAGCTGCATGTTTTCCAAGAGGCTTACATTATAAAATAATGTGAAATAGGCGAGAGCCGGGATCCCCAAATCATCTGTTTGAGCATGGCTGGCACTATGTGCGGGAGCGCCTTACCCGTATGGAGTCGATCCACTGCCTGGAGGCAAAGAGGTTATTAAGTTCCTCCTCTTCCTCCAACTCTGTCGCCATCTCCAGTGTCTCCATTTCATCCAGCTCCTTTTCACTGAGTGTGGGTGGTTCGATCGGGGAAAGCGTCCCACTCTCCCTCTGTGGGGAACAAGTATGACCTTCACTGTACTTACACTGGCCATCTTTAATGCCACACCAGTGGCTGCTCAGTTGCCCTGGAAGTACCTAAATGAGCACAGGACATCTAAACTCAACGTTGGAGAGGCCCCTGGGCAGTGCCTAGAGCTCCGGTGGGAGGAGAGCCCTCCTGTGCATGTGTATGGAGGCACCTTCCCCTTCACCCAAGCTGTGTGTGCGCACACACATATTACACCCAGGTACATGCAACACACACACAGGAGAACAATCCCTGAAGGCATCTCCCTCGTAGAACAGTGTAGCCTGAACACCTCAGGAGGCAAGCCTTTGTGGCAGAAACGGGCTTAGCCTGAGATTTTGGATCTCAGAGAGAAATGGTTGATTCTCTGGTATGGCAGATAGGAAATATTTAAATTTTTAAACAGTGTTTGAACAGTTACTGGCAGCCACATGGGGGATTTAAAATTTCAAGCAACTCTGTAGTTCTGTTAAGAAAACATTTAACATACTGAAAGAGGAACACCATGTAAACATAAGCAAAATCTGGCTACCAGTGGGATGTAACTGGTTTAGCAGCAAAGCAGGGGCTTGTGGCCTTGGTGGGATATTTTTAATATGGCCATAGCACTAACCACTTAGCACTGCGGAGGCCAAATCCTGCCCTCCTGCAGTCCCGATATGCCCCTGCCAGCTTTCTCCTGATGGTCACATCCCCTTCCCCTGCCCCCACTCCATTTCCCTTAACAATCAATCACTTCATAGTGTCCAGATTTTGTGCAGCTTCCCCTCCAAAGGGATGAAAAGCCTCCCCTGAGGATTTGTTTCTGGAGGGGAGAGCTTTAAACTGAAATATGCTGGGGACAGACTGATTAGGCTGGTTGTCTTTTGCCCCTCCCACCACAAGAAGAGTCTGGAGGAGCCTCTCTGGAACTTCATTCAGCTCCCAAGCCGAAGTACGCCCCACCCCCAGCTTAGCATCCACCAAGCCTCCAAGGGTTGTGCTTGCAGCTTGGGCTGCAGAAGGGAGTTGGGTCTAACTGGCACTGACCTTAATCACAAGGTAGCGAGGGGGGTCGCGTGCCATCCGTGTGAACTCATTTGCTAGCTCTTTGAAGGTGGGACGAATGTTCTCATCAATCATCCAGCCTATGGGATAGAGAAGGTGAAAATCTTTCAGGTACCAGTTATGCCATCTCCTAGGCGGCAGGGCAAGACTGTTTGCCTAAGGACTATCAGCCATCCTGAGGCTTACGCAAAGGACGGGGTAGAAATGTTTAAATTAAATTAAATTAAATTAAATTAAATTAAATTATTAAGGACTCCACTTCCTTCACAGCAAAAATTTTCCATGGACCAGTGTCATCAAAGGACAGTTAGAATCATACAGTTAGGAGAAGGGCATTTGGTCAAACATCCAGTCTCCCATCCAGATTATGACCAGGGCTGACCCTGCTTAGCAGAATCAGGCACTTCAAGCTATAAGGGATGGGAAAGTTTCTCCAGTCACATACATTTTACCATCACCATGTAGACATCAATGGTGCAGATCTGGGGCTGTGCAAGACGCTCCCCTTTCTCCAGAAGGTCAGGCACTTCTGAAAGGTGGATCCCAGCATAAGGTTCACCCCCAAAGGTCATCATCTCCCATAATGTCACTCCTGCAGTGGGTGAAATGACAGAAAATGGAAGTGAGCAGAATTCCCAAGAGGCAGTGCAGGGGTGCTGCAAGCAAAATCTCAGGGCAGCTGCAGGAAAAGTGGTAGAAGTTATGTTGAGAGGTTCTGACTGCACCAAACAGTTTTGGGGCTGGGGATGAAAGAGGACACTAGAGAGCAATTCTTAATTCAGGCGTCAGTACTTGGGGAGGCCTTAAGCAGGTATTTCTTGATTATAGAGCTTTCTTATGGTGTCAAAAGATGTAGCCAAATTTTCAGGAGCTGGAGTCAGTTTGTCTGGAACACCTACCGTAACTCCACACATCACTTTGGTGCGTATATTTTCCAAAATGTATGCTCTCCAAGGCCATCCATTTTATTGGTGTCTGAAAAACATAAGGCGGAAAGGTGACTTTTAAGTATGAAGCTAGAGAAACATGTGAACACACTCTGTGAAGAGCAACTCTGAAGCCAATCCATTTCCCCTAGGAATTTGTAGCTAAAACTTTACTCCTAATGGCCTATTAAAATATCATGCAGAGGAAAGGGTTTTTTTGTGGGAGGGAGTAGAAAAATGGGGGTTATCACTCCCTGGAAACTCAGTCTTTATCTCTTCTCTTTCCTCTTTATTTTTATTTTAAATATTGTTCAGTTTACAATAGCAGTGGTTACTTACTGCTTATTACATACGTACTACTGACTCATTGTTTTATCACTCTAATCTTTCCATTAAATTACATGTTATTGAAACCACAGGCTATTAAAAGCAGTTGGAGTCTGAGTTGGTACTGTTATTTTATTTGTATATAAAATAAAGCACTGCCATTTTGCTGAAAAAGTAGCTTTTTTCTTTTGTCCTCCTGGCACTCTAAAACACAGACTGTTTTTCTGAAAGTGTTATTTCCCATTCTGTATTATAATATCTCCCTATATAGGTCTTTAGCATCCTTCCAACATTTGGCTATCAACACCGGTACTGCTGTTAAAAGAAACCCAACTTGCTTTTGATCTAATAAAGTTTGATTCTGACTATCAGAGGTATTCAGTAATGCCAAATCTGGTGTTTTTCCCACTGCTGTTTCCATTATGGAAGATACTTCTTGAAAAATTTCCATTCAAAATTGTTGAGTACATTCACAGCCCCACCACATGTGAAGTTCCCTTAACCCTCTCCCACACAATGGTAAGATTTATCAATCTTAGCAGATATGGATGGCATTAAATATCATTTTGTAATATTTAAAGCTATATCCCTGTCCACTTAGCTGAACAGTTTGCTAGGGATTTTTTCTGACATTTTTGTCCAGTATTCTTGATATATTTTAACAGCCCAGTCAGATTCCCAATACAGTCAGAACTTGTGAACCCAAGTCCTGTTTAAGTAACAATCTGTTTAAATTTGTTACTTGCCTTTTAGCCTTTCCAGCTGTAGTGACTACTCTTTTTTCAAAAGCTGTCACATCCGTGATACCTTCCTGTATAACATTTTGCTTTGTAATAAATGTGGACATTTGATACCAGGCTGACCATGTGATTCCTGTGTTCTTCAATGAGGTACTCCCGAAAGTTCTAGGTCTAGTCGCTGTGTTTATAAAATAATGCATTAGTCTGTCCAACTGACTGTCCTTTAAAACCTTTTTAATCTCTCTCCTCTTCTAAAACTTACAAATACTCAGGAGTATTCTTCCAGAGGTGAATCATAGCTTTCTCTCTCCACTTCCATTTAGCTGGCATTTTGAAGACATTTAAGATTCCAGATGGAGAATTAAAGCAGTGACAGCCCTCCCTGCACAAGCTTGCAGAGGAGATGAAGCTACAAGGCTTCCGTATAGCCTGATTCTGCCTAATCTTGGAAGCTAAGCAAGGTTGGTCCAGGCTGAAATCTGGATGGGTGAGACTTGAGTCCTGCATTGAGCAGGTGGTTGGACCCAGTGGCCTGCTAAGCCCCTTCTAAGCATTGTCCTACCTGTACTGTCTCAGGTAAACACTAACCTTAATCTCATTGTAGAAGTATTTCTTGTCATCCGGATACAGTAAGTCAGCAATGCCAAAATCTGCCACTTGTACTTGGCTAGGAGATTTTACCAAAACATTGCGGGCAGCAAGGTTACGATGGACCATGCGGTGCTCCTCCAGATAGTACATACCCTGGACATAAAAGAAGGAAGAACAGATGAATGAGAATGTGGTACAAAGCTTGAGTCACCTGAATGTATGTTGCTTTGGGGCATCTCGTTTAGAGGAAGAGTGATCAACCTAGGGCATCCTCACATATACAGGTTGATCCCATCATAATCTATGATAATGAAAATCAGATGTTGCACACCTTCAAGAGTAAGGCAGCCCTGAAATGGGGTGACTAGCCTATATATATCCTAAAGAATCTGATAGAGGGGTATGTTGGGAAGGAGACCGGAGTGAAGCTAAATGCATTTTGCAGCTTCTTCATTTCCATGTTGCCTGCCAAGAACCCGGCACATTGAAAAAAATTCCGCAACATTTTCTAGGGCACATGCTTAGCTCATTCTAGACAAGCCCTATTGAGGCTCATTGCTGCTTCACATGAAATGAGAGGACAGTCTAAGCCACACACTTAAGTGGCTGCATGTGACAAGGGATATTTCATGACAGAAGACACACTGTCTTTCAGGGAAGTTTTTTCAGCACTGATCTTCAGCCAAAGCATTTGTGCAGGTCTTCTCACTTAGGACCTTCCTGATAAATTTTCAAGAAACTCCACTGCTTCCTGGAAGACTCTAGATTTAAGTTTTGGTGGTGATTTTTGATTGGTATGGTAAATTCTCCACCTGTTTCTACCTTATCATTAGCTTTTCTATCTCAGCTATATATGTTAACAAGAGGACACCATGCCAAAAACACACACTCACAAATGTAATGGCTTGTGAAACAAGCAACAATCATACATATATGATTACATGACTATATATATATATATATATATATATAGCATAACTAAATTAATTGTAGTTATTCTATTTGTATTTACCTCTACTTAATTGCTTATCCTAATAACTCAACATGGCTGCTGGCTCCAGTCATCAGCTGCCAATTTAATGTTGTCCCCCCCCCCCCAGTAGTGTCATAATTTCAGTTATTACAAAGCCTCTGGGTGCTGTGTATCCTCTTCCCTCAGCCTCATGCCACTGGTGACCTCAGCAATGTGATCTGCCTGAAGAGTGTGCTTCATTTCTGTTAGCTGAATTGGTTAATTTCCATTCCATTAAAGAGAGTCACTGCTATGTGTAAGGTACAGTACCAATTTGTGAAAGTTCTTTCTGAAAGCAGGAGGGAAGTAAATTATTTCAGGCAACCAAACCAGGATAGCTTGGATGTCAGTGAAAAGGCACATGTGCTTCCTCTCCACCAAACTATGGCAGTCTTCCAATCCTGCTGATGCACCTTGTGGCCATCCCATGCCATTGCAAGAAAGTCCCTCAACCTTCAGAAGCAGTTTTGCAGGGAGAGACAGAGGCTGCAACGAGGAGGAGGAGCAGCAGCAGCCGCCGCCAGGAAAGCCCTATTACATTAGCAGATTTCTGCTAGCACTTCTTGGATTCCACCCAGTGAGCGGTACCTTTCAAGTCCCACTTGTACTTCTCTGAATTCAAGCCATAGGTGTTGATCTACACTTATGCTTGAGACACTCCCCGAATATTCTGAATGCTGCAGTTCTCAAAAGAAACAGGAATAAGACTGCATTAAAAAGTCCTCTTTTTAAACAGAAGATCATCTCCAGCCTTAAGGATTCTGGGAAAAACCTTTCATGGACCCACAGTATTCCCCCCGAAGCTCCCTACTTACCTTGGCGATCTGCACACACCAGTTTAGCATCAGCTGTGGCCCAATGGCATCCTTGTTTTTGCGGACATATTCCAGCAATGATCCCAGAGGCAGGAACTGTGTGACAAGTTGCAGCTGCGTGCCAGTACAGATGCCCAGGAGGCGCACAATATAAGCATGATCCAGGCTACCTATTGCCAACATGTGCTGAACAAAGACAGAACCAAAAGACAGACAGCATCAGAGCAAAGGCCAGTATGAAGTGCTGAGTTATATCTAAAAGCAAAGGAAGATACCAGTAGGGTTCTGAGAAAAACAATTTGAGGCAAAGCCAGCAGCGATCCTAGCTGGACAAGGCTTCCTTTAGACTCTTCACTGCCCAAAAATAATATGCTAGCCTGTCTCTGCAAGCAAAACTGGTCAGCTTCCCCCTCTACCCATGAGAGATAAAGGGCTTCCAAGAAGGTACCTGATATTCGCCTTGCCTGTTGGCTTCCACGGCCAGTTGGTCAGTGACACCAAATGGATGGAAGTCAGTCAGCAGCACCAATCTAGGCAGCACCGAACTGATGGAACCATCAAAGGAAGCCATCAAGGGAAGCCAACTGGGAACACTCTGGGAACAGTCTAGGAAGACTGGCACATGGCTGCCATTGCTTTCAAGATGTTATTTTATTATTTTATTTTTGCTACCGGGGAGCTAGTGACTTTAATGCTCACAGACAGCATTTTTAGAAACAACTTGATGAAGCTTACCATTCCTAAATTCTGCCCCAAGTCTGGCAAGGAGTGGTGCCCACCATATAGCTGGTCTGGCCTTCCAGTCAGGATAAACAGAGGCTTTGTGCCATTATGACCTTCATCAAAATACTTAATTTACTGCAGGGGTGGGGGATTACAATGAGGGGAATGACCCCTCCCGACCCCTCCCCCCACCAGCCCTCCATGGACTGAATGCTATCAGAGAGTGGCCACACACCCCGGCAGCACTTGACTCCTGGCCAAAACACTCCTCTAGATGGCACTGGTTGGAGGGCCTCCGGTCAGCCCTTCAGTCGGGGACCTGGCTTCACTTCTCTTGGGCTTTCCTGGACCAGTGACGGGAGATGATGGGGGAGCTTTCCCTTCATAGGCCATTCGCCCTCCTGAACCACAGAGAAACAGTGGGGATCCCTCTCCCTGCTGGCCACTAGGGTGCAGGGGAGGGAGTTGAGGACAGGTGCTAGCCTGGTGGCCAAGCTGATCCATGGGCTGAAAAGCCCCCAGTGCTGCTTCACTGCATCACCTGGAGGGTACAGGTACTCCCCAAGTTACACAAGTCTGGGTTACGAGCAATCCATATTTAGGGAATGTGCAGAGTGCCATGATATTAATATCTGCCTATATTAGTATCTCTCAAGAATGATGTGACATGTTTGGCAGCCTAGCATGTTTGGCAGCCTAATTCCCTAGAGATACAGTGTTTGTGGCTTTTTCTTCTGCAGCATCCAGACCCGAGACTCCAGGAGTAGCACACCGCCCGCCCCCATCCCACCCCATAGCAGCACAATCAAACTCTGACTCTCTAGCACCAGGTCTGTCTCCATCATTATCAGTTAATGTTAGGCTTAATGTTAACTCAAGAATGTTCTAAAGCAGTGGTGGCGAACCTATGACACGTCTGCCACACTGGGCACACAGAGCTCTCTCTGTTGGCACGTGAGCCAAGTTGCGCCAGCATCGCCCCAGCAGCCAAGCATTGGATAACAGCGCACATAGAGGCCATGCACTTGCTCGGAAAGGAGTAGCGGTGCCAGGTGATGACATCACAAGCCAAAATTCATTAGCTGCAACACGTCCGAGCTTTCACATGGCCGATCAGTCCATTGCCAAGGAGAGAGAGAGAGAGAGAGAGATTTGGTTGGACTGGCTGTGAGTTGTTTTTTCTAAACTAAAAATCTGTTTTCAGATTTTATTGTGTTTAGAATGGGCAGAAATGATGAGCTGTGCAGAAAAAGCTACTCAAGGAAGGCTTTTTCAAAATCGTCCTCTTTTCAATGGAACTTTAGCCCTGTATTTGGGTTAGGGTGTGCACCAGGGTAGGGTTAAGATTACAAAAATGAGGTGTCCTGGCATGATTTTGATGGTTGGAATGTGTTTAGAATGAGCAGAAATGATGAGCTGTGCAGAAAAAGCTACTCAAGGAAGGCTTTTTCAAAAGCTCCCCTTTCAATAGTATTTTACCCCTATATTAGGGCTAGGGAAGTGCACCAGAGGCATGATCTATAGCAGTGGTGGTGAACCTATGGCATGCTTCCCACAGTGAGCACACAGAGCCTTCTCTATCAGCATGCGAGCCAAGTTGTGCCAGCTTCCCCCCAGCAGCCGAGCATCAGGTAACAGCGCACATAGGGGCCATGCGCATGCTCAAAAAGGATTAGTGGCGCCAGGCGATGTCATGAGTCACGATTCATTAGCTGCAACTCGTCCAAGCTTTCGCATGACCAATCAGTCCACTGCCAAGGTTGGACTGGCTGTGAGCTGTTTTTTTCTAAACTAAAACCACAGTTTTCAGGCTTTATTGTAGTGTTGACACTTTGCGATAAATAAGTGGGTTTTGGGTTGCGGTTTGGGCACTCGATCTCTAAAAAGTTCGCCATCACTGTTCTAAACTTTCTTAAGAACTGTTTCTTTTGTTTATTTGTTTATTACAATAATGTACACCCACACACACACACAGATTCCCTTTCACTTCAGTACCTGTAGTTAGTTTATTATTGCTGCATTATTATCATTATTACAATGCTGTATCATGTTTAAGGTGTTTTAGTGTATATGTAAGTGTTTAAGTGTTTTATATGAATAGAAAGGTAAAATATATACATATACTAAGACAAACATTTGGCTTACTCATAATCTGAGTTACATACAAATTTAACTTAAGGGCATTGGAACTGCTTAATCTTGGGGGGGGGGGGGACTTCTCAGGATTGGAACTCCTTAACCTGGGGGCTGTCTGTACTCAGAAATGTGGACTGCAACTCCTGTTAGAATGCCAAGACTGTCCAGGCCAAACTAGATGTGTTATGGGAGATTCATGACTGGATCTCCTCCTGAGATCAGAGCTGGTGGAGTGGGATCAGATCTCCTCATCTGCACTTCCCCAGTTCAAATTGCTTTCCTACATACCCTTACAAACTGTTATTTACCACCAAGGTCAGGAAAGTCAGGTCCTGTTTTGTACTTGACATTTTTCTTCCTTCAGAGCTAAAGCAACTGAGTGGTGGGGAGCATTTAAATTGGAAACAATGATAGAAGAAGACAAGGGTAAATAATTCATACATACACCCCAGCATAAAACTAATCCTATATCTGCTGTTAAGCAAAGAAAAGGGTGTTGGGAAATCCAGTTATGAGATCTTCTTTTACTATGTCTGCTTTGGCCCCCAAAGGTGTGTTTCTCATTAGGACTACAGCGAAAAGCAGGAGGCAGTGAAATCCATGTTACATTTGTGATCTTAAAAAGAGGCGGGGCCTGGAGAAAGAGTCCCAGCCCTGCTATCAGTGACCCTTTGAGTTACTTACATCGGTGACAGCATGGAAGGTTTGCCGGCCACTTGGGTCCTGGATAACTTTGATGCTCACAGGGATCTTAAGGGAGTCTCCATCTGGAATCCAGAAACCCTGATGGAAAAGAAAGCCAGAGGAGATGAGCCATAGCTATAATGTGAGGAAGCATGAATAAGTGTTGAAGAACTGTCGACAATTCTGCTGTTCTAAGACTCCAAGAGGGAAGCAAGCTCTCTTGAGATTATTTTGCAGCTGCAATTAGGAAACCGCCAGCCTTATTCCTGGGGAGCGGAATCTCTCCCATTCTCTTCTTCTTACAACTGGGAAAGGGAGCTCCTTCCTACCCTTCAAAAGGCAAAGGAAGAAGAGTCACATTCACGTCAATTCCCAGCCATGGGATAGAGGTACCTGGGCCATAACTGTCCACAATCGAGACAGGGTGTAGCCTCACCGTACCTCAAGCAAGAAGTGGCAAGCCTAGCCAGCACTGTGCCTTGAGCAACTTCACTGCACTGGCCAAGGCTATGCTTCCAACGAGGCTGGCAATCTCCCAGCTCAAAACAAGAGGCTATTGCAGAGGCCTCTGTGTTATCACAAAGGGCTGGAGCAGCTGCTGAATAAAGAGTGGCACTTAGCAGTGTGTCAGGTGCCGTGTCTGCTGAGCCTTGGATCTGCACAAAACACCAAAGGCCCCCTTGGTAATGCCTGCTACCAGGCAGCTTTGGTGGGAAGGAGCAGACTCCCCTACTAGGGGAAACTGGCCGTCTTTGTTGCATAAAAACCGTAAGCCTGGAATGGAATATTCAGAATATATTCCAAACCCATCCATTTCACCAGCTCCTCTATCCCTAATCCTAGATACTAAATACAGTTCTCTGGCCCAGGGCTCTTTTCCATGACCAGCACAATGTTCTCTGTCTCTCTGTTCCCTTCTGCGTGAGAAAGTCTGCATACAGCTTAGCCCAGGGATGGGGAATGTGTGGCCCTCCAAATGTTGGCCCATGACTCCCATCAACCATTCTCACTGGCTATGGTGGCTACGGTTGCTGGGAGTTGGGTTTCAGCAATATCTGGAGGGCCACTCTTTTCCCATCCCTGGCTTAAGAAAACAGAAGCAGAAGCTGTTAGTTTTGGGTCTCAGACTTACTTTGTGCACTGTTCCAAACACTCCTGATCCAAGAACTTTTACTTTCTTTAATTCTGTCTCCTTGAAAATACGGGCCAGAACCTTATTGGCTTTCTCACTGGGATCCAGGGGCTCCAAACTCTACAGGAACATGAAAGAAATAAAGAATTTAACCATCACAGTTCTATCAGACGTACAAGCTTGTCACCTCCAAGCTTGTCACCGCCTTTCCAGAGAATTCATAGGTGGTAGCTATTCTCCTTCTTTCTCTTAAAAGAGGTATTTCTAATCTCATTCTAATTCCTATAAACTCCCAAAGATGCCAAGTTGCGGAATCTTATAATATGACGTTCCTTTTTAAAGGTATTTTGTCACAAGTGCAGAGCAATCTTATTTAAGTCTACCCTAAAATAAGTTCAATGTATGTTATTTACTGAATGGATTTCCTGCTCAACAGGCAGATACCTGTTAGGAGGTTCATCATACCAGAAAATACAAAACGATACAATAACAACCAAGGCAATAAATACAGTGATGAAAAATATATTAAAAATGCAGTCGAAGATGCCAGAAAAATGCATTCCAGGGACATGGGAACTACACAGAATGTAGTTCTCCTCCATAGTTCCTGCTGGCCCCCTCGTGGGTGGTGGCACCCAGAGAGGGGTCTGCAAAGAGAAGTTTAATGAGACTTACTCCCAGTAAGTGAGAATAGGATTGCAGGCCTAAGTGGTTGCTGTCTGTCACTGAAAAGAGACTGTGCTGAGACTGTGGGACAACAGGTCTAGGCTCCCCGACTTGCCTCCATATGATAAAACCGTAACTGGGGTCTCACACGAAGCTGGCTTTCTGCGATCTAGAGGAAGGCATAAGGATACAGGCTCACCTCCCCTCTTTCAAGGTATCTCCGCATGGCTCGCTTCTTCTGGATCTTCTTGCCGCGGCAATACAAGAAAGTCAGCAAGACACAGGAGCAGAAGACAAAGAGGCAGCCCACCACCATCACGGCGATCAGAGTTGGGGCCGTCCTGTGATGCAAGAAAAGAGCTGCACGTTAGAGCACATTTCCACAGTGCAGCAAAAGCACTGAAATGAGAGGTGAGCCCAGAGGTTGTTCAGCAACCCAAGACGCCCAGTTTTCATTTTTGAAAGTTTCTGGTTCTCATGGTTGCAAACAATGGTTTGAAAGTATGATGGCAATGCTGGTAAAATGCTGAAAAGCAGTGGTGGTCAGGACTGGTCCTAAATAAGATTTTCACGGGTCAGAAGAAGAGGCCTGGAGGCTTTCCATAGTTCTTTGCCTTCCCATGATTAGCACTGGTAGAATCAGCAGGCAGGGTAGGAAAATGGGATTAATGTGAAATAAGAAAACAGGGTTGTTGTAAAGATTATTGAGAATACTATATATGAAACTGGGAATGTTTTACCGTGGGGTGCACATACTTCTACTATTGTTCATCATATATGTAGCAGAGGGTGTTTTTTCTTGGTTCAGAGGAGAACGGGAGTAATCATGTTTAGTGCACAGTACACAAAGTCCTGGTATTTGCATGACACATGGGCAGAAAAGCCATTCATTTGGTGAATGAAGCAGACATGCTACCCGGAGGTGAATTCCTTTCAGCTTTCCCAGTGACCTTAACAGTCGGGTCAAAGGACTTGTGTCTCTGCCTGTCCTCATGCACATCAGAGCCACTGGCAGTCGTCCCCCGCCCCCCCCCATCCCTCCATGCCTTTCAGTCTCTATTCTCCTGCCTCATACTGGAGGCGCCAGAAGACTGCAAGGCAGAAACAAAATCCCAGAGAGATACACACAGACTAAAATGGCATAATCATTGGAAGCATTTGAGCCGAATCCTTCCATAGCCTCTCTCTTCGAGAGCCAGTGTGGTGTAGTGGTTAAGAGCATAGGACTGGGACTCAGACGATCTGGGTTCTAGTCCCCGCTCAGCCATGGAGCCAATTGGGTGACTTTGGGCCAGTCACAGACTTTCAGCCCAACCTCCCTCACAGGGTTGTTGTTGTGGGGATAAGATGGAGGAAGAGATGTAAGCTGCCTTGAGCCCTGTGTAGGAAAAAGGCAGGATATAAATAAATTAATAAATAATAAAAGCCAGCCAGGCCCCCCATCCAATAGCTAGGCCAGTCCTCCTCTTGACCAAATGGAGCCCCACACCGCAGGGTTTACATCCCATGCCAGTGGGGAGCCATATCCCAGCATTCCATGAGTTCCATGAGCCCTTCAGTCACAGGACTCTCAGTCAGGTGACTTCCCCCCACCTCCTGCAGTTGTTCCCTCCTGTGCACCAATAGCATTAGAAGCGGGGGGGGGGGGGGATCCTTCACAGGCAGGGGGGTATTTAGTCCCACTTTTTATGGAGAAAACAAGCAGGAAAGAAGATCAAAGGGTGATGATCCAGATGATCCACACCCTTGGGCAACAGGTAGAGGCCTGCACTGGCCCTGCCCTCATTTCATGCCGCCCACAAAGGCCTCAAGGCAAACTGGCATTGGTGGGAGCTCCAGTGTGACTGCTAACATGATGTAAATGAAAAGTGGAAATGGAGCGAGCAGAAAGGCCTTCTCAAGCTTGCGATGGATAAGGTAGAGTTCTCTTGTTTGTGCCCAAAATTGAGATTCTGAGAGCTGTTGAGTGTTCTTTCTGATCAGCCTGGCTCTTCCTGCTGTGATCAAGCTACCGGCCCCAATGCAAGACCCTCTGTTTACACAGGAGCCGGTCTTCTTTGCTGGAAGGGTAATAAAAGCTGCAGCAAGATACAACAAGCTGTGCCTGGTAGAGCAGACAGTGGAGACTGCAATCTTGGCCAATTTCCCTGCCTTGACAGGCATGAAAGGCAGCTTCTTAAAGCCCTAGTATCGCTAATGTTGCTAAACTTGGAAAGGAGTCATACCGCAATCACTGTTTAGTTTTGGAAAACAGGTGCCTCTGAGATTAAAATGTCAGAGGAGGCAGGGGCAGCAGAATGGGATGAAATCCTTCAATTTGTTTTAACCAGATCTTAATGGCAGAAGTAGAAGAAGGACCTAACCTCTAGAAGACTCTTGCAACTTCTGCACTTCCAGCAGGAAAATAACCAACCATCAGTGGCTAAGCTATAGGCCAGAAAATATCCGAATGGCATGCAGAGGCTGTCTGGGTTCTCTTCCAGGTGTTCGAGGAAGGTCCCCAAGAGAGAGCTCTCAGTGCTGATTTCACAAGGAAAAGAATATGCCTGGTTTTCACTGCTGGGTTTCGGCCATATTATCAGGATAATAAAATTGCTTTAGTATTTCTATAACAGCCTTTGAGTCTTCCACATGTAGTGGCCATATTCACACAGTTATGGAGAAGAAAGCATCCTCAGTGACTTATTTCCCTTCCCTGTGCATGCTAGTTGTGTGACAGGGAAATTAGAAGTATTAACCCTGGCAGCACAACTTGTCATGCCATGCAAACCCATCAAGGATGGCTTGTTGCCATGGGTAACAAGCCCCGCAGAACCAAGGCTTGCTGTACAGCTCTCCATGGCTTAGTATCCATAGAAACAAGCCACACTTGTTCAGTTTCACATGATACCACTGCAAGAGATGTTTGTTTATTAGATTTATATTCCTTTTTTTCTTAAAAACTCAAAAGTGGCTTGTATCAGTCTCCTCCTAGTGCTCTCAGTCTTATTCCCCAATAACAACCCTGTGAAGTAGGTTGGGCTGAGAATCTGTGACTGGCCCAAAGTCATCCAGGTGGCTCCATGGCTGAGCAGGGACTTGCAGGTCGCCTAATTCTAGTCCTGAGCTCTTAATCACTACACCACACTGGCTCTCTGGTGATGTTGGTTATGCTAATCCTCCCCATCATGTGACCAGCCCAGTGGGGATGGGAAATAATGCATGGTGGCTTGGCTTGGATCCACATTTACACAGACTAAACTCACTGAAATACTAAGTATGAGTACATCTGGATCCAACATACTATCTCCATAATCTCCATACAGCTACCTTATAAGTTAGGTTAGTATTTTATCTCAGTATTGCAAATGGAGAAGGCCATGATTGAAGAAGAATGTTTAAGGCCACCTGGAAAAACTCATAGTGGATGAGTGAAAAAAAACCAGATTTAAACTGAGGACTCCCCAGCTCACACTTTTGACTGCCCTTGTATGCATTACATGCCAAGCAAGTGTCTTCCACTGAGCTATAACTTCTAAAGCTCCAGAAGTTCTTGTGGGAGGGATCAAGGCAGGAATGCCTTTGTACAATTTAATGAAGATTGTCATAGAAGTCGACAGTGCAGTCCAGACCACATCACAAGCATAACCTGCACCAGGGTACACCTTGTTCATTTTGTCTGCTTATGTCTTCTCTTTGTTAATCAGAGATTTAATCACAGAAGACTTCATGAACCCATCTCAAGGTTCTCTCCCATTTGTGGGCAAGCACACCTGCCAATACAATACACTCAATTTATCGGGAGAATAAATGGGCACAAAACATACTTCAACAGTACTTGAGGGGATGAAACATCAAAGTCTGAAAACTGGGTAAGGAGGACTTTTGAAAGAGAGTTCACTGCTTGTGGGGCAGCTGCATGCTCCACTTTTTCCTCTTGTAAAAATGTTTGCAGCTTTCCTGGTATTTGAACACAGGATGCTAGACCTTATTCAGAGTCAGACCATTGGTTCATCCAGCCCTGTATTATTTAATGCAGCCTTCCATAATCTGGTGCCCCCTGGATGTGCCATGTCAGCTGTAGTGCAGCCTCTTTGCAGGACACCTGGTTGGGAAAGACTGATTTAGAGTCTACTCGCATTCACTCTGGAACTCCAGCCCCTCAGGCAGAAGCTCTTTGAGGTTCTTTCAGTGGGAGATGCCAGAAACTGAACTCAGGACCCTGTCCAAACCAATCAGGTGCTCTGCCACTGATCTCTGGGTCTCCCCAACAATCCTCTACAGGGCTGTGGTCTCTCTCTAGTATTTGTAATCTGGGAGGGCCATTCCTAGGTAGTATTTGTACAAGCTTCCCACTGCTGTCATGTTTGGTGGGATCCTGACAGCTACCTGGCAACAGGAAGTTCCTCAATGAAGCAATCTTCAATCAGTGGACCATCACACCTACAAAAGAGAGAACCAAACGGTCAGCCTGGTAGACGAAAGTGAGAGATTCAGTTCGCAGGAGATGCATCTAGATAATAATCCATGCTGGCTTATTAATCAGCGCTCCATCTGCTGGTCATGTGTCAGCTGATTTCCCTAATTACCCTTGCCGGGCACAGGCTTTTATGAAGTCTGAGCCCAAATGATGTTAAGTCTGCTGGATAGTGGTTGGGTGGCTTGTTTTATTTATTCATTCATTCATTCATTCATTCATTCATTTATTAAAACATTTTTATGCCGCCCCATTCGCCGAAACCTCGGGGCAGCTTACAACAATAAATTAAATAATTATAATCATAAATTAAAAATGTAAACATTAGAATAAAATACAAACATACAATATAAAATAAGCCGCCCTGGCCAGATAAAATTCAATAATATTAACATTTAAAATGCCGCTTAAATAAAAAGGTCTTCGCCTGGTGCCGAAAAACAAATAACCACCCCAGCTACTTACTCTCATCAGGTTTGGACATCACAACCTCCATCTAGCAAGGGTAATTAGAGGAATGCGCTGTCCCGCAATGGCATGCACAAGAGCGATTACCAAACCACCATGGCTTATTAACCACCCTGGGAGCAAAGACAGCCAATGAATCCAACATACCTTCTAGGGAAGCGGCATCTAGCGACCCCGGGTGTGGAAAGCAAGAACACAGCCTAAATTCTGTACTTGTCTCCTCCAACAGCAAATACAAAATTGCAAAATATGGCTCCTCCATCAGCCTCAGATCGAGATTCGGGCTGATGGGCATAATTCCAAGGGTTGGATTGGCTACAAAAGGCACTGCAACAGAATTTGCTCAGTAGACAAAGGTAGGTTCACATGACCCTTAAGCTCAGGGTGGCTGCGTAGCAAACTTGGCTTAAAACAGCCTGGGGTCCCCACCCTTCCCATTTAATTAAGAGTCACTTGGTGATATTATTTGTGTGCAGAGCAACTGAAGGACAAGTGCACTTGATATTTTTTGTGTGCAGAGCGACTGCAGGATAAGTGCACAATAAAACAGAAGCGGCTATTACTCCTGAAGCCCCCCTTCCCCTCTTACCCTTGCGTGCAGTTCTCGTGGCATGGCCAGCACTCCTTGTTCACATCAGGGAACTTGAAGATGAGGCCCTTCTCCCCTAGGATGCCCTCAGGGCATCTCTCCACACAGTGTGGCCCGTCCTTGTAGTTTGCGCATTTTGTGCAGGCATCTGCACCCTGAGGACCAGAAAGAAAGAAATGGCAGGTGCCGGGGAGACCACCGCACCCCACAACACAGGCATCCATGAAAGGGAACAGCCCAGATCCTGCTCCCACGGGCTGCTCCGTGTAGATCAGAGAAGGCACATAGTTTGCCGAAGAGAAAAGCCCTGCTGTCATATTCCCTAGAAGGTTCCTTAGCCGTGGCTGTATCAGATGCTGGAGAGAAAGGCTAAAGAGAAGCTGCCCAGCATTCCCCGTGTTTATCGGAGTGTTGGTGTGGGGGGGGGGTGAGGAGTGCCTAGTGTGACCTGGTGCTGCAGTTCCTGTGCCAGTTTGAAACTTCTGACCATTCCTGTCCAAGTCAGAAACTCTGCTTCGATCAGGGATTCATGAGGGCATTCCTAAGTCTCCAGTGCTCCCTCCACAAAATGGTACCTGGCCCTGCTTTGGGGAAGCTAGTGGCCTCCCAGGGAGTTTTGCCCTGCAACTCCCATCAGCTTTAGCCAGCAGAGCTAACAGTTGGAGATCAAAGCAAGTGGAGGACCACAAGTCATCTCCCCCCTTCCCTGCATGGCCTGATTTCTGCATTTTCCATAACTTGGGAGCGGAGGTGACTTGAGTGCAGTCCAAGTCATTTAGCTACCTGAGCATAAACAGCCTGAAATGTGAGCCCTCATCTCACAGAAGGGCCTCCTCTCTGCATTTTATCTTTTCGGGATCTAGTCCCCTGGCAGGACTTGAAACTAGGAAGGATGGGAACAGCCCCAAGCAGGGGCTTTATGGTAGTGACTTCGAAATGTTAGAAGTTTCTTGAGGAGCTGCAAAAGGCAAACCTCTGTTGGGTTTTAAAAGAGGTTGCATAGTTTCTCTTTTTTTAATACACATTTTGCTTATTTGGTGTTTTTTACATATTCTTGTTCCAGTATGATATTGCATTCATTTATCTGTTCACTGCTCCGAATCCTGGAACAGTGGCATACAAAGATCTACAATAAAATAATGAATCTGAGTGTGCAGTTGGAGTGACACATGAGAAATACGCCACTTCGATCATCTCCTTAGATCAGTCTGAGCCAGCCAGCAGTATACTGGAGTTACTCTGCACCCGTGGCTTAGGAGCTACACTGAGACCACTGCTCTCCACAGGAGTCTTCACATCTGACCAAATCTTCTGACACAGGTCTTGCTTCCAATACTATCACTACATGAGGTGTCATCCCAGAGCAGGGCATTGACTGATGTGTCCACTAGGCTATGAAACATCTGTCCAGGCAGATGTTCTATCTGAGCCTTCAGAAAAGACTATCTCTGCTCCAGAAAGGCCTTTGGCCAAAAGAAAGGTGTTTGCAATTAATATAGGTGTTTTGAGCATCTGAAAAGGCATGCAGTAGTAATATTAAATAAATGCATCACTGAAGCAGATCTTCGTTCATCCCACACCAAGTTATGGCAATGTAGCCATGTTATGGGAATATCGCCATACCGATCCATTGCAGGTTAGGCCTCCCTCGATCTTCTGGCACTGTGGATGGCACGGCAAGCATGTTCCATCTTGTACAAATTCTCGAACCTCCCTACATGGAGCAAAATGGGGAGAGACAAGATGTTACACACCTGGCGCCCAGAGGGAAGGAGGACGCAGAGGGAGGTGGCTGCAGTGGGCTATCCTTACCCCTCATAGAAGCTGCAGGAGCTCACACAGGTTCCTTCACGGCTGTAGTTGAGGCAGGAAACACACTGGTCCGGGCCAGGCCCCCAGCAACCATCCCTGGAGCAAAGAGGATCGCAGACTTTCCCCTCTTGGGCTGATAGAGAAAGAGAGTGCCTGGATCACAAACTGGGAGCAGGAACCCACCAGGAATTGCAGGCTGTGTGGTCCCTAGAAGAGAAACGCTTCACGCCCGTTGTCATCTTCCTGACCCATTCAACAAACTGATAAAAGAGAAAGTCCTCAGTCCGGTGTCCTTTGGAAATGGCAACGGTCCAATTTCCTAGATGTCTGCCCATTATCATACTTATTGTAGATCTCTGCCATTGACAGAGACATGCAGACTGCTCATAAACAGGAGTCATTCAACAGTGGGTGGAAAACAAAACTGGGACTACCGTCCACCTTTATGGGAGACAGTAAGATCTACTGCAGAAGGATTTACTAAAATTCTTTTCAACTATGGCAAGAATGGAAATCACATCAGTCTGGAAATCTACATGCAGACCATCAATTGCAGGCTGGGAAAGGAGATTTGGGAATATTGCCTTACTAGAAAATTTAACCACATTGCTAAGAGTTATGTGCAATAATGTAATTGACAGTATCGTTTACACATGCTGGCAATCCTGGATTTCATTTTTTAGCCAAGCAGAGTGATGTGGGGGTTGAAACTTCCACAATCACACGTAACTATCTGGAAAGACCTAAGCAATAACCTTTAGTTAAATCTAGACTGATAGTCCCACCAGAGGAAGGTTCCTTAGTTTGATTTATCTCTATTGCTCTATCCAGGTTATTTCATGCTTGGTGTCAGGTATGTTTCATGTTGTATTATTTATTGATGATACAATACAACATTTTTAAAGAAGCAAAGCATGGAACACCTGCTCTGAGGCTAGCAACAAGCCTCCTGGGCAGGCAGGGGTATCAGGGACCCTATGACTGAGTTATTCTGATGTCACAGTGGGCAACACTGGCCAAGTTAGCTGAATGCAAAAGAAAATGAGCTGATTTTATTCAATGGGAACAAAGAAGTCCTGCCTGCACACCATGGAATTTTTCAAACATCATGTTGGTGCCAATGGAAAAGAGAGAAGATGCCAGGTGTATGCGGAAGGTGTATGCAGCCAGCTCCACATACCTGGCTGAAACAGGCACACAATATCAACTATACTATACAGGCAGCTCCCAAGCATGCAGGGTCTCTGTGTGTATGCGGTGGCTCAGTGGCAGAAGCGGAAAGGAAGAGGAGCATGCAGACATCTCCTGTGCTGTTTCTGCAAACACCATCAGATTAGGGTTAGCTTTGCCCCTTACTGAGGTGCTTCTGCCCTCCACATAAAGAGAACCTGCTTTTCTCTGTAGGAGGGTAAAGGGAACTCGGGGACACCTTTGTGGGATTCCTCTGTCAGAGGAACTAAGAAACTCCTGTACAGAGAGAACAGTGCAAAAGACAGACAGACAGACAGCATGTGCACACAGTACAGAAATTGCCCACGCTGAAATAACCTCTACAGAAACACTAAGGCTGTTTGCCTTTGTTTATGTGAACAAAACGACACTGGGCACCATGCCTTCCAGTCCCAAAGGCCCCTCTACTGCCCACGCACTCACTGCATCTCCTGGGTGATTTGTTACTCCTGATGTCAAGGTGTGAACGTTGGCGGGAGAGGCTTTCCCATTTGATCGTGTGGTAATAGCAAAGTTGTCGGTTCTCAGTGATGTAGACTTTTCCGGCACTGATCTCCCGAAGTGAGCGGAAGCCCAAGGAGGTTACATTTGAGTTCTTCATGATTAGCAATGAAAAGCCACCACTAAGAAAAGCACAAACATAACATAAATAGAGCCATGCCAGATCAAAAGACTATCTAGACCCACATTCCATCTCCACAGTGGCCAACCAGCTGCTTCAAAGAAGTCCACCCTCTTCTGCTCATGTTGCCCAGCAACTGATACTCTGGGGCAAGCCCTGTCTGATACGGAGTAACATATAGCTTTCACAACTAGTGGCACAGGAAAAACCATGGGTCAGCGGCTGGAAAGAAAAAAAGTTCCTTCAGCCTGCAAATCTTGGGCGCTGTGGGCCTCTCCAACCATACAAACATGGGCAACTGACACATCAGAGTCCACAACTGCCCATCCCCTGAGCAACAGCTCGCAAGTGTTCTGCCTGCAGGGATTCAACCAAGTTCCAACCTCTGTCGCCATTGCTGCGGAGGTATTTCAGAGTGGCTTACCCACAGCTCCACAGCAGAACGTTCTGTTGGCGTCACCAGAAGGACAAAGGAGCCCTAAAGCCTTCTGCCACCCCAAAACAAGGCAAAGCAGGCTGGTCAAGGGAGAAATTCTTACTTATACAGGCTGCGTCCACCAATGGTGATAAGGTTGGAGAAGACACTGAAGTTGTGCATGTGTTTTGGCCATGACTGGATGTTCAGATATCCTGGAAGCAAGAACAGAAGGTCAGTGATTGCTCATACACTTCCTCTTGCCTCATTCACAGAATTTTATGCAGAAGGAACCATGCACACAATGCCATCTTCCATTAGTAATTCTCCTCTGATTCCCTACTGCTTTTTCTACCTTTCTATTTCCACAAAAAAGTTTGTTATAGAGGAAAATCTTGAATAGCTACACAAAAACATCCAATACATAGCGCTGGAAATCCTCTCCCAGGAAGCAACTGCTATGCAACCTCTGAGGCTGAGAACCTGCATAGCAATGTGTAACTGCATACCGTGCTCTTCTTGTGGGGCAGCGTTCTCCACACCGATCTGAGAATGTCTAGGCTATCCCTACTGCTCCCTGGATAAATCTGATCACAGCCCAGTTCCAGTCAGTCCTGGGAAAAATGCAGCACTCAGCAAGGTTCCCCAGATGAGTAAGAATTGGTCTTTCCCCGGCATCTTATCATCTTGTTCCTAAATAATATAATTTGTAGTTGTAATGCTAATGCTAATGATGTATTCTATAATAATAAACTCACACTCCCCTGTCCATTCTTCTTGTTTCTATTTTGCCAACGGCACACTGGGCACCACACCGAACACTCAAGAGCCCTACAATCTACATTAGGCGAGAAACTCGCAGAACACCACATATCTGTCCTCGCTCTCACAAAGAGTTGACTGCATCAAAGCTCACCTGTGATCTCTTGCACAGTCCGGAAGATGTGGAGTTTTTCTGGCTCCAGGGCACTTATGTTGTGCCAAGGGTCACTGTCGGAAGAGAGTGGAAATGGTCAGAACCAACAGCGAACCTCAGACTGGACCGCCTCAGTGAGGGGGATGGTCTGACAACAAAAGCACCTTTACTCCGTGACTTGGCACACTGCATCATCCCTGTGCATGTTACTCTCCTTTTAGCCTCATCAGTCTGCCTTTGGGAAATGGGTGTTTGGCAACCAGCCACATCCCTGGCAGCCTCATCCCTGGTGAAGGTACCACAGCACTCGCTCCAAATTCCAAATAAGACCTTTTTATTTAAACGATATTTTAATTGTTAATCTGTGTTTTATTTTATGGTTTCATATTATCGCCGAGAACTCCAAATTTTTAATATTGTTCTATGCTTTGTTTATTTGTTTTCCTTGTGAGCCGCCCCGAGGCTTCAGCGATGGGTGTGGCATAGAAATGTAATAAATAAATAAAAGTGCACATCAGCCCCCAGACCTCTGAATGATTGGATGATATGAGGCCTGACTTCATTTTATACTATTTATGCAAGCGTGTGTACCTCCAAGGCTACAGTGAGGTTATAAATCAGATTAAAACCCCTCCGAGTATTTGGCTGCCAGAAACTCACACACTGCAATCTAATCCATGTGAGGGGCACCAGTTTAGGAAAGGGCAGTTGAAGGGAACTCCCTGCCTTAGAGGTTAACCTTCAAGGTTTCAGGTGCATCCTCAGCAGGCCCCAAGTTCTGTTTGGCTTCAGATGAGAAGGATCTCATCATCTTCCACCCAATGGAATTCAGGATCCCCTGGGAATCTGTCTAGGATCTGTTCATCAATGGCCAAGCTGCTTGGCAGATCTGCACCACAGCTGAGTGCGGATTCCCCAAGTGAAGCTCATGCTGCGTGGCTTTCGCTGAGCCACTCTGTCCACCTCACAATATCAGGCCCATGTCAAGCTTCCTGCTCCTGTATGCTCACCCTTTCAGACCAGTGATAAGGAAATCCAAGTTGCCCAAAATTTTGGTGCAGTTGATAAAGTGATGAATGTTGCTGGAATCCACTGTCTGATATTTGCTTCCACTTCCAGTCCCTTCACAAGCTGGAGACAAAGCAGGGTCACTGGTGAGTGTTCAGAGAAGTGAACAAGGCCTGTTTAACCCCCACCTGGTACCTCCCTGGAGCTGATGGGAGAGGCAAGGATGTCTTGGCCAAAGCTTCAGAACAGCTACAAGATGGCGGGGGGGGGGCAATTCCCACTTTTCTTTTTGTAATCAGGGTATGCATTCTCAAGGCCTAAACACACATGTCTCATAAAATGTGAAGTGTACCGAGCTTCAAAATCCCAGCATAGCTCAGTGGCAGAGCACATCCTCTGCATGAAGCGGCAAGCCCAGGCATCTTCAGGTAGGGCTGGAGAAAACCTCCTGCCTGGAACCCTGGGGAACCACTGCCAGTCAGTGTCAGCAGTACTGATCTCAGACTCAGTATGGCAAGTTCTTACATGCTTATGTCTCTTAAAGGAACTTGGAAGCAGCAGCCCAACACCTTCCCAGCCAACCCTTCCGAGTTTTTTTTTAAAGAGTTTTGTAGCCACTTGGACATGATGCCCATGTCCTTCATACATAGCATTAAATGGCCCTGGAAGTGTCAAGATGCCCTCCTATTTCACTCTCCATTCTGTCAGGTAGGAGACGCCATGGCTCATACCCATCATGGCAAAGTATTCAGCATCCAGGACATGTTCGGGTACCCTGCCCACGTGGCTGTTCACCCCATTCCTACCTTTAGGGCAGAGTCCCTCACACTGCTGGCAGATCTTCTGGCCATTTTTTTCTACCTCCATTTTGTCATTAGGGCAGGTCCGGACACACGAGCTCCGATCCACCACAAAATTATCTGCAGGGATTAGGATACAAGGTATGAGATAACAGGAAGAATGAAAATATAAGGAACTCCTATCTGGAAACCCTTGGTCTCCCTCTAGACTTGAAAGAGGAGGTCTGGCCTTTACGTTTAATGAGAAAGCTGAGTAATAGCTTTCACTGGGAAATGCCTAACATTCCGACATTGGAATCTTTGTACATGGAAAGGTGGCAAGGGGCCATGGCAGAGAAATAGATATAATGCGTAAAATTAGCAAAAAGCAGCCCCAAAATATCTGATATACATAAAACATGGCCTCATATACAAATTGTATACAAATCAGGAATACATCAAATCTACTAAAGCCCTTCCTCAGACTGCAGGAGGGAGACCAAATACATTTTGATGTTATGAAGACCCATAAAGAAAAGCTCCAAAGAGCCAAAGGATTCTTTCCTGTGGAATAAAAGGGTGGGGGAGGAATGTTAAATGTACTACCCTCTGTCAACAACAAAATTTAAGTATGATGCCTTTTTTTCTCATTTTGCTTGTCCTTGGTTAGCATCCAATGTTAGTCCTACTTACAGTAAACCCACTGAGATGACTGGGACACAACTTAGTTAAGTTCTATTCATTCCAGTGGATCTATTCTAAGTAGGACTAATACTGGATATTACCTTTTGTATTTGAAAACCCGATAAAACATGTGAAACATTTCCTAAAAGAGATGTGTGTGGGGGGTGAGATACTGGTTACTGTCTATAGCTCTGGTGTACTAGGTCACTCGATAAGAGAGCTGTAGTTATTGGGTGGTACAGAAATATAATTGATGACGATCATGATGATGATGGTAGTGGTGATGGAATGAAAATAAGGGATCTCCCAAGAGGACAATCACCTGTTTCCGTATGAGATTCAAAATGGCAGAATCAATGCACAAGGATTATATGGCAAATGGTTACAAAGCTGGCCACAGTGAGCCTTCATGGATCAAAGCAAGAAACACACACTCATCTTGGGAAAAGTTAGACCCAATTTTTTGAAAATGAATGGCCTTGAGCACAGGAATGAGAAAACAAAATGGAGCAAAAAAAAAAAAAAAAGCGGGGGGAGTGCTAGGGAACATCCCCTCAGTGCTCAGAATCATCAGCAAGGGCAACCTCCACCAGGAGGAGAGCATCCCATGTATGAGCACACATGCCATGTACACTGAAGTACAGGAGAGGGCAGGAAGCTGCTTATCTATCCCCTGCCGAGCTTCTGAGCATCCTCTAAGATGACTCACATCCCATTGCGATGAACAAGGCCTCTGGTTCCTGTGTTACTTCCTTATACCTGTCTGAGGGCCAGTTCAAAAACGATGCACCCTGCACATGTTGACCTCTGGAACTAGGTCTGCATGGAGGCTCTTAACCACCCTGCAGGATCCCCACACGCCAGCAAGCACACGCCAGGCAGGTGGTGCTGCTGCGAGGGTGCGCCATGCGGTGGGGCCAGCACAAATGGCTCAGAGGCCTATGGACATGGCAGCCCTCTCCATGGAGCACTTGTGTGCGCAGGCGATCTCGAGTAGCGTCCATTCAAGGGGGACACAGTGGTTGTGCCGGCCCTTTGAAAGGTGACTTTCCACTCCAAGCACCAGCCACCCCCTGATCACTATGACTGCTCCCAGGGACTTACGTGGGCAGTTTTTCACACAGATGCCACCATACTGGTACTTGGTGTCCGGGTTGGGCTCCAGCTGGAAGGTATGCTTGTTGTAAATCAACGGCCGCGGGCAGAGTGTTTCACATGCCCCGCTGTCATTGAAGTGCCGGCAGGCCTGGGGTTGAAGAAAGGGTGTCACGGAAAGATGGAGAGGACTCTGGTCCCCGCTGGGCCAGTCCAAGAGTCCAGACATGAGGTCCTAATCGAAGGCAGCCTCTCCCTATCCTGACAGCCTAGGGAGACACAGCCTAGGGGAGCGCAGTGGGAAACAATGGTCGCTTCAACCACATGCATGTCTTCCTTGGAATACCTTTGAAAATTGGGGTGAAGGAACATGGTGCTCATGGCTCAACACGAGCAGAGGCTGAGGCAAAAGCACAGTAAGAAAAGCAATGAACATTCTGGAAAACCTAGAGATCGGGAGGTAGGATGATAGTATAACTGTTGCAAAGGTGCAACAGCGCTTGGCTGGCTGGTTGAGGGGGCAGAGACGGAGGAGGGGGCACTCAGATGGAGACAGCGTGGCACTCTGTCAGTGCGGGCATTCCTGATGGGAGGACAGCGCTGAGGGACAGTAACACTAAGAGACTTCTGCCAGAAGCATGGTGTCAGACAATGTGAACATGGCTGGATTCCCTACACATAAGCCTATACTCCCCCTGTGGTCCAGCTCCAGGACCATCTGCCATCAACTGCCCTTGGGGAAGAAATTCAGGAGAGAGAGAGAGAGAGAGAGAGAGAGAGAGAGAGAGAGAGAGAGAGAGAGAGAGAGAGAGAGAGAAGCAGCACTCCACCCCCTTAGCTGCACCTGCACTGCCAAAGAGTGATACACCTGCCCTGTGAGAAGTATTTCAGGAGAGACAGACAGACAATGAGAGCTCGGGCTGAACTCCCCACCCACCGCCCCATCAACAGATCTGGGGCAGGGGATTCCCTGAGAGGGAGGACCAATGAAGAAGATGACACCAGGGCCCCATGCTGCCCCAGCCAGCCCCTCCCTACCCCAGGGGGCACCTTCCACCAACTGCCTGGTGCAAAGTATCCTGATGCATTTTCATAATTAGTTACTCTCATTTGCTGTGGTTTTGTTATTTTTCTGCTACTGATAAGCCACCTTGGCAGGATTTCTCACCTGAAAGGCAGCAAATAAATAACTGCAAATCTAGAAATATAGAAAGCAGAAATATAGAAAGCAGAAATTCCCCCTCTGCTACCACTACCATCCCCTCATCTGCTCAACTTCCTCCTTGACACAACCCAGGTGTACAAACGCTGCTCACGGAAAGCAGGAAGCAGCTGCCTGCTTACTTACAAAGCAGTCAGTCTTGAGGGAGCCGGTGCAGCCACCGGCGCACTCGTCGTGGCAGCACTCGTTGGGGTTGGGCCCAAAGCAGCGGCCATTGCACTGAGGGGCACAGATGGACTTGGTAACTGCAGCAGAGGGAGAAAAGGGGTTGGAGCGGAGCAGTCAGTGCTGCGGTCTCTGTGCCACTCGAACGCTCAGCTCCTCCCTTCCTCCCCCAGGCCTGCCCTCAGGATCCTGGATGCAGAACATCACCTTGAACAGGTTGTCCCTTAACGTAAGACCTTTTCACATGATCATGAAGAGTGTAAACCAGGTGCATTTCATTCTTGGCATGATTCAATAAGCAACACTTTTTAAAAAATCAACTTAAAGATTCCTGAAACAGTAGGGATGGTGCTTGTGGGCACACAAGGGTAGCCTTCACTGGGAAAATGCAGTGAGGATATTTAAAATAAAAGATAAATCCAGAAGTTCAGAAATGCTGTAGGCCCACGAAGTAGTATCTTCCCTATTTTCACTATTAAAGGCAGAGAAAATAGCACTACTGCCCTTGAATCTCACTCAACTACATTCACAAAATTACCATTGCAATGGATGCATGAGCTGGGAAATGCATCACAGTTCCCCAGGTATAAAAAAGCACATTTCCAGTGTTGGGAGAATGAAGCATTTCCACAATACAAGCAGAAACATACAGAAGGAACCTGTCAGGACTGAGCATCAGTGACTAAGCAGCAACTGTGTGCTTAGTCTGCAGTCCTATCTGGGTGTAAAGCCCAGCAAACACAATCTGCAGACACGTCACAGTTTAACGTGTTTGCGTATTTGTAATTAAGAAAGTTCAGCAGGAGGGAGAGGTTCTCCCGCTGCCCCTTGCATGTAACTTCCATTGTGTGTGGCATGAGCACAGATGGATTACAATCAGCACAAGTGATTCTGAGCGATTCACTGAGTCATTAATGTGGACCAAAATGCTGGGATCTTGCAGACATTCCATTCTGGTTTGGGGAAAATCCTTCAGCATTTGCTAATCGGGATCAAGCGGGCTTATAGTCAGAGTCAAATCAACATGGGGACCTGACTTGCACAATCATGTTCAGCCACAGCAGCTTCATTAAACCAACAAATCCCTTACAACAATAAAATAGTGCATGGGCTTTGGGTGGCTTACGAACCATACCAACCACTCACCCGCATCAGGTTCAGATGGTGCAACAGCCTACCCATGGGGGTTGGACTATAGAGCAAGTGCCCACGTGCCACAAACGGCAGTGACCGGTTTAAGTCACCATGGCTGAAAACGATTGTGTGGATCCACCCAAAGCCTTGTCTCCATTTCTGTCCTCACTGGAGCATCATCTGCCCTGTCTTCCACCTTACCTGAGTTGTCGCTAGATGCAGCTACATATCACTTGCTCTAAGTATACAGGGAGATCCAGTGAAATGGGCTTTGCCTCTCCCTTTCAAACTCAGAACTGGAGCCGACTGCCACACGAGCAGTCTAAGTTGGCCGTTTCTTAAGAGCGCCTGAGAAGAGCCGAGTCCCAGCCTCTCACCCAAGGTCCAGGGGCACAGGGCAATAGGGCTGCCAAGGATATGGCGCTGGCACTGGCACTTTGTTATCAGGAGGGACACTGACCTCGTCTGCCACCCCTCTGCAATCTTCCTTATTCCCTCTGAGTTTGGCTGCTTCTCACAGTAGCTGAGGGAAATGACTTTTCATAGCAACAACATATTGCTCTTTGTTGTAATGCAAAATATGTCAGGGCGGCTTGGTCAGGAATGGGCAATTCAGATCCATAAACTTTACAAATTTTGGACAGCTTTCATTCACAGGGTCACCATAGGAGGACTTGATGGGCACCACAGACCAACAACAATTTTACAAAAGATCTGCTCTTGGTAGAGATGAATAAAGATGCTAGAAGTGGTTGGTTGATTTTTCAAGGAGGTGCCCGTATGTTTGGACTCTCCTTGGGGTATGGGTAGCGGGACAATCATGTGGAGCTCCTCTGCTTCAAAATTTAGCCATTACACCACTGCCATGCCTGGATTAAGGCTCTTGTTATGTGCAGCCTCTGATTTATGGCTACCCTATGAATGAAAGCCCTCCTAAAGTCCTGCCTGTGACAGCCCTGCTCAGCTCCTGTAAATCCCAGAGTGTGCCTCCCTTGAGGGAGTCACTCCATCTCCTATTTGGCCTTCCTTTTCTTCTTCTGCCTTTAACTTCCCCCAGTGTGACTGTCCTCCAGTGAGCCTTGCCTTCTCATGACACCTCCATTTTGTCATTTTTGTTTCCAGGGCAAGTCATGGCTTGGGATTAGGGCTATAGGCAGCACAATGCTTACGTTTTTGACAGTCATTGGGACCAGGTCCCCAGCAGCGTCCATTGCAATTCACATGGCATGGAGAACCTGCTCAGGGAGGGAAAAATGGACAGCATCAGCCAGTTAAACCAGAGATAATGACTGTGGTGGGTCAAGGCAAGTTTACAATGCATGAGGAATATGGCTCCCCATTCCATGTGATCTTAACTTCTTGCAATCTATTTCATCACTTTAAGATGATCATATGTGGGTCAGTCTGAGCCCATCTGATCTATTTGAACTTTTTCTCTTCTTAAAAAAATTAAATCTGAGTTAGCTTATTCTTTAATTATGTCATTCCAACAAAATTATCAGTTAACTTCCATATTAACATCCTTTCATAAATATAAATATTAACAAGCATGATTAAATCTGCTAGTCCAATAGCTCCTAATAACAAATAATGTTGAATTGAATTCTGAACTTTTTCCTTCCAGTCTAAAAGTTTCAAAAATCAATTTTGCCATATAGGAAGTACTTACTGTCTTTTTCTGATTGTAATCATATTAGTTAATTTCATCATACAGGTCATATCCCAGGCCCTCATACACCAATCATCAATTGTTGACCCAGCTCAATTTTGCCCAGGGAAACCTTTGGTCTATCGCTGCCTGAGACTCATGGGGTTCTTCAGTAGGCTGCAGCAAGTGCAAGTCACTGTCTCTCAGGCAAGCCTACTTCACAGGACCGTTGTGAAATAAATTGGGATGGTCTTGTGTGCACTACAGCTGAGACCAAGGGCATATGCCGAAGGCACACGTTACAGCCACCTTGCTGAAACTAAGCTGGTCTAGGCCTGGTCAAGACCTGCATCGAAAACTCCTAGAAACCCCGTGGGGGTTCTATGATGGGAGGAAGTTAAGATATAAATGAAGCAGAGAGAAGGAAAGGAAATGCTGCATGTAATCTGGCAGCTGCCTCTGAAGAATGACAGAACAGATTCCAAAGCAGAGATTCCTGAATAGGGCATAATTCTTGGTAGGGCATAATAAAAAGGAGAAAACAATAGGGACATGTATAGCGCGATGTCATCCTTCCATGTCCAGAGAGGGACAGTGTTGCAAACAAACCCTATGTCCAAACCTTAAGAGCCTACATCTCCTGGGCAGGTCGCGGCTTTTAAAGCTTCCTTTGCAGATGCACAAGGTTTGAGAGGCCAGTCCCCCCAAAATACAAGCAGGGATTCCCTCCTGCCTTCCTATTAGTTGATACTCACATTTCTTCCCATTGTCATGGATCAATGCTTGGGATCGTGGATCTCGAATGATGTCTCCCCAGTCGATCGTGTCCATATAACACAGCCCCACATTCTTCCCAATATAGACGCCCCCTGACAGGATTTCTGAAAGACAAAGGGACAGCATTCCCACTGACACTTAAGCCCCTTTCAGACATTAAAGAGACACATAACAAGCAGAAATGGGACTGCACCTACTCAATCCCCATGTATTGACAATAAGGTCTCAAAGGAGCCCCTGTGGGCAGAACTGTTCACGGGACCCTCTTTTACTGTTGAGAATGTGGAGCCTTCAGCCCATGTGGGTCTCCTAGCGGGGAGAGGTTCTCCATTCAGCCTGGCCTCCAAGCCCTGTCTCATTCATTCATTCATTCATTCATTCATTTATATTTAAAAATTGTCCATGCTGTCCATTACTGAAAAAGTCTCCGGAGGGCTTACAAGGAAGAAAAACCAAGAACAAAACCGTAACACCAACAACAGCATCCAACCTCTTGGATGAATCCCAGCTGCTATGCTTGCTCTCACATCAGAGATAACAGAAGGATGGTGGTGGGCAGTGGGGGACCTGACCAGCTCTGGGAGGAGGGCCTGCCCACCCCAGTGCTGGCTAAGCGGCTTCACACAGCATCACCACGGGGACAGTGCGTCCTGCACAGAGCCAAGCCCGTGGCTGGCACTGGAAGGAATGGCTGCTCCTCCAAGCGCTGGCCAAGTCCTTCACATGGCAACCCCTGAGGATGACGCACAACACATAAAGCCAGTGCTAGGGGAGCGGCCACTCTCCCAGGTAGCAACCAAATGGTTCTGCACGTCATATGCTGCTACGCAGAGCAAGGGACTCGGCTCGCATCTGAAGAGCGGCTGCTCTGCCTGCTCCCTTTCTCCAGCAGAGAACAGGGCAAAAGGGCTGATGGGGAGAGATGATACCATCCAGGCCACGGGAAGCCTGGGGAGGCAATCTGCCCACCCCCCCACCCCCCGCCATTAGCATTTGCATCCTGCTCTGTGTGACTGGCATCCCTGCTGATCTTCAGGGTCTCTGACTGCACAGAAAAATGCCATGTACCCGCCAGGCTCTTTGCAGATTTCAGTATAAAAACTGAGATATCAGGCATGTGCGCTCCCTCAGCGATGTGCAACATACACCACGCAAAAGGGGTTGAGGCAAGCTCTCAGAGAGAAAGCCTGTGTGAAATCTCTCCAGTTTTACGGCAGCGCACATTCTCTCGTCTGTCCCATGCCAACTCCAAAACACCATCATTGCCCTTTGGCTTCCTGTCTCACACTCTTTTCTGTACCTTTTCACAGAATGTCTTCATGCTTTTTCTCAATCGGCTTCTCCAGGGAAGGGGGGCATGTGCACCTACTCAATCCCCATGTATTGACAATAAGGTCTCAAAGGAGCACCCCAACATCCAGAAGCCAGCCACCCGACGAAGAGCATTTCTGCGGAACTTGAGGATCTTTGCCAGCAGAGGGCTTGTTCTCAGGTATTCATGGCCTGGAGCCAGGATCTATCTGTGTGTGCTTTGACCCTCAGCAGCTTTTCAAGCACAGAAGAAAACTGGCCTCCTACGAGCGGCTGGCAGTTGGAAGGTTCTGGCCTGACCAACTATATATACCAATTTATTTATTTGTCTGCTCCTTTATTACCCTTACATTCATTGGCTTGATCAGACCAATGTTTCTCTCATTCCTGATTCTGACCTCAGTTGACTTTTGCTTGCTTTCCTCTGATGGCACTGCAGATCCTCTGGTTTGTGTGCCCGGGTTAGGCATACAGAGGTCTAATCCTATCACAACTATTGAGGGGCTTACATCTGACACAGCATTTCCCAAATCCTTGTAGCATCTCCAGCCTTGCTGCTCCACTGCCACCAGGCCCTCCCCTCCTGCTGCTTGTCAAAGCCACAATGTTCTCCACTGCTCTTGCAATCTACACTATTACGATATGACAAGCTCTTTTCTAGAAGGAGCACATCTGCATTCTAGTATATGGCTTAGTATACCATTAGTGGCTTGAAAATACATTCTAAGTACTCTTAGCAGCCATGACATGCCAAAGGCACTTTTCTGCAACAGGGGATGTTGCCCAGGTAAGTATAAAAACCCATCATGTCCCCTTAGCCAAGGGTTGTTCTGTCAGCCAGCCGAAAGATCGAGTGATGGGAAAGCTGATAGACAGGTGTTGTCTCTCGGTGCCACAGTGGCTCAACAACATCAGCCAAACAGGTTGGTTGGGGCAGGGTCTGACAACGTGCAGGGACCTGCTCCCGGTTGTCTGCCTTCTTCAACACTGCTGATGTGATGCCCCAGCATTCTCATTTCACATTCAGGGCTGCCACCTCCAGTCATTCAGGAAGACTTCAAACTCAGCCAACCGGCTGTGCTAAGTGGAAGCAGATCAGGGCTGAATGCTAAGCTAAGTCAGTCTTGGCCAAACCCCTGTGTTCTCTAATCCATAACCACACGTGCATCCTCTGTCAGAATGCAGACCTAACATGAATCAGCAGACATAGCACGCCATGCAGGGATTCAGGGTGGAAAGAGTTTGGGTTGGACCTTGGATTCAGATCCCCACTCTAGCCACAAACTCACTGGCCCTCAAAGGACCTTCAGCCTGCATACATATACCCACCAATTTGCTAATCAACCGTCTGCTTTGAGAGGGTTCATCACCCGTTCAGGTAAAGGACTTGACTCCTGTGCAAAGAACTGATCAGCATCAAGGCTGATCACCCTGAACAGCTAGAGCAGGGATGTGCAGAAAGTAGCACTCCAGATCTTTTGAACACAGCTCAGCATTTCTCACCACTGGCCATGCTAGCAGGGGCTTCTGGGAGATGAAGCCCAAAGCATTTGGAGATTTACCTTTTGCCCATCCCTCTACTAAGTAACACATCACATACCCAATCTAGCAGAAATCTTCTTCTGCACAGCCCTTGGTTCTGGGTGCCAATATTTGATATCTTGCACAGTACTAGTAGGAGCTGATGCAACATGGAGAACCATAAACGGAAGAACTGTTGCCATATAAATCACCCTTCCTGTACTGGGCCACTCGATGAAAGACATGCAAGGACATGGTGGACATATTTCCCTTTTCAACAGTGAAGTGTTTACAAGGAAACCTATAGAGATAAACAGTGCGTGCTGTATAAAATGTAAATTGCCCCAATTAAGACTTTGTCGGCAATAGCCTGTCCATGCTTTGAGATCACCTACAGAGGGCCATCAAGCTTGCACACTTTTGAGGGCAGTTAGTGGAACAGAAAACAAACAAGGACCTATTTTGCAGTGCTTCAGACCCCTGGAAGGAGTTGCTACCAGGTTCTGTAAGGCCCCATTACTGCAAATGTTTAAGAAGTACCTGAAGGTTTACATGCTTTCTCTGGATTTTCCTGATTATGTTTTCTTGTGCTCTTCCAGGTATTTGGCTACAACTGAGTTTTAGATTTTCTAGATGTTTTATTGCTGGTGTTTGTTGATCTTATGAATTTTTGCTTTTTATCATTATATGGGTTTTTACCATGTGGGCCTTTATTATGTAAGGCAGTCCAGAAATATTTCAATTACATAAATAAAATCTGTAGCATCATCACTATCATATACAACCAACTTTGCCTGAGACTTCTTAGGACTCATTCCCAAAGTGGCACAGGAAATCAAGCCTAGTGAGAGTACAATGGGTCAAAACACAAGCACTGTATTGTGACAATGGATTCTGGAAAGTGACTGAGATTTAGGCTGAAGGAATCCTCCTGAAATATCTTTCAGTGACATGGTTTACACTGCTTAAAACAGGTTTGTAGTTTGGTTTGTCTGACAAGCCAATGAAAAATACAAAAAGGTTTTAGTGGTGTCAGAAGCGTGTGACTTTTCCAGGCACTGAAAATGCTTTGCAACTCACTCAATCTCTTGGCCTGCTCAGCATCTCTACAAACTTCTGGAACCGACTGGACAGCATAATCTATACAGCCAGGCTCCCAGTGTCATGCTTGAGGCATCCTGGGTGCAAAGCTGCATGACTTTTCTAGAATTCCCGCCATTACGATTAGGCACTGCAAGTAATGTCACTACAGCTTTGCATCCCTGGGCAGCCATTCATGGCACCGGCATCATATGCTGTTTTTCAAGGGATATGCATGAGCACACCTGAGGGTGCTGTTCCAAATACCGAGCAAGACAAACAGCCATAGTTGAAAAATTCCCTTCCTGTTCTACCTATCCCCAAATGCAGCCCCTTCTTGGGTATAGCAAAATAGTCCTAGCCAACTTTCACAATTTCTGAAATGTTGCCTTAAGTAAGAAGTGGGATGAGCTGTGACCATTGTAGCTCACACTCAATTTCCCTAAAAGTCCTGCTTCCTCTAGTCCACAACTGTGTGGGGGGCCCTGGTCACACCATTTGCTTGGCTAATTCCATTATCTCCACTGTAACTGAAGTTGACACTGAGAAGGGACTCCACCCTAAGCTGTGCATAAGTCTCTAACCTGTTGTACAACTTCAGGTGTGGCCAAAGTAGTAAAGGGCAGAGTAGTATATTGGCCTATAAACCTGTTTCTTGGGACTGATAAAAGTGGCAGTTATGCTAATCCTGAGAGCTTATTGGTTAAGTGGATCCATAAATGCTTTCAGGTGATTGGACTTTCATCTACAAATCTCCAGATCAGAGGGCAAGGATGTTCTCTCTGATAAATCTGAAGTTTTGAGGTTTGGCAATGGAAGAGGCTGTGCTGGAGGCTGCCAGTTAGAAACTTTAGCCTGGTGGCTGATGGGAGACAAACAAGGATGTTTTCTGTCCTCATTGTTTTATTAGGGCTGTACCAGAGACTGGCCTCACTCACTACCTTCTCTCTGAGACACTCTGAACTGTGTAGCTGGGTAATGGCATATAAAGAGAGCTGGTCACATTCTCCTCTGAAAACATAGAAACTTATTTTTTCCCAGGTTCTATGAAATCTGCAGGGAGGAGAACATGAGTTTACATTGGGCATAATGTAAAAGGTACTGAAGACCCCAGCTCCCAACTAAACAAAATCCTCCTTAGCTCCCTTGTAGAAAGCCAAAAATGGAAGCTCAGATTCTCATAGGGTTGCTATGTTTGCTCTCAAAATTCTTGTCACTTTAATGTGTGGGCTCCCATTCAGGCATTCTGTATGTGTGTGGATAAAGTAAACATGTGACAAGAAAGAGTACGCCAGCCCTCCCCTTCTCCCTTGTTGGCTTCTGCATGCGGAGGGTGAGATCTGGAAAGGGCAGCCTTCTGTATTTGTGGAGACTCTCCATGCAAACCAAAATGCTGAAAAGTTCACATTCCGGTTTTTATAGAGAGCCTCTGCAGATACAAGGGGCCCTCCTCTTCATTCTTTTGCCTTCATGGGTTAAGGGCAGCAAACATGATGACGGGGAGGGGAGGGGAGGGGTGGGGCTGGAGGGCTCCTTCTCTTGAATTTGCTTCATCCAAACACAGAAGGCCTGAATGGGGCTTGGGCTTGTGATGGCCTTTCTCTTCTGATTAAAATCAACTTTGAAGGGCACCTTTCTTTCTTTTTGCTTTTGAAACACGGCTTCACCTGACCCTACTTCACCTAGTAACTGGCCAGAAGGATGAAATCCCAGCCACTAAAGGAACCTTAGATTCAGGATGGCGCAGCAACTACTTCTAACTACTGCTAGAAGCCAAATCCAAAGTTCCAAGGGAATGCAGCCAGTTAGATTCTCTGCCTAAAGGATTAGTCCCGTCTGGCAGCTCTATAGGATCAAGCTATTGTTCAGTGTAGAGATGAACTATTAAGGATCTGGTTTGATCAGTGGCCAATGGCTGAATGTTGCTATCGAGGGATGGAAAAAGCCTTGGATTGTGTGAAATTTTATGCACACCATCTCAAATCCCTAGACTCTTTCAGTACAGCTGAAGCAGATTACTAATACATTTAATATTTGCTTTAAAAATAGACACTTTAAAATTCTTCCTCCATGTCATAGTACTGATATAAACTCTATGGGTCTAATTACACCTCTTTTCATCCTCCTGTTCTCCTTCCCTACAAACTCTGACAGTGAGAAGGGCCAGCAACAGATGCCGAGCCAAGTACCCAAAAGACACGTCAAGGCAAGTCTGCACTGCACCGTTGTTACAGCTTCCTTAGCAAACTCTATGAACTCTAGGAGAAGGTGCTGAATATTCTCTGATAGGAAGCTATACTCATTGCAACATCACAGTACTGAGAATCATCCGAGGGAGGCACTATCCATAATATTTTAACTGCTGCACACATATTGTGTATTTAAGCCCTTTCTGACAACTAGTATTAAGGTTAATCGTGGGAGGGGGGTTCTTTCATAATCCTAAATTACTGCACAGGTTACTATAATGAAAGAACCATTTGCAAAGTTCTATTTCTTGTACTCTTTTCATCAATGCAATATTGTCTTGAAAATATTCTTTTTATGTCTTTTTCACATTTTTATTCCACTCTTCAGAGCAGCGGTCTTGTGATTATTCTATTTTATCATCACAATTGAGTTAAATAGTTGACTGAGAAATACTGATCAGCCAAAAGTCACTGAGCAAACGTCACAGCTGAGCAGGAATGCAAACCTTGTTTATTGAGATATGTTCAGTGCTAACCACTACTCTTCACTCATTTCTCCCTAGTAAAACCCTAACACTGATTCCAGTACAAGGCAGGGCCCTTACTGAATAATAAGGCTTGCCCACTTAACCAGTAAATTTCTGCTCCCAGATGTGTTGATGATGGTAATGCTGGTTTACAATGATGGGAATTATAGTCCACCACACCTGGAGGGCATCAGGTTTTGGAAAGATGAAGGGAATCACGTTGCCACATATATGAGGATCTTTGTGGCTTTGCCTGCATAATTCACTGCCACTTGTGAGAATCAACAATCACTCTATTCCTGACAGAATTTATTCATTGCTTGTTTCTGGCCACATTCTCTCCCTTTATTGAAGTACTGAAGACCCCGGCCGTGCCTTTGGTAAGCCAAAGTATATTTTCCCAGTGGCTCTGTCCATTCCAAAATAATAATGATGTGGTCTAAATGAATAACAGTGCAGTCTTGTGGAGGTTTAGACAGAAAAAAGGCCTGGCTGGAGAATGCTGGGAGCTGTGGGACCTTTTTCTGTCTAAACATGCCCGGGATTGCACCCTAAGAGGCTCCCCTCCACTTCTTTTCTCATAATACTAGGAGTCAGGGCCATCCAATGAAACTGACCAGCAAAAAATTCAAGACAGGCAACATTAAGGACTTTGTCACATAACACATAAATTTTGGAATATATTGCCACAAGATGCAGCAATGGCTACTACCTTGGATGTCTTGAAAAGGGAGTTAGGTAAATCCATGGCGGGCAATGGTGACAATGACTATTAGTCAGGGTGGTCCTGCAGTCCAAAAGTAGCGTTCCTCTTGCCTACAAGCTGCTGGGGGGCATGGGAAGCATGATAATGGACTAGATGGACCTTTGATTTGATGAAGCAGGACTAATATAATACCATTAGCAGAAGCTAATATCTTACATTATTAGCTAGTAATTTTTGTTGTTGTTAGTCACGAAGTCGTGTCCGACCCATCACGACCCCATGGACAACATTCCTCCAGGCCTTCCTGTCCTCCACCATCCCCCGGAGTCCACTTAAGCTAGTAATTATTATTAGGTGACAATTCTTAACAAAGTCAGTGTCAGGAGAATGCATGTTAGATTCTAATGCATTTGTGATGGTCAAGCCATGAACTCTGTTGGACTCTTCAGCTGTGGAAAAGGAGGTAGAGCAATAAGCTTGGTACACAGACTGAGTACTTTCTATCATATGTGGTGGACTTGTGATAACGCGAAAAGTATTGGATTAAAATACATAAATGGCTTGAGGAAATGTTACAAAAACCTTTAGCTTTTAAACCTGAAGTCTTCTTATTAGGCATTATGCCTGTTGATATTAGTAAACAAGAAATGTACTTGATTTTACATGTAATTACTGCAGCAAGGATTGCATTTGCCCAACACTGGAAAAGTGAAGAACCACCCACCAATGAACTGATCTTAAAAAAGATCTAGGACTGTGCAGAAATGGATAGATTGACTTTATCACTGAAGGAGAAAGAAGATACTGACTTCTATCAAACTTGGGACTCTTTTTATTACTGGCTAGAGAAACAGGACTGCGTATAGATTTAAATATTTTTTTAAGTTATCATAAATGGAAAAAAATGTGGGGGCTGACCCAGCAGGCCTGATGTTTTTGTTGATTGATGTTGTTTTTAGGGGTTTTTTTTGTTTTTAGGATCATAATTTTGAATAAAACTTTTTATAAAAAAAAAGGTTAGTGCACAGATGTGAGCACTAGATCAATTATCTCTTTGGAACAAAACAGAACACAACACTAAGTTTAGATCATGGGATTGTGTTATTCAAAAGAACAAGGTCCCCAAAAGCTAAATATCCTGCTAGGGCTGCTGGTGTGAGATCTCAACACTGGAATGTGTTTTCTTTCGCAAGGCAACAATTGCTGATGTCATCTTATTTATTCATTGAGCAATCATGCTCCACCCAGTAACAGCCCCAGTGCCCCACGTATGGCAGCTCCCTGCCCTCACGTCCCAGTCTTGGAGCAGTCCAGGGGGGTAAACATATAAGAGCAGCACAGTGGCCCATGCAGAACCATACGCTATTTCCCATCATCTCTGGAGCTGAACAACTAAGAAGCTTATAAAAGGAGATGAAAGTATTCAGTGTCCTGTCATCCACTCTCAGCTTCAGAAATCTACAATAGGAAGGACAACCTGAATTTGGGGAGCAGGGGTGCCACCCAACTGTTGAACTCAAATCAAGAGAGTCAGACTGTAGCTAGTGAGCGGTGAGGGAAGGACACTCGCCACATTGTCAAAGGTACTCTTTTATTATTACTTCAAAATGATCCAAGCCTAAAGGAAATAACTAGAATATTGGTGCCTGTATGTGGATTTTTTTTACTGCCCTGTGTAAGTGTATGCTTACAAATCACAAGCAACTTTTGCTTTCCAGTGTGTATGCACACATGAAAACCATCGCAACAAAATTTACAGGATGTTCAACCCTGCCTCAAAGTCATACTCTCAGTGCTGAAGATCTTTCTCTTTAGAACCCAGATGAGTTAGGGGGCTCATTATGGTTAATCAGGTAAACAAGGCAACCTGCCCAAGCTCAAGTACATCTCCTTTAATATGACTTTGGTTGCCCAAGGCTGAACTCTGACACTGAAAACAGTTGCTAAACCTGAGCCTGAGGGAGACATTTGTGAATCAACCATGTGGGCAAAGAGATGACCAAGTCACCAACAGTAGACAGAAGTGGGAGGATGAGTCCAGGTAGCTTTCAGGGAACAACGGAGAACCACAATCACATTCCCAAATGCTTAAGACATGCCCTGGCTACATTCAGAGTACTGGCAAGCAAAGTGCCCTGAGCAGATTCATCCTTTCTAGCCCAAGAGCCTTTTTGATTTGATTCATTTAATGCCTAAAGTTGCTAACTGCTCTCCGCTACAGCTGATTTATGTTGATAAGGAAGCAATACGTAGCACTAGAGAAGGGGAGTTGACCCTTTTTTCAGCGTGAGATCAAAATTCAGTTTTGAAGAAGCTCTTGGGGGCATCATGCCAGTGGCGGATGGGACTGGAGGCCAAAGATGGTGGGGCAAAAGGGATCAGGGCAAAAATACCAGTCTATTTGAGCTTAAAGCTCTTACTACTAATAGGAGAAGCATTGCACCCTTTTAGACTAGGGGAATAACTGCAAAACTCAGGAAACCACAAGTAAGGAGGATTGCTGCAGGCCTGGGGTCCAGCGCCCCCGCACTCCAGTAATACAGGCTGTTTAGCATAAGATCTACCATCCACTCACCTGTGAGTTGGTGGAAGCCCACCGAGCGTAAGGCATGCGTGACATTTTGTTCGTAGTTGAGCATGATGAAGAGGGCATATTTGTCTTCATAGTACTGGGTCCCTCGTACTATGCGTAGGTTCTGCAGTGGCAAGTGTGTGAAGACATTCATGGCAATCAAAACATAGCCGGTTACTTCTCGAATAGTCTGGAAAAAATCAGGAAAACCATAAGAGGCTGTTAAAACATCCACCACAGTCATTTTCAAATTGTATGCCTAGTAATTCCATTATCAGAACGTGTTACCATTCAGAACAAGCTACATCTTGGGGTTCCAGGGCTTGATAGGAAAGGAAAACACATGTTTCTTCCTTATCATTGGCTTTGTTCAGCATCTTCGTCATTTGATGGCAAATTGAAAATAAACTATTTGTAATGCCAGTGATTGAAAGTAGGGACCAAACTATTCCACAAATCGTTCTCGGATGCTCCAGCAAGGAACAGGAACCTAGAGCTGAGCATCCATTTTCTATGCCTCAATGTGACTGCAGCAGACCCATGTCGCCAAACAAGCCTCACTGCCACGAGGCAGGAAAGTGGTGGGGCTAGTGATTTCTAGTGCCATCTTGACTAGCAGGTACGGAACGTCCACTGCCGCCAGCAGCCACTTTTCTCTAAGGCAGCTCCGCCTGGCAGTGAGCACAGCTGGGAGAAAGGGCCAGGAAGAGGTCAGAGGAAGACTTTTGCCCACTTGCAACCTGCTGCACCTGGCACTTTAATGCTGTTTGGAGGCAGCTCACGCTTGGAGACACCCGTCTGTCTCCATCAGGTGTGTGCCAGCCCTAAAAGTTGCCCAACTCAAGTGGATGCCATTGTTGCACCTTCCCAGTCTCTTGTTTGCATCATTTATAAAATTTATAGCAGCAACTGTATTTCATTATCTCTGTCTCTCTTGTTGGATCAGACGCTGCTCATTCTTGTGGCTTTGCAATGAGACATCTGTTACAATCTGATAAGTATACATATCTTCCATATCTGTGTTTAAGGCTCTGAAGCTGAAAAAATTCCTAAGTTTTGCTCCCTTTGGGGCTGAGAAAAAAAATTATTAAATTCCAATCTACACCTACCAAACTCATGCTTATAAAAGAGTTTGGCCTTCATGATCCTATCTTTGAGAATAATCATATGTCACTGAGATGAATTTCTTCCAAGAAGTCTTCTGCAGCTAGACTAATGAATTACGAAGGTCAAAGCAGTGCTTTTCTAATGTTCCTGTTAGCTTAAGGGCCAAAGTAGATGAGTTTCAGTGTGTTAAATACATGCTTACCCATTTACCTACAAGGAGAGGTTCTACTTTTTACATCAAAATCAATGCAATGCACATTTAATCTGACCTTAAGTAGGGTGAGTAACCTGTGGCTCACCAGATGTTTTGCCTGGATTTCTCATCAGCCCTCACCATGGGCTATACTGGCTGGTGTTGGGAGTGAGATAGATGGCTACTTTGGGCACACATTCTCAAGGGCTGCTGGCTGGTCTCCAGAAGAAGAAAAAGAAGCAGAAGAGGTGCAGGAGGGGCCTTGGAATGTGAGCCATTTCCAGACACTGAGATGAGAGAAATGGAGATGCTTATCTCAAGCCCAGACTCCCCAGGTGAGCAGGCAGTCGCTGGGAATAACCAAGATGTACAGCTGGCGGGAGGGGACTCAGAGCAGGGGAGTTTCTCAGAGACAGATGAGGCATGTACAGCTCTTGACCCCATAATGCATCATCAGCAGAAAAAGGTGGCCCAATTAAGGATCGACAGGCAGAGACAAGGCATGCTCATAAGGAGAGCTCCTGGAGGTTAATACTAGATTGGACTCAACAAACCACTCCGTGCATGCTCAGAGATTCATTCTGAGTGTTTGTGCATCTGGCCAATAAGGAAGTATTACAAGAAAGATCTGCGGCTTTGAATGTGCGAAGGGAGGAATCCTAGCTCACAACAGCTAGGACTCACAGGAGCTGTAGGCTATAGTGGGCCACCCCTGCTCCAAGTCAAACAGGGCTGCCTTACCCGGGGATATGAGAATTACCACAGTGGGACTTACTAACAGTGGTCAGATATTCGGCCTAACTAAAGCCACTAGCAAAACACCATGGAGAAATTCACCAATGTGGCATGTGAACAGTTAGCTAACACATGTTAAGGTCCAGCATTTGCTAGTCAGATATGCAAAATCTCTGAACATAGGAGCCTCACATCTGAATATCAGACCCTGAAACTACAAACATAACAACTAATTGTGGACATCCTAGCATCATGAGTTCTGAAAGTTCCTTACACACCAAAATCATGTGCTGGCTACCACAGGAAAATCATTTCAGATAAGATGTTCCTAATTTTTCTGTTATCTGGATGACAAAACATACAACCTCCTGTGATACCGTTTCTATTAGAGAACTGTTGCTTTGTGCAAATACCTCCACCATACAGAGTTGTTACTCACCATACAAAGTATACACCTCTCTCTCAAAACGGTGGTGTCCCTCAAAGAAAAAGGTGTGCATTATGGAAGAGTGAATAGCAAAGAGAGGGGCCACCTGACATGAGAAAACACAGACTTTTCTGGAAGCTGGAATTCAGTTCAGCTAACAAGAAGCTACATGGCACGTGCCTACTGAGGAGAGTCCGCTGATGTCTGCTAACCGAGTCCCATGCCGTGTCCAACTTGACCAATGCAAGGGCACGTGTGTGTGCGTGCACACACGCCAACTGTGTTCGTGTAGGCTCTGTACGCACAATCCCGGAGCCCTGGATTAGCAGACTCTTGGGTCACACATACCATGTGTGGACACGAAGGCTTTTTCATAGATTATGCCACAGGCTCACAGCTGGCAGGCTTTCAGGCAAGGCTTTTATTGCACAATAGCCCTGCCTCACTCACAGGACTTTACAAGGAGCTAAACATCAACTTGTAGCCCTCCTATGCTTTCCCATCCCTTCTTCCACTTTTTTGTTCCTGGTTAAAGAAAATGTATTAAAGAGGATTTTAGCAGCACTAAGGTTTTTGACTAGAAACTTTCTGTCTAAGAGCATCACCAGTAAGCTAGTAATCCTCACCCTGTCACAGAAAGCAAGAAAGCTACTTCTGGCTCTGATGAATACACCCCACTTGCATTATCACGCTATAAAGGATCCTTCCCACATAATGGCATGGATCCCCATACCAGTCCAGAAGATTTTATCATGGGGCTTTTTCAGCTTTCCAGCTTTTCCTATGAGCTGGGGTGGGAGCACAATCCAAAATCCCATTGCTTCAGGTGTGATCTGAAGGCAATTACCCAGCACAGGCACCTTGAGCCAGATGTACTATTGCCTAGCCTTTCCTCATCTCCAAAACACAAACTCCAGTGATCCCAGCAACACCATTAATGGCACTGTTCCATGCCCACCTCGGTCTTGCCAATCACCTGCTGCTCCCCACCTTGAGAGCCCAACACAGCAAAACCCTCCACTCTGGCTCTCTAACTAGGCAGAAACCAGGTGCCACATGCAGCGTCTATCTGGCTGGGGCCCACAGAAAGCAAGGCAGGGCAAGGCCCTGTCTGGCAGGAAATCTAGAAGCAGGTGAAGAAAAGAAAAAGCTACCAGGAGGGTTCTCCACATTAGGGAGGTGCAGTATGATCCCAGGAGGAAAGACAGAGGAGGGTGCCTTGATCACCTCAGCCAAGTTGCTTGTATCACAGCCTCCAAGCCATGAGAAATCTAGTTGTAATTCTGCACTTGGGGCACGGTTAATCTCCGCTGGTGCTTCCTTTTTAGGCATACCTGTATTCCAAGCAGTACATGTCTGCAATACTACCACAGGTATTACAACCAGGAAACGCAGATGTTGAAATCAGATTAGATTATTTTATGAAGACTTTAATTCTAAACATATTTACTAGGAAGTAAAACTCATTAAGTAGACTGAAAAAGGCATCTGAGTGCATATGCTTTAAGAGCTTTTAGTACTGCTTGAGCTGTTGTTACAAAACATCACTGATAGATCATTAATGTAAGTTATTAATCATCTTTTATTTCATGTTATTCAGGTGTGTTTAAAAGTGTGGAGTAAAATAAGGAGAAGCAACAGGAAGAAGAGAATACTGATTTTCAAGTGTTACTCCATAGCCACAAGAACTAGAATCTTCATGGGGAATAGGACAGTCAGCAATAACTTTAATAGGGATCCACAGTATTTGGAGGTAGCACGTTCGTAATTATCAGTTGCTGCTTATAAACAAGAGGGAAGGCTAACCCTAGCATACCTGTTTGTGAATTTCCGGGGCATGTGGTTGGTCACTGACGGAAAAAGAAGGCTAGGCTCCATGGACATTATTCTGAAGGAGCTAGGTCCTTGTTATCTTTGAATACGTTTAAACTAATAAAGCCAAGATTCCCCAGGTGCCAAGTAGGAATTCTGTGCTAGCTTCACAAAGCTTCTGGCAAGATAAATACACCCAAGCCTGGTGTAGTCACAACACCAGTTCCCCCAAACCATGGTTTGCAAATTGGAACCCAGGCTCGGAAATGAGCCCCCACTCTTCCCCTCTCCAAAATGACTCTTCCCTTCACTTCTCAGCATTAACCATTCTACATGTGCACAAGTTCAATATGTGGTCATGCAAACAGTGCAGAATTCCAGGCAATAGTTTTGCAAGCCTACCACAAACCAAGGTTTATGAGGCAACACATAATAGAAATCCATGTTTAACTCTGGGGAAAGGAAAGAGGGAAATAGCTCCACACAGGGGAGGAGGGCACGTAGATTCACCTAGATTTGCAAACCTGCACTTGCAGGAGACTTAGTATTATACTTCCACTAGATCAACCTGTATTCTTTTGCTGTTGCTGCTAATGTAGCCCCATCAATGTGCATGACATTTGCAGAGTCCTGCCCCAGGGAGTTTTAAAATCTAAAATTGGACATGGGAAACCACAAAAGGAAAGGAGGCCAAGGTAAACAGGGAAGCAATACCTGCTTTTTTCAGTTTCACATGCTTAAACTTAGTGTAACTAAAAGCTTACAGGCTAAGTTAGAGTATGACATATCATTACATAGGAGCTAGGCAGTAACCCATGGTTGGATCCAAGTCCCTCTGGAGCAGATTTAGAAGATACGTGGCGGGCTGCAAGGAGGAGGAGAGAACATGGAAGTCCCATTTCACAAGTAGAATTTTTCCACTTGCAGACTGATGGCTCTGGATCCAACCCAGCCCCATTTTCCATCTCCTTCTCTGTGCTGGAGAACCTTACTGCTCTTAACGTCTGTTCAGCTCTTGCATATAGATCAGTCTTCACAAGCTTGATGTCTTCCAACCCCCTCCCTGCCCCACCAGCACCTCCACCACCACATGCACGCAGCTCTCACCTGCAAGAAGGAGAGGTCTTGGTTTTGCTCAATGAGCACAATCTCAAGGTTCCCCATAACAATCTCACAATTGTTGTATCTCTTCTGTAGTGTCTGGTATCGTTGCAGGTCATCCCCTGTGACACTGAGTCCATTTAGGGTTCCTGTACAGACTGCAATAAGAGAAGGACAAGAGGTGCATAAGCCATTGGAAAAGCACTGCGGCTGCAGTTTTCTGGTTGCTCTGTGACATGAAAGATCAAGTCCAGTCCCTCATCATAAGAAGCATCATCCACTCTTCACAGGTGGCCACACCATGCCCACCAGGCCACACCAGAGACAAATATCCCCTATGAACCAGTAAGATATCTTGCTGTTCCTCAAAGCGGTGGAAATTATGTTCAGATCTGAAGAGCTACTTCAGATGTGTCCAATCAAGTGGAATTGGTCACCTTTTTCTTCTGAACAAGCTGACTGAACCCTGCAAGACCTTTTTTCTTTTTGCCTCCCCCTCGCGCTAGTGTCCGAAGATGTTGGCCAGAGGGGAGGATTTCATCACCTGTGACTACCGAAATCTGAAATAAACACAGATTTCATTTCAGCATTCTGATACAGAGGTCAGAACTTCCAAATATGCATTTCCTGAATGTCAAACATATTATATATTTAATTTTAAAACATTATATATTTAATGTTCAAAATTTCAATGCTTATATACATTTTTCTGTCTACATGTATACAGGACTGCATCCTTAGCAAAAAGAATAATGTTTGTGAATAATGAAGCAGAGAAACAGACTGGGACCCTATAAAGGCTGTACTGGAAGACAAATGGCACTGCCAACTAGTTTTATTTCTCAAGGAAGTGAGCATGGAAACTCCCGATCGCCATGCTGCCCTGGCTGCATGCCACTGACTAATCTCGCCCAGACCAAGATGGCATTTGGCCAGGAAAGTGATCGACAGCCGTGAGCACCTGCACAGCCAACCCAGTCCAGCCTGCTTGAAAGGTAAATAAGCCATCAGCTTCTCCCCAGTCACTGAAGATACACATAACAACTTCATTGTAAGAGGAAGGGTGTAATAGGGCTGAAATCATGGGGAAACAAGTTGTTTGATAATGCCTTGGGTGGCTTTATGAAATCAAGATCAACTCCATCATGGGTCTAGTCACTGTTCTGTATCGGCATTAAAAAGTAAACCCTAGTAGGTGCGTTTACTCTCACAGTTTACTCTGCTTACTCTTACTGTTTACTCTTACTATGCAACGCAGTCACAGTGCTGAAACACACTCTCACTACACGAATAGCCATGCTAGTTAGCTAGCTTCCATGCTGATCACCCACTTGCATTTAGTGAGCTCTTAGGCTGGTCACACATTAAGCTGAACAGGTAAAGAAGGGCCATCAAATTGTGCCTCCTGAACCCCCATCTGCAGCATAATCTGGGAAAGAGCCTACATGTACCCGTGTCCAGAAACTCTGCTTAGCCATGGCTCCCAGACTGGGCATATAGAGTCTGCACCAACCCAACTGGAATGTGCAGGTGTGCTCTTCCACCAGTTAAATTGAATATATGTAGGAACAGGGTCAGCAGACACGACCCTGCTCTCTCCTCCATGCACGCTCCACATCACATGTGAGCCTCACTTTCCTCTAACTTTACTGAACACAGCGGGGCTGCCCTCTTTCTCTGACCACCAGAGAGTGAAACAAGGCCCACTGCAGAGATCAGAAAAGGGCACTTGTACAGTCAGAAATGGGAAAAGCAAAAACAACACACAGTTCAGAACGCCAGTCAGACAATGCAGCCCACTGACCCAGTACCTGCTCACATGAGTGGACTTATTGCGATCTCCAACAAACACCTTTTTTTGGTGCCCATCAGGCTCCCTGCTCTTCCTGATTTTTATTTTATTCATATAAACAGGCAGTCCCTGGGTTACAAACAAGTTCCATTCCCAAGAAAATGGAAATTAGTCTTTCAGTTGTATTTGTATAAAAATTGATCATGTACAGTCAGCCCTCCACATTTGTGAGAGTCAGGGGCAGGACCCCCATGAAAGTGGAAAAATATCTCTAGCATCCTCCCACCCCCAACTCACCAGTGCCCCTCTTGCAGCAAGGAAGCACTGGAGAGATTTCCCTCTCCTGATGGACAGGGCAGGAATGCCTGCTTTGGAAGCTTCTCTCTCTCTCTCTCTCTCTCTCTCTCTCTCTCTCTCTCTCTCTCTCGTGATGCCTTGGGGGCCCTCCTTCTCTCCCCTTTCACTTCTTCTCTATGGTGATGCCTTGGAGGGCTCCTCTCCCCTTCTGTTTCTTGTCTCTCTCTCAGGTGATGAGGATTTTCTGCAGTAATTTTTTTTAAATTATTAGGCTTTATGGCAGTTTGTTTTTAAGTACAGGTTGCTCGTAATTCTGGCATTCATAACTGTGTGTGTGTGGTGGGGGGGAGGTTAGAACTCTGCAACATGAAGGTCAGCCCTCTGGCACATCTGTGTTTGGATTCAAATAGTGTTTTTATGCTTTGGAGCTCAGAGCCCAGGTCCACCTTCTACTCAAGTTCCTGGGCAAGATACTTTTCTTTTAGTCTCACCTTCTGGGAAATGAGAGCTTTGTGACCAAGTCCTGCCCACCATGAGAGCCGTTTTATGAATGGGAAAGCCCCACCATGGCAACCATTTCTGAGAGTATCCACAGCACTCCCTCTGAATTCCAAGTGTGCCCACCGACCCTAAAGTAATGGAGACTTCTACTCACTTTAGCAGTGAAATGTAATATGCATGATGGTAGCAGCTACATCTGTGAGTAGCTCAGCCTGATTTATGGCTCCAGCCCACTTTTTTAGCGGATTAATCCTTGACCATTTAATATAGGACATGTCATTTTGCCACTGGCTCCAATTGCTGGATTATGGATTCTCATGAAAAACAAAATAGATCCTGCAATCTGTGTACCCCAATCCTGACAAAGCACCACAAGAACATAAAACACGGACTTTGGTAAACTGCAACTAGCTGTAAAGGTAAGCACGTCAAAGAACAGCATATATAGTAAGCAACCAGGATGTTAAACAAGCTAGATACACAATGCCCAGAGCTTAAGGTCGGCTCCAGGATCTCTTTTCAGTAACTAGGTTCAGCATCAAAAGTACAAAGCAAAACTTTAAAATTTATGCCTTAGCTACGTTTCCTGCTAAGTATGAAAAAACATCCTATTGACAGCTCTTCTAGATTTTGATCCCCGTGTACATAGGTCAGGCCGAACTATTTGGCAGGGAAGATACCAGGAAAACATACACCTGATAAATTGATGCCAACTGTTCTGTTATTAAAGCCACAGAGCTGCTGTAATCAGAAAAACAAAACTGGTACATACAGCTTTGTGCAAACAAAAAAGAGTGGAGACAATCGCCATCATTCTCTGCTGATTTCATGTTAGCTGTGCCATCCCAACCCTCGCTTCCCCTGCTTGCTGCACAGTAGCAAAAGTGCCGGGATGGATGGGGAGGCAGTAACAGCTGCTCTGGTGGCTGCAAACAAGGATGGGGAGGGAACTTGTGTACCCACCCTGCTTTAGCATGTTCTCATACTGGAAATTAGCAAGCTAAATGGGTTAGGCAATTGCCATGAATCAGAAAGTGCCTCCTTTCCTGCAGTAGTACAGGTCAGTGGTACAGCCCATAAGCAGTAAAAGCCAGTAAATAGATGCTAGTGTGAAAAGAAGTAACTCCAGTTGTGGGACTAGAAAAGAGGAATTCCTTTAAACATTCCCCCTTATCACTGAATCATCACTACAAGTTCTCTTGAAAACATTTTTCATCAGAACACTGTTTTTTATTCTACCCTTTTGTTTCCTGTAATGCAGTCAAGGGCAGCATACACAAGGCTCTCCCATTCCGCCCTAACAAAAGCCAGGTGAGTCAGTTTCGGCTAAGAGACACAAATCTGACCCCAGGTTTCACTCCACTGTGCTCCACTTCACTGCACTTCACTGCAGTGCTCCACTGCAGCTTTCCTTGACTTGGTGCACGCCAGGCACTTTGCACTACAACTCCCAATATTCCTGACTGTTAGTCAGGCTGACAGGGGCTTCTGGAAGATGACGTTCAAACATCTTTTCTAGCTACTCATGCTAGCTAATGGTGATGGGAGTTGTAGTCCAACACACAAGCAGAACATCAGGCATTGCATGAACAAAGTCTCAGAATGATATAAATTCTAGTGAGAGTCAGAGAAAAAGAATTCTAGGAGTGATTTCTGGAATCAGGGGCACCTTTTCAAAATTGGGGACCTGTAAAGATACCTCATATGCCTCTCCCTGGAAGAAAAAAAAAGCAAAACTAAGGATCATGCTCTTAAAGGGGGAATCAAGCACTTTTCACAAATCTTCCAGGGCTTTGCAAGGACCTCAAAGGACTATCAGAATTGTCAGAGGCTTGCAAAGAGGAAAACCATTTACTTTCAGTCTGGAGAAGGTGTTCTGAAAGGTTTGTACCTGCCGCTTTGGCCAGCAGCCATTCCACATTGCCAATATCTATCCTAGGAACCCCCTGAGCTAACCAGCCCTGCAGAGTTACATGGGGTTTTTTAATGAGTGTAATTATTTGCACACATTTTTCAACTTTTTTTTCAGAAAAAGGTGAGGTGACCATAGGTAGTCACTGCAGAGTACAGTGGGGGCACCATGTGGATACTAACACAGCGATTGTAAAAACCAGATTTGGCAACGGGGCACAGGGAGAGTGGGGAGGAAGTGAGCAAACACCCACAATGTTCCCAGTCATTGGTCAGCACATCATGGGCCCTTGTGTGATCAACCAACACAGCATGGGTTGTTCCTCTGTGTGGGTTGTCAGGATATCTGAGTTATTGTGGGTCAAACAAACTCAGCTACAAGCCATGGGCTGTCAGGATGACTTATAAACCAAAAGTAATCCAGCCTGGGCTCACAACAACCTACCATGGTTTATAATCCAGTTTAGGTTTCAAGCTGTCGTATTTTTGCCATATTCTGGCCATTTTGGAGGCCCATGCTCAGCTGTGTACCATTGTGTCATATCTGCAAAGTTCATAGGGGCTAAACACAAACTTTCCTAATCCCACAAGCCTTTTGCAATAATCATAAAACCTTCGTATTACCAAACTGGCTGGGCAGCTTCTTTTGCCAAGGGT